AGTATTAATAATTATAGGTTCACAGTAATTTAATTTACCTTTCAAAGTAATAAAGTTACTTCCTAGACTTAGAAATTCAACGGTAGAAAAAATATTTATACATTTATAGAGAAAAACAGCCATAAATTTCTACACGAAATTATAATTGGAGGAAGCTTTTTCAGAGGATATATAGTATATCCTATAAAATAGTTGAAACTCTGAGAAATTTGTACAGCAAGACTTTATGGTGATGCAATTACTTGCTTAGGGACCTCGAGAAACAAACTCCCAAAGGGTTAATTTAAGTTTTATTTTTGTGAAATTGAAATATTCAAAATAAAAATGAAAGCTATCTCATCTATTTAATAATGATCGGTACACATTTTGTGTCTGCACAATTTAAAAGTAAAGATTGTATTTATGGTCCTTATGACTTTTTAAGACATGATGTATTCAATTATGGTCCAGACTGCACATCTAGAGCTCATCTTTTATTTATTTATAATATAAAGTTATGAATTGTGAAAATTAAGAAAAATTATTAAGAAGGATCTACACTTGGTTTTCACTGTCTGGCAAGTTTTAGCAGACATTCTAATATCATCTACTGTCTTTTTTCTGGGTACAATTGCTTTGCCTTCAATTTACTCCATTGACTAGGTTTTGAGCCTTTTGAGGGTTTTAATTTTAACCCCTGTATTTGTCTTTGGTAAATTTTATCCTATTAATTATTAATAATAGTGAATTTAAAAAAAAAAAAAAAATTCCCTTAGCTTGTGTATCTCGACACTTAGACCACAGGTGTTATTCTGCTAAAACCTGACAATAACAACTCCATATTTTGAAACCTTAAACTTGCAGGTAATGTCAAAGTTTATCTTTCTCAATTATTATTAAAAAGTCAGTTTTGCATACAAAATTAAATCCCCTCTCGGAAGATCTCAATGGCTCTCTCCCTCTCACTAACCTGAAACAATCAAGAATATTGTTAAGGATTTCTAGGAATGGATTAATGGAGAAACAAGGATTTTCAACTTATCAATTCGACCGTCAAAAGAATTATACAAAGTCTTCTTCCAATTAAAATTGCATGATGTATCAAAAGAGGAAGTTGAACATAAAATCAATATTAGTACCATTTTCTTTTTGCTAATTATTCTTTAAAACAAGTACCAACGTTGGCATCCCATCCCTAATTGTGAAAACTAGGTCTGACGAAGCCTAATCTAGCTATCCGCACTCAAAATTGTGTTAATTAGGGTTTGATCGCACAAGGCCTAACCAGCGATTTCACCGCTGTATGGCTAACCAGCCATTACCAGCTATTCCGGTGTCATGCAGGCGAGTTGCAGCCTGCAACCTATCTTATTTTTTAAAATCTATGGCTAATATGCTTATTAGGACGGCTAATTGCAATTAGACAATGTATGCATACAACATACTATCTTATTAGCTTGGGATAAGACAAAATCTCTTTAAAGCCTGGGCTGGGCCAACTCAGAACGAGCCCAATTATCTCTCTCAATGTAATAGCCCAATTACACAAGTGTAATTGCATTTCATTACAGCTCACCAAACAAAGCCATATTGCCACAGTGGCAAAGAACACTACTAAACAGCTCCAGCCCGGTTAAAGTCAATTTTTTGGGGCTAAAACCAAATCCAATCACATCAGCTTCTGGAATTGCAGTTGACATAAAATTTGAAATGGAATAAAAAGGAAATTTCACCAGACAAATCAAAAATCAAATGATGTTTCAGATATCACTGGAATCATCCATTCCAACTGCAGTTGCATTTGGGTTTTATACACATACATCAACAATTCTGAAGAAAATAAATGAGATGTAATTGCAGACAACTACTCTTATTGACGTTAATTGCCAGCGAGTCTTTCAAGTGCAGCAGAACAAAATGATTAACATTAAGCTAAAACGATCTGCACCTCTACAGTAGACAGAAAAGATTAACAAAAGGGCGAAGCATACAGATTTTGCCACAGTCCAACAAGACCTGGTAAGAAACCAAAAGGTTTTCAGTATCAGTAATTATAGCTTGAACCCAAAAATCTCATAATATTCATAGATTGTGGCGTCTTCATTAAGTTTTTCATGTCATTGTTCTCTGAAAATTTTTTGGAATGCAAGTATAAGTAAAAAGCCCAAATGGGATGACCAACATGAGTTTACTAAATTAAAATAAATAATTAACCAGTCCAAGAAAATACAGCTATACATCCAATTGTTTCACATAGGTAACAAACTGCAATGTAAAGGTACATCCATGCTGCCATAACATCACCAAAACTGATATGCTAAAAGTTCAGCAGCAGGATTTTCTGACACTACACCTTCACTAAAGACTTAAAGTGCATTCAAGTTCAACAACCTACTCCATAGACAATCAAAATTACCCTGCCATAACATAACCAGTAGAAGAGTGTCGTCTTGTAAAAAATAAAACAAAAACCACAGATGAAACGAAACAAAAGATTACCAGCCGAATGACATAATACCATATCTGCCAGGAAGTAGAGGAAATGCTTGCAATCACAATAAACAGTCACCATGACCCCAGGGTCAAACGGAGTTCCAACATGGTTTGCTACACTATACAAATAGCATGGCCTTTACCCCCGATGATAGGGACATACACACAGATAGAATGGTAAAGGTGGGAAGTTCTTTCAGTGACTGGATCCTAAATGGGTATCGACAGAGGAAGCGTAATCTATTCTAGCTCTAAATAACAATTGGCCAACTTGAAATAAACCCTTCAAAATTTGAATGTTTTTATACTACTGATCAACAACAGCTAAACCTTAATCCTGAGTTAGTTGGGGTAGGCAACATAGTTTCGTTTCTTCCATTCCACTCGGTTTGCATTAGTTTATTATTAAGCAAGTAAAGTAAATCAAAATCAAGCAAAAACTCAGCACATGCCAATTAAAATTACAAATTTAGTGATCTAAAATAAAAAGATTAAAATAAAAACAAAACAACTTCTCTGTCTGTTTCTCTTTATTTCTTAAAGGCATTATTCGACCATCAAAACTGCTCATTTCACTGGCATGCTTTGCAGCACATTCAAATTGGCCAAATCAAAAACAAATATTTAGCCAATGATCCATGGATTGTGCATTACACACAAATGCTTAAACAAAATAACTAGATGAAATATTAGAATACTTAATGGAAGTTTGGATAATGTGGAGTACATTAACATACTGCCTTCAATTGCTTTTAAAAAGGCAAATTTGTAAATGACTAAAAAGGATCCCTATCAATTTTTCCCTTAAGTGAATTTGTACAGCCTATTTAACCAAGTTCCTGAAATCAAATAACAATGGCACAGGAACCTGCAAATCAGAAATGCCTACTTAAACCAAGTTTTAGAAACAAAATAACAAGGATTAAGGAATAGTTCAAGGCAATATATGGGAGTACAGTTCTACTCATACCATGAAATGATAGGGCCAAAACCTTAACGTGCTATACCACAATTAGTTTTTTATCAAAAACAAAAGTTTAAAAATACACCTCATTTAAGTTGGAGAATAAGCAAGGTTGATTTAGTTCTAAGTAATGAAGGGAAGTTGGAGAATAAGCAAGGTTGATTTAGTTCTAAATATTGAAGGACTTTAATAATAGCGTCACTGCTGAGATATTTAGGAGGAATATTATGATATAACTGATATTCAAACACAAAAATATGTGAGTTATGCAAAAAATTTCCTACTCAACTATCAGTTGCACCACATCTTGCAAAGAGTTATCACAAAAAATTTTCCAGGTAAGATGTGCAAACTTGAGCCGAAATAGAATGAAGTCCAAAGGTGAAAATAAAAAAGCATCATTAGAAAACAACAAATGCAAAACTGAAGACAAAATATTCATAACCAAATACCTACACTACAAAGCCCTTAAATTAGTACCTGCTGATAAGCTTAAGACTAAAGACAAGAAAAACAAATCAAGTGATAGCGGCAGCTGACCTCAAACAAGCTGAATAATAATTAAGGGAAAAATAAAATTAGAGAAATTGAATAGAATCTTTTCTGAAACCATAAAACCATGTTTCCAACAGTATAATGGTAACTTCAAAATTCCAACGATCAAAATTATACAATTCTGATTATCTGATTAATGCACTGATTTCCCAAGCTTCTGCAATTTATGCCCACAAGGATTCACAGCACTATCACATGATCCGTAGGATTAAAAGGATGATATACGCTTCCGTTATGAAAACTGTAATTTTATTAGGTACACCATGTTGTGAGAATGCATCATTTATGCAAAAATCCATCTCCAGCTTTCACTCCAATCAAAAGAAACGAATCGTGACTGCCTCTATGAGAACAGATTGAGAAACAAATATCATAATCCTATGCTGCTAAGATGCTGTGCAATGGGTCTCAAGCACTTGTCTATAGACTATCTCCCTGTAAAATCAATCGCACAAACAATTAACCTTAATAAATGCTGCCACAAGCTTAGCCATGTTATTGACTACAAAATGCAACAAGAAGCACTTTCTACTTTAAATTTCGATAAGCACCATAAGAAGTTCATGTATTCTGTACAGTTCTGCAGATGCACAAGCAACATCACGTATGTGTATTCCTGGTAATTTGAGCAATCATTTAGCACAGCTGTTAACCTAACCATTGAAACTTTAAAATCCCAACAATATCATTAAGAATATCCAATATTAATCAAAATTCTGACAGGATTGGTCAAACTCTAAATGACTGATATTGAAAATGCCAATGCTGGCCTTAACACCTTCGATCAACAAACATAACAAAAAGGGCAATGATGTACGATCTTAACCACGAGAATGCACATAAACACAACAGCTGAACGCCAAATCCTAAGATTGAAAGCTGAAGAGAATCGCAAATTAATTAACTACCATGCGGACCCATTTCTTCCATTAAACCACAAAACTTCAAAATTGATAAACCAAAACAGAACGCAACTATAATTAATTAAAATCGATCATGCAAAACTAACCCATTTCATTTCTGGTAACCGCCTCCTCTCGCATTATAATCCTCCTCGACTGTCGCAGTCAAATAAACAGGAGGGAAATTGGCGACATCGAAAGTCGTCTCCTTCATCATCTTCTCCACATCGGCCTTCTTCAAAATGGTGCGTTTAATTGGGGGACGGTTTCGGCGCTGATCGCGAGTGTAGTACTTGATATCGTAGACAGTTTCCGGGTCGGATGTGGGCACGATGGGCTTGATCTTAGGGGTGGCGGGGCAGTGGACACGGTACTCAAGAGGGCTGGGAATGGCGGATCGGTATTCCGGATCGGCGCATGGGCCAGTTATCTCCCAGGGTTTCTTGATGAAGCGTTTTAGGGTTTGAAGGAGAGATGAAGCAGCGGCGGTGGTGGGTTTCGCCATCTCAGGGTGAGACAGAGCGCGCTTGCTTTGGAGGAGCTGTTGATTGAGTATGGAAAAGTGCGAATCAATTAAATGGGATTAATCTCAGAAACAAAGGTCGATTTTTGGGTCCGATTTACGATTTGAGACAAATATAAGAAATTAAGGGATGAGAAAAAATAAAATTTTCATTACTAGCATGTGTTTATTATATATTTGCTTCTATAGTATCCATGTTTATTAAATATTCATTTAACCCTTGACCCTTATTTTAGCTCTTTATGACATTATATTCCTTCTCAATATTTTTTTTTTTCATATCCTTGAAATTTTAATTTATGAAGAACTAATTTAAATTTTATAAAATTAATTTTTTATTAAAAAATAATTTTAATAAAACTAGTATGTTTAAAATAACAATTTTCATGAAAAATATATTTTTATAAATTATATATTTAACCTTATTTTCCAATACCTTTAAATCAAAATCACGTGTTATTACACATCATGACATAGTCTAATGATAAAATTTCATAATAGATCTAAGTTCGAATCTTCACTCTCCGGTAAAAAAATTAATGTTATTAAAAGGAAATCTTAATTTTGTATATCTCATTGCAATTTTAGTAATATCAATAAGAGAAATCCATAACATTATTCTCAACTTCATGCAGTATAAGATAGGTATTAGACTAAATTGAAAGTAGATGCTTTTTCTCGTATTGGGAGATTAGGGAAAAATATTATGAGAATTTAAATAAAAATTATTAATAGAATAAGAAATGAATTTCATTGCAAGCTATTTATTGTTAGAATGCATTTGTCAATAGAATTAATTCTGGTTGCTCATTTGAATCGATGAAATATGAAATCTAAAAAATATAAATCCATATATTGTGATATTGATGAAATTTGATAATCCATCATTTAGTTAAAAAAAAAAAAAAACAAAATCAATGAATTAAATAATATTTTTAAAATAAAATTAAGCAATCTAAATTCTATAATTGAAAGAAAAATATTGATGGTATTGAGCTATTCCAAAATGATGAATGAAGTCATGATGGAACTTGGTCATTTCATGGATTTTGGCCTATTTTTTAACAATTTAATAAATAAATTTAATAAATAAGTGAAATATTTAAATTTCACTAGTCAGACGACTTTTTAATCGTACTCTCCCATTATTTTTCAAGAAAGTGGATTTATTAATTATTTTACTTATAATTTGCTAATTAATTTTTATAAATTAATTTTAAATTAATACAAGTTTAATAGTAGTTTTTAAGAATTTAATTTAATTCACGATCATAGTTTTTTCCCCATTTAATGCTTCTATTTATAGGGTTCTTACATATTTTTGAATAAGAGGGATTTGATTATTCTTATAAATAAATAAAAAAAAGTATATTTTGAGTATAAAAAACATATATTGCACATTCTCAAAAACTAGTTTTTGAATAAATTGCCAAAAGAAAATTTTAATCTATGTTTGGTAAATCTTAATAAATGTAATTAATACAATAAAATACATTTTTGTTGTAAATGGCTTAATAAACCTCCATGACTAATTAATATATTTTATAAATAAAAATAAAATTGCAATTATTATGACAAAACATGTAGTTAAATAATTATTTTTCCTCAACTTTTTTTTTTCAATTTCATTATGATCGAGGGGTTTAAATCCAAATCTTTTGGTTCTAGAGACAACTCCAACATTATTAAATAAAGCTCATAAAATTAATTTAATCTTCATATAATTCTAAATAAATATCCTTAAATCTTAAGTAAATAAATAAATATCCCTAAAAACGGAAATAATCTTTGATTACTTTTACATAAATGGTACGAAAAAACAAATCTATATTTGGAAAGTCATAATAAATATAATATAATATAATTAAATATATTTTTATCATAATATTACATCATAAAATATATTATATTATATCACATTTGATTATGATTTACTAATATTTGCAAATTAGATTTTAAAAATATGTTTTTTTAGAATAGATTTTTAAAATATGTTAATTTAGTACAAAAAAATTTAATATTTTTATCAACCTGTTGCTTCCACATAAATAATTACTTATTATAAAAAATTATATTAAATCTAATCATTATATAAATAAATAATTCGAAAAAAAATAACATATTTGATCTCAACTATCATAAGACGAAGTGTTATAGTGTTGTGTTGTTGAGAACAGCAACAATATTGCAATTACACATTACATCACATTGCTCTCTCTTTCTCTCTCTCTTTCAGTATCTTTGCTTCGTCCTTTCCTTTCTCTTGATTCTTACGCTTTCTCTCTCTCCTCTCCTCTCCTCTCCTCCCCTCTCCTCTTTTCCTTCTTCTTATTCCTCCTGCTCCTAACAGATATCTCTCTCTGCCATTTTTCCTCTCTATACCCAAATCAGAAACCAACCAATAAGGTACTTTTTATAAATGTTTTTTGTTTTGTTGCCTTTTTGATCTGATCGATCCATGTTTTTGTATATATCGTTTTCAGTCAATTGCTTAATTGTTTTCTACAATTTTGCATTTCACTATTCATTTCCTTTTTTGCATTTTTTTTTATAATTTTTCTTGTTATTTTGGATTTGGGACTTTGTCTTCGTTGGGTTTGAATCTTTATGGTTCTTTTAGTGACTGTGCATAAGCTATTTATGATTTTTTTTTGTAATCCTGGGCATGCTTTAATTTGTGAGTTTCTTTCTTCTTCTTCTTTTTTCTTCTATAAGATGTGTTGCCTTTTGTATTGTGATCTCATATTGGGTTTTGGTTTGATTTACTTGGGTGGTTTTCATTTCTGGATCTTGAGACTGAAAATAAGCAAATTGAGCATATACGAATTCACTACTCTGTTAGTGTTGCTGGCCTAACTCTGCCGTATTACTAGTACCATATTTGTTTTTGGTCCTTGGTACTGCTTTGGCTGCTATTGTTATTCATAAAGCGTCTTCTTTAGCTGTAGGACAACCTTCTGGCAAGCTTCGATGCAAAAATAGTTGACATTTTGGATATCGTTATCATTCAATTGCGTTAAAGCTCATAACTTTATTGCATCTGTTTTTCCTTGTGGGTTATGATCTTTAGGTTGATCCGATTAATTCTTTTTTTATGCTTACTTTACTGAATTTTTGCTGTTGGATTTTATCTATAGATGGCAACGCAGGAAACAGCTCCTGCCTCTCCTCCTAGTGCTCAAGTTGTTGGAAATGCCTTCGTGGAGCAGTATTACCATATTTTGCACCAATCCCCTGGACTGGTGCATAAATTTTATCAGGATTCAAGTTTGCTTAGCCGTCCGGATGCTGATGGCACTATGACAACGGTGACTACCATGCAAGTAAGTTTATTAGGAAGTTTTGATAGCTGATATGCAATTTCGTGTTTTTCTTTATTGCTCTATTGGGAGGTTCAGTGGGTCTGAGATACAAAATGGGGTGTAAAAAACTTTCTCCTTTACTGATCTCTCCACACCAATAGTAAATATTTTAGTGGATGGAGGAACTCAAACCTCAGACCCCTTAATCCTTACGAAGTGGGAAAAGCAACTTAGCATTACGAGTTTAGGTGGAGATTGTATGATCTCCTTAACGAACTTACTTGCAGAACCCATTATTAATCATAGACTGTTCAATCAATGAATATTTTGTGCTGAGATGTCTAGTAATTGCTTCTCTGGAAACCTTTAAATGTAGAAAACTGTTCTGAGGATGCTGATAGTTGATGTGTGATATGGCTTTGATATGCTTTGTGGGGATTTCTTGATACATAAGTTTAAAGGTTTTGAGATTCATATTAGCTAACTTTTATTGCAGTCCTCTATGGAGCAGTCTGTTAATGACAACAGTTTCAGGGGATTTTTCTCTTTACCTCGGATTGAACTTGAATTTTAAATGATGTTAGCAATTTGAGTTGAATATTAAAAATTATAGCTATTGTTTAGCTGGTACGATTCATGCTTTTTATTTTTGAGCAGGCTATCAATGATAAGATTCTTTCATTGAATTATGAAGACTACACAGCTGAAATAAAAACTGCAGATGCGCAGGAGTCTTATGAGAAAGGGGTCATTGTTCTTGTAACAGGCTGCTTAACTGGAAAGGACAATGTGAAAAAGAAATTCTCTCAAACATTTTTCCTTGCTCCACAGGACAAAGGCTACTTTGTGTTGAATGATGTATTTAGGTTTGTTGGAGAGGATGAATCGTTGGCAAATGATTTCTTGACTAACGGTGTCAATGAAAATGCCATGCCTACAACCTCGACAACACAGACTGGTTGGGGTGATATTGTAGAAGGAGGTTGGCATGATATTGTAGAAGGAGGTTGGCATGATTTTTTATCATTTCCCTCCTTATTGTAGTTTATTGAGATCTTGAAATGTTGAAATTTTGCTTTAATCTGTTCCAGATCCCCATGAAGTTACTAATCATCTTACAGTGGATCCTACTACTCCCTCTGAGGAGGAGGATCTCAATAATGGTGCTGAAGTTTGTGATCCTTCTGATAAGGAGGAAGGATCTGTGATTGATGTAGAGGTTGTTGAACAACAAACTGATTCAATCCATAATGAAATTCTCACAAGTGTCGATGCAGCTCCTGCTGCCCTTGAGGATGCTCCCAAGAAATCATATGCATCAATTGTGAGATGATTGTTATTGTTCTTTGTATTTCAAGACTTCTTTCTTTTAGTTGGCCTATTTTGACATTTTTTATTCTGAATTTTATGTAGTTGAAAGTAATGAAAGGTACAACGCCTAGTTCAGACTACACAGCTACCACTCATGCAAAGGCAGCTCCTGCAAACTTTCAGAAACCATTGCCGAACTCTATAAAACCTGCTTATGCACCAGAGGCTGTTGCTCCCTCTAGTGGTGGTGCTCCTGAAAGTAGCGATGTTCACGAAGAAGGTATATTCAACTCTTTTTGATATGAGAATATCTAGTTGAGTCAAAGGCGCATTTGCAAACTGTTTTTAACTTAATAATCAAGAAACCATTCTTATTCTTATTATTTTTTTTTACTGTTAGTATGCAAATTTTTTGTTCTGATGTGAATTCAGAGCATTGCATTCCTCAGGACCATCTCCCAGGGAGATATCCTGATGGCACTACCCCGCCCTTTGCAATGGAAAAGACATATTGCAAAAGACATAGGCAAACCTTGGTGATGGGTGGGGCAGGATTCGGGAACCTGACTATGGAGCAGGTTAAGGATAAACCGTCTCTTAATAATCAAGAAAAAAGAGAATGACGAACTGGCAGGGCTTATGTTTTAGCCTTTTTATCTCTGTGCTTCATGTGGAAGAGGCACTATTGCTTTTTTAGTTATACTTGCTTAATTCATATTTTTTTTCATGTTGTGCTTCTAGCTGAAGGTTACTCCATATATGTGCGGAATTTACCATTTAATGCAACAACCGCACAACTTGACGAGATCTTTAAAAAATTTGGCCCAATTAAGCATGGTGGCATCCAAGTTAGAAGCAATAAGGTGTGTTTTGTGTTTTTTTGTGAATTTTTGTTTAACTAAGCAATTATTGGACATATTATTTATGGTTATTTCTGATGGTTTGCAGCAAGGATTCTGTTTTGGCTTTGTGGAATTTGAAACATTGAGTTCCATGCAAAGTGCACTTGAGGTACTGCCTAATGCTTTCTTATTTTACTAGCTATAAGTTTCTTTATCTTCTACCTTGTTTTACACCTATTATTTTGTTATGCTTAATAATCATGCTCCTTTTATTTTCTGTGGTATTTTGGTAAATCTTTGTGGTTACCAAGCTTATCAAATTCAGATCCTACCTTGGGTCATTTTGGGTTCTCAAGATCAGATTAAGAATTATAGGACTTCAAAAATTCTGAAAATCTGAGTCCTATTACAGGAACACATCTTTTTCCCCCATATAATATTAAACCAAAAATTTTCATGGGATAGTGAGAACCGTTGTTGTTTTGCACTTTAGAGCTTTGGTTTCTTTCAAAATACTGAATCACTTGCTTTCATTGTTTTTACGTAATCAATCACCTGTGATGTGATCCTGAAGATCCTATTTGATCTTAACAAATCTGCCAAACCTATAATAACCTTAATCAATCCTGTAGATGTCTGATTCTAACAGTGACATAACTTCATGAATTGTTTTTTGATTCCTGGCATAAATCCTATAATCCAGATCATGATTTTAGCAAAAATGTGGCTTTACCTAGATGTTATTCTGTTTCATCATAGCAGTTCTTTATCTTAATATCTATATGCTCAAATAATTGAACTAGTTCTCGTAATAGGTTGATAGTGCTAAAAGGTTATAAATTTTCACCACAAATAAATGCTATGAAAGCATTATGGTTTACTAGGAATCCAACTTCAAGATTAACAATTATTTTTCCTTTTTTTGCTCCTTGGACTGTGTTAATTTTCTAACATACCACTGTCAAGGACAGCGGTTGTAAAAGTGTGGTGGAATGTTATAGTTGCAATGTCCTAGATTGGTTCTATGGGAACTAATATTGGATAAATACGGTTTTGCGCCCTCTCTCTCAGATAGTTAGCTTTCAGGGACAAGTTTTATTGAGACGCTTATTATATTCACATTTTTTTTCCGTCTCTCTCTCTCTCTCTCTCTCTCCCCCCTAGAATATTATTAGTTTCTGCATCCAAATGACATCGCCTGAAATGGATATTTAGACACTAAGGAAATATATTCCATGTTCTATCATATGAGCAGTGTGGCCAGAAAGTCATGGACCATTTAATTTGATGAGTTGATTTCTAGGACCAGAATTAGCTATTGAGTGAGCTTTTCCTGACACTCTGACACTCTCCAACTTATTTCCATTTTTTCTCTTTGCTTTAAAACAGTGTGTGTGTGTGTGTGTGTGTGTATATATATATATATATATAATCCTTTTTCTATCAAACAGCCCAAGTAACAATACTTTCTTTTCTTGCTACTTAATGCCCCTTAGACCTGCATAAACCAAAATTCTGGTCACCCTTCTTCCACTCATGAAGTAACCCTTAATCAGCCATTGCCACTCATACAAGTATTCAGCATTGTTGCGAGTGTTACATAATGCCCAGTACACACCACATCTACTTGGAAACCCCCAATCCACTGCAGATGGAGCACAATCAACCACTTTTTATTTGGGAGAAGACCTGCAATGACTTATCAACATTTTTGCTCCTGCTACACACTCAATTCAGTGTAGAATGCTTATTTGTGATCCTTCTTGCTTTTTTTCTTCCTTTTTCCACTCTTTTTGTCCTTCCATTGTTTTGAACCTACTGGCTAAACTTTTTGAGGGGGATGCAGAACAATATAATATGGGTGCCACTTGAGGCAGCTACCACTTTGGCTATCAGCCAAGACACAAGCATATCTTTACCCATCGTCAATAGGTGTACATTCCTCACTAAACTCCTCTTCAATAACTCTATTAGATATTATTATGCAGTCTATATAACCTTGCTGATTGTCACTAGCTGTTGTTACTCATTGATTGTTGAAGTTATAGCTCTGTTCTTAATTGGGCAGTTTGCAATTCACTCATTAACCATGAAGTGGAGAGTCAGGAGAGCCTGGTGGACTGTTGCCCTCTATGGCTATGTAAACAGTGCCAGGATCACCTCTTTCATATAGCTGAATGGATTTTTCTGGTTTGAGTTTTGAGGTTCAATACTCAAGGTTGGATTGGCTGTTGGCATGTCCATTTTTTCCAAGTCTCTGGGGAGGGTTGGTGTTTGGCATGGGATTGTTTTGCTGGTTCCTGTTGTCATAAGTATAGACTAGGGAATAGATATATTACTGCAATGCTTTAATTCCTTTTTGTCGGTAATTTTTGCACTTTTTGAAATTTGACACATGCCTACCATTCTATTCTACTGGATATTAGATCATTGGCGGTACTCTTACTCACCAAGATGTAAGAATAATTGTGGTTTTGTCCTCTTTGCCGCTCCGCCTTTCCATCATTTAGCATCTTCTTTTTCTTCTCTCTAGAAAGGGATATCGATATAATTTATGTGGAGGTCAAGTGTTATTTTCACTTTGGCTGCCATTGCACTGCTTTGTTTGCATGTGGCTAACTGGCTATTATTTGAGTTTGTTGTACAATTAATATTATCGAGAAAAAAATTTCAGGCTTCACCTATCAATGTTGGGGATCGTCAAGCAATTGTCGAGGAAAAGAAAACAAATACCCGAGGTAACTTTACTTGTTTAATTAGTCAAATCTTTTATTTTAAAATTAACTATGTTATTGAGTTGATATTTTGAAGCATACTTTTTTATGCCCGCAATCATATGACATCAAGTGAAAATATTACTGGCTTTTTCAGTTAGCAGCAGTGGGAGAGGGAGGTACCCCTCAGGAAGAGGCGGCTTTCGGAGTGACAGTTTCAAGAACCGTGGGAACTTTGGTGGTCGAGGTTATGGCAGGAATGAATTCAGAAACCAGGGTGAATTTTCAGGGCGACCCAAGGGTTCAGGTCGCAATGGAGACGACTACCAGCGGGTGAATCAGAATGGAAGTAGAAGGGGAGGTCGTCAAGGTGGGGTAAAAGGTAGTTCAGTTTCTACTTGACATAGACGAAAAGTTCATAGATGATTTTTTGACAGTACAAAATGAGGGGCATCAAGACACTAGAAGTTCAGGTTTTCCATTTTCTTATTTGCAACTTTACACAAGAACATTATTGTTAATCCTTGTTTTCGGTACTCAGCTTTTTTTTTTTTTTTTTTTTTTTTGATATTGCTCCTCTCTTTTTACTCCATAACCCTTACCACTGTCCCCTCCTTGTCTCACTCAGCAAGAATCAAATGAACCATAAATTTCACGGAAACCCTTCGCTGTTCTTAAGTGGTCCACAACTATTGGTTTCTTCTGGTAATCGTGTACAATAATTAAATAAAAGGAAGAAAAGAAAGTAGTTGTCGCAGGGTAATCCATTGAGGAATTTTCCGATGAATTGGAATTGATTAAAAAATAAAAGAAATGAAATAAACTCATAACACAGAAACAGGGTACGTCAAAATTTAGTTTGATTTCTGCAAGTTGGATACAAAATTTGAGGCAGCAAAGGCAGCAGATCCACCAACAACACTGAGCAGAGCAACTGCAATTTGCAACACAATTTCCCAAATGGAATCCTCAGGAAGAAAATAAACACAAGAGGGACCTAAAAACAGTATTCCCAAGCTAAGGCTAAACAGAGCTCCTGGAGTCCCAGGGTCGGTAGCTGCAGAGAGGACACCCAATTCCTCTGCCTTCGAAAGCAAACCCAATTTCTCTATTGTTGACAGAGACAGACCAAACTTCTCTGCAGCAGATAATAAACCAGCTTTCTCTGCCTTGCTCAGTAGCTTCAGTTGCTCCACCCTTGTTAGCAGCTTTACTGGAGGTGAGGTCGCTAATAGCTCTTTTCTTGGTCCTTTCTCTCCAAGAGGAAACACAGTTGAATTCTGCATTATTAGGAACATATAAACAAATAAATGCCAATAAATTGAAAGCTAAAATTACCAATCTCAAAACTCCAAGAAGAAAATATCAAAAGATGAACTAACCTTTCTAGAGCTAACAGTTTTGGAAGCAGAAGATGGCAATGGTTTCGGGGTAGCCATGGATTTGATTAGAAGAGGAGAATAAGAGGGAGAATTTTCTGTTATTGAAGGTTTCATTCTATTAGAATAGGAATACAGGTATGGAATCACTCTACTACTTGCAGAAATCGCTGTGGACTCTATCATTTTCTTCCTCTGGAGAAGGAGAAGTCTCAAAGGCCAAAGCCACCACCAAACTCAATGAATGATGGACAATTGAAGCTATCTTGGATTTTGTTGGGTTGGGTTGTCCACGTGGCAGTATCTGTTTGGTAAGCATTTCTTTATGCCTTATGCTTTCTTTGAACATTGCATTTATTTATGCTATTCATTTAAATTGTTGATAATTTGGCATTTATATACCCAAAATGTAAGCAGCGGTACCAAACTAGAGAAATACTCTGGAATTTTATTTTAGTATAAGCAATGAAAATATATATAAAAAAAAAATTCTAGAATTATAATTTTACTAAAACCTTATAATGTTAATTGATCTCAAACCACAATTCAAGAACCAGTGAAAAAGGCCTTCAGAATGCCAAAAAGTTACTGCTGACTCGCCCCAGGCCTGTGTCTCAACCACACTATCCCAGGCGCCAAACGACACAAACCCAGCTCCCCTTGGCTCGCTAAACGAGGCTAGCTATAGAGGCAACCAGGCCCTAGCGATAAGCATTCTACAGGTCCCCTTTTGCGCTAAAAACTCTCCTAAGACCCACTGTTTCTTATCCATTCAGTGCACCTTTCGCTCGCTACAATATGTAGTTCAGAGCCGTTTTCCTGTGCCAATTGAGTTGAGCCACCACTGGTTCAATGTATACCTTTGAATGAACTTTCTAATTTAGATGGTGTTCCAAAGGCAGAATTGGTGAAGTCTTTACATGAGAAAGCTAGAGCCAACATAGAAAAGAGCAATAAACAATATGCTGATAAAGCAAACAAGGGCAGGAAGAAGCTTGTGCTTATGCCAGATGATTGGGTTTGGGTACATTTTCGCAAGGAAAGATTTCCCAACCAAAGGAAGAATAAGCTCGATGCACGTGGAGCTGGTCCATTTCAAGTCTTGGAGCGCATCAATGACAATGCCTACAAGATAGACTTGCCGGGTGAGTATGGTGTTTCTACAACTTTTAACATTAGTGATTTGTCTCCCTTTGACATGGATGTAGATTTAAGGACAAATATTTTTAAAGAACAGGGGGATGATACGGATCCACCATCACAAAACACCTATAGAGCTCAAGGGAACAAGGACCACAACAATGGCAATCCATTAGTACTTCCTAGTGGACCAATTACAAGGAGCCGTGCAAAGAAATATGGAGCGCTTGCCGGCTTTTTCAGGTTGGTGTCACTGATATTTTTTCTCAGTTCCCGGTGACTTTAACCTAACCCTTCTGTATTACTTCATTGCAGAGCCAGGGCTTAATCTGGTAGGGTGTTGTAATTAGCTAAATGCAGGCTATGCAGCTGATGGCTATGCCAGGGCACGGGGAGTTGGTGCATGTGTTGTTACTTTCAGAGTGGGTGGCCTTAGCATTCTAAACCCAATTGCTGGTGCTTACAGTGAAGATTTGCCTGTCATTTGTATTGTTGGGGGTCCTAATTCTAATGATTATGGTTCTAATCGAATTCTTCACCATACTCTTGGATTGCCTGATTTTTTCCAAGAGCTTCGTTGCTTTCAGGCTGTCACTTGTCATCAAGTAAAATCCAGACATTGCATAATGCTATATCGAACATTTTGCTTACTGAAGTCTCATTTAATGGCTGTAATGTATTACTCTTGTAGGCCATTATCAATGACTTGCAATATGCACAAGAACAGATTGATAAAGCAAACACAAAATGTTTAGAAGAAAGCAAGCCTGTTTATATTAGCATCAGCTGTAATTTGGCAACCACCCCTCATCCCAGTTTCATTCCAGACCCTATTCCTCTCATTTTCTCCAGCAAGTAAGACTACATGCTATAGTACTTTTGGTAGTCCAGTATCTATAAATTAATTTTTTCAATGAAATTCATTTGCAGAAGAAATGAATTCCATATAGATTTATTCGAAGAAACACGTAAATCTTGATAATCTTTATTCACTTGTTTTGTAATGCAGGAAATCAGGAGTTTAAACACTGTCTGTTTCATAATACAGGGAGAAGAGTATAAATACTGACAGTCTCTATTTTCTTGTTTAATAGTGCAGGAGATCAAGAACTTATTGCCTTCCTTTCTTTTTCCTTTTCTTTTTCATTTTGTAATGCAGAAGATCTGAAGTTTAACCCTGACAATTTTTAATATTCACTTGTTTGGTGATGCAAGAAGTCAGGAATTTAAACGTGAGAGTCTTTTCTCCTAAACATCTTTGATTGACCATATATTTTGTTATTTCAGAATAAGTAACCACATGGCTCTGAAATTAGCAGTAGAAGCAACTGCAGAAATCTTAAATAAAGCAAGAAATCCAGTTCTAGTAGCTGGACCAAGACTCCGAGTAGCTAAAGCCTGCAATGCTTTTCTTCAGTTAGCAGATTCTTGTGGTTATGCAATTTCAGTAATGCCAGCAGCAAAAGGCCTTGTGCCAGAAAATCTCCCTAACTTCATTGGAACTTACTGGGGAGCAGCAAGCACTTCTTTCTGTGCTTAAATAATTGAAACTTTTGATGCATTACTATTTACAGGACCAATTTTTGATGATTTAAGCACTGTTGGTAGCTCACTACTCTTTAACAAAAATAAAGCTTTCATTGCAGAATCTGAAAGAGTTATTATTCCAAATATGCCTATTTCTTGGTGTGTGCCATTGAAGAAGTTTCTGGAAAAATTAGCAGAAAGGATTGATTATGACACAAATGCTTATCAGAATTACCAGAGACGAGTATGCGTTGTTCCTGAAAGAGAACTTCCTTTACAATCTGAGGCTAAAAAGGTCTTAAGGGTTAGTGTTCTTTTCTAGCACATACAGAAATTGTTATTAGATAACATGGTTGTGGTGGCTGAGACGGAGGACCCATGGTTTCATTGCCAGAAACTGAAATTGTCACAGGGTTGGGGTTAAGCAGGGCATATATATATATATATATATACACACAATTCATGTTTACACATATTTTATATATAATTGGGAAACATAAATCCATGCAGGTTTCAAATTCAAATTCTATATTCATCAATTGGTTGGTCGTTGGTGCAACTCTTGGTTATGCGCAGGCTGCACGGGACAAGCGAGTTATAGCTTGTCTTGGAGATGGAAGTTTTCAGGTATTATCATTTTGTAGCTTCAACAATTTCCATTATAAAAACTATGCACAATTTCCTACTGTTCTGTTTTAGAATTGGTGTTAACAAAATCCTGAGAAACAAAATTTTATGATTTTAAGGCCACAAGATTTTGGTTTTAAGAAAAAGAACTGTATTATATATTATGAACCATCAATTGACAATGACATGACTAGTACAGATGGCTGCACAAGAAGTGTCAACAATGCTTCGACGGGGGAATAAAAGCAAAATCTTCTTGATCAACAATGGAGGATACTCAACAGAAGCTGTGTTCGTGATGGATCCAACAACGTAATCAAGAACTGGAGCCATGTTAGTCTTGTTAATGCTATAGACAATGGTGAAGGCAAGTGTTGGACAACTAAGGTAGCTAAATTAACCAAGATTTTTTTAAAAAAAATTTTGAAAAATCAATTTAGTTCCTTTTGTTAAATCCAAAAACATTTATGTTCTTGTTTATTGTTTAGGTTTGTCCTGAGAAGGTAATAATTTCAGCAATGGAGAGAATAAAAAGGGATGAAGGGATTGCTTGTGCTTTATAGAGGTCATTGTTGATAAGAATGATACTAGCAAAGAGCTTCTTCAGTTTGGGTGCAGGGTTGCTGCTTCCGGCAGTCGCTAGGAAATGTATTCTCCATCAATTTATTTATAGAGAGCCTTGATGCAATGTTTCACTCTTTAACTTTTTACCGTATTGCAATTTCACTTTATTATAGATAGCCTTGATGCATCGTTGTCTTCACGACGAAGATGTTACCAAATTTTATAATAGGTTACTCGCAAATTTTTGGCTTCTGTACATATTTACCCCTAACATAACAAGCCACGTAAATTAGACGCTGGAGGTCTATTTGTAAATTCGCACGACCTCCCAATTAAAACCCTAAAACCCGAGAGTCCAATTCTCCTTCGCCAAGAGACAGAAAAACCCTCTCCTTTCTTTGTAAAACCCTAGATTCACAGGCAATATCTTATAGCCTTTCACATTGCATCAATGGCCGATTCTATAATTTCCCTTGAGAAGCTGAAATCTTTCTTGAACTCTCAAATTTACGATGAAGAGAAGTGGGCCTTAAACATGGTATGTATCGCGCTCTCCGTAATTTTGTTCAATCTATTACATTAGCATTTTGTTGGTGGTTCCGTGATTTTACCTCTCCGTTTTTTTGTGTCCTTTTGATTCCAATTTATAACTATTTATTCGTGCATAATATTTTTGAAGCTTCTGAATTGACTGTTTGGGCTTGTTGAGTTTGCTGATTCTTGATTGCAATTTGTGTATATGTTCCTTGAGTTCTTTGAATTTTTAGGTTTTTATTTCATTGAATTGAAATTGATGGGTCTGACAATCAGTGAAAGGGAGGCTAGAAAAGGGATGGATCGAAACTGTTTTTGTGGGTTTATATAATAGTTGCTTGGTATTCTTTTTGCTTTCTTTATTAAGTTTTTATTTGAGAGTTGTATGTCTTGCGATAAGCTCTATGATTCAGGAGCAGGATCTCTTCCAATACATGTAAATACAGTGAAAAAAAAAAGATCTTTTAAGTTAATTAAAGGAAATTTGAGTTTTCTCTGATCTTCAACATAAAACATACTGCAAAGTACAGGAAGATTTAATTGAATAGAACTTTACTTTTTAAGTATCCAGCGAGTATTTCCTGCCTGGTATCAAGAGGGCTCTTCTCTAGGTTAAGAGAGTAAGCATGGTTGCATAGAAGCCTGGAAGTGCTGGATAAAAGAATACATACCATGGTGTTGGATGAATTTGTCAAATATCCGAAATCAGTGTCATATATTCAGGCTTCTTTTAGCGCACACTTGTAAGGTGTGAGTCCTAAGCTGCTTCGTTTACTCGTGAATTCACTCAATATTATATTAGTATTTCGTTTCCGTGGCTTGAAAAAGGAAATCTTCAATTGAAAGTTAGGTTGGTTTCATATAAGATCTCTTCCCAGTTGAGTTTCAGGATAGTATCATAATGTTGATTCCAGCTTGTGTAATCTTATAGGTTATCTCCCCCAATTGGTAGAGCCATCGGCTGATATTAATATTTTAATTTATTCTATACCATTCGTTTATGAGCCTGCCTTTGGAGAATCTGGGTGTTATTCAGATCTCTGTAGTAATTTGTGGTTTCATAATATTGATGGTTAGGCGAAATGTTGACCAACGATCAGTTGAATTTTTGGAAACTGATTATCATAGAATGTCATCTGTTCTTCCATATAAATTACAAACTGAGTTTTCCTTTTCCTCTGCATTGACGAATCCATTACTTTTCTTCTTCCAGAAATTGCTTCGTGCTGCTGGACTGTTTGGAGGATCCATTTTTCTTATGCGGAATTACGGAGAACTCATGGCTATATAATTACAGATGATCGTTTGCTACAATGCTGAGCTCAAAATCCTGATGTATTAGAGTAGTTTTTAAGGAGTTTTAGCTGCTATTTCAAACAGTGGATGGTATTTTGCTACCTGTCTTTGAATTCCACTTAATGGCTGAGCTCCTTAAATTTTACCATATCTTAATCACATTACTTCTTTATGTGGAATTGTTTCTGAACACCTTTGGAATTAAATAACGTTCTGTAATCATAGAATTGTTCTGTGCATGTTTCCTTGTCTCTCTGATCCATGTTCATTTATACACCAGAAAATTTTGCCTTTTCCCCCCACCAAATTATGTGGATCTTATACATCTAAGTCAGGTTCTTAAATTTATTTCCAAGTTTTCTATATTTTTACATATTTAAAAAGTAAAATATTTACATTTTAACCAATTTTGTTTTTAAAAATACTTACTATATGTAACCCAAGATTACAACTTGAATTATGTTTATTTTTTAAGAAAAAAAAATTATATTATGGTGTACAAGACTCTTAGAATTATTTATATTCGAAGTACTATACTACTGTAGCCAATGTGAATTATTTGTTTTTTTTTTTTCTTGAAAATGCAAATAAATTATTTGTTTAATACTTGACTTATTCTATATTATAACTTGGAATTCTAGCTGTAATTTAAAAATAATTCTCACTAAGGATCACTTGCAACTATCGTAAATTATTACTCCATGGATTTTTTTAAAAATATATTTAACAATATAGCTCTAACCATTTTTATACTCTTATACATTAATATTTTTAATTAATCTTCAATATTGTAATTAGACAATAAAAATTAAGTATTAGATTTACGAAAATGTTCTTGCTAGAGGTAAATAATCTTTGAAAACAAATGGAATTTACTTTTTATCAAAATTAAAATTTTTTTATTTAAATGAAATTGAATAAATTGAAATAATATTACAATGTTACACAATAAAAGTAATTCTTTTAATAATTCTCATTATTTTGGTAAAAACTTCATAAACATGAGATTTTAACCAAAACCTTTTAATTTTTATATTTTAATGAAAAATAAGGAGATACCCTAAAAAAATGAAAATAAGGAGATCAAACCATATTATACTTATTAGCCTTACGACACTAATTTAAATTATTTTTGCGATCTATACATTTACAAAATTATATTTTGAGTAATAAACCTTAAGAATTTTACATGTCAAAAAAAAAAAAAAAAAAAAAAAAAAGAATTTACATGTCGAAAAAAAAAAAAAAAAAAAAAAAAAAAAAAAAAAACAACTTTTAGCTTTTAATAAAAGGGTAAAAAAAAAAGTTGAGTCATGCATCTCTTCTAATTTGTAATTGAAAAAAAAAATTTGTTTATATAAGCACATAGAATAAGTTTTAGCTGTGTTGGGTGTCCACACTTAACTTATATAATAATAAATATGTGTAGAAAAACAATAGAATATGTCTTTTTAACACACAAAAAAAAAAAAATAATCTAAATGTCATTTAAAAAAATAGAATAGATTTTTTTTATATTTTAAATTTAATTAAAAAATATTTACATACTTATTTATTGTGAAAATTACAAAAAAAAAAAGGAATTATATAAGTTCACGATTTTAAAAAAGTCTTTATTTTTTATAGTTAACAGTTAAAATTATGTTAATTAAGATAAAAATTAAATAATTTAATTTTTAAAATTAGAGGAATTAAATAATACTTCCACCATTCTATTTATATAAACAAAATTTCCTTTTAATTGTGTTCTATTTATAAAAAAAAATTACTTAAAATGGTAATTTTGAAACTAATGCTAAAGCAAAAGGTTCAATATGCTCTTATTTTGGTTTTTTTCGTTTATTTTCGTTTAAACATTCACTTTGAAGAATTTCAAGAAAGTGATAGACATTGTTGTGGCCAGCAATTAATATTTCAAAAAAAAACTAAACCATGCACTAAGAAAACGAGAACTTCTTCACATTATGCACACATATTAAATTTGGAGTTATAAGCATAGTCTGAATTTTATATACAATTTGTCTATACTTAATAATTAAATATGTACATATAGTGAGAATTACACGCAAATTAATAAATTTATAATGAAAGAAAATTTTTCTCCAAACAACAGTGCTTAAATTAAATTGTTGTGCTCATTTATATTTACTTATAGTTGTATACATTTACAATTTGATTCTCATAATAACTTTATCTTATAAAGAACTTAAAATATTGCAAATACATAAAATAATTAGTCCACACTCATAGTAAAAACATGAGAACATTTTTAAATAATATATATATTATATTATATATATATATATATAATATATATATATATATATATATTAAAATGTGTATAATATAAATTAAGAATTCAGGTGAATACAATATATTAAAAATGTGTATAATATAAATTAAGAATCAGTGAATACATCGAAAATCACATTTTTATTTTGTCAGAAGTCTAACAAATAAAACTATTCGTTTAAGTAATACGTATTTTCTTTCGTCGTTTATCGCCATTTTTCCTCTATATAGAACAGAGAGAGTACGGATATGGTCTCATGACGTAAATACCTAAGTTACCCTTATGTTTGTCAAAGGGTTGGGAATAGTTAAAAGGCTGCACGCGTGTGAAGTTCGGTTACAAACTTTGACGGCTTGAGACGCAGCCGAAATTGAAAATTGAAAACAATATAATATCCCAAGTAGCGAACCCAAGCTCCACCTAGTGCACCTATACCTATTCGGGAATCAGCGCTGCCGATATGCCTCTGATTTTGACAAGTGTCTATTCTAGACCCTCTACACTGACACCGCACACTTCTCTAAGCTCAGCAAAAGTGGATTTTTCAATTCAACCCACTCGCCGCTTCTCTCTTACTTCCCTTCCCTCCCTCCTCCACCAAATTGCCGTTTGTTTACTATTCTTCAAACCTATTTTTCTTTTTTCTTTTTTTTTTTTTTTCGAAAATTTCTTCACACCCTATTTACTTTTGTTACTTCTAAATTTAAATTAAACCAAGCTTTTATTTATTTTTATTTAATTTATTACTTTGTGTGTCTCCGTGCTTGGGTCAAAGTGATATTCAATTAATATCTTTCTTTAATTGAATTATTCCAAATTTCATTAAAATAAAATTCTATTAATAATAGGATCTCCATGTTTTGATTCTTTAATAAAGTACTGTCGATTTTAGATTTCAATCTCAGATTTCAATCTCCTAATGTGATGAATAAATTCGTTTAGAGATGCAATTTACTTCAGTTGATGCAAGCTTTTATTATTTTTTTTGATAAATACATTTTAATCTTTGAATATTTTTATGAATTACTATATTAAAAAGAATAAATACATATTATACCAAAAAAGTTATGTATAGAAATATTTAAATAATTATAGTATGTATTTCACAATAACTTTTTAACATACCTTTTAGTGTTCTGACTAGATTAAAACACTATAGAGAAAATTATACAAAATTACGTCTATTTAAAACTTGCATGTTTTATTTGAGCTTATTAGGAGTGAGTAATTCACAGTTTCTAACCGAAAACTGAATGAAATCGGCTTATCAGTAGGATTCGGATAGTTATTTCAAAAATTCAATTATCAGTTACTTTGGATATATAAAATTATCTGGTTTTTGATTTTTAGTTCGGTTATCATATCATTTGAAAATAATCGAATCTAAATTAAATTAATTACATCAATTTAATTCGGTTTGCATTATACAATTTGATTTTAAATTTAAATACTATAAAAATATATTTAAATGAATCGAAATCAAACTAATTCGGGTTGATTAAAGCAACGCTCACCACGCAGCTTATGATACAGTATCTCTACTCGACTTTTATTTCTTAACTAGATAAGTTTAAAGTCTAAAAACTAGCCAAAAGCCCCAAAGAAAATAAGGTAAAAGCAAGTTACAAAACCAAGCCTTTTAGTCCAAATGGAGTGAAGATAGAGAAGGACGAGGCACAGCAAGCAACAGGTGTTTTCTGGTGTAATGAGTCAGCACTGAACTGATAAAAGAGACATCTTTTTTCTTTTAACTTGCAAATGCAAATGCAACAGCAGATTCAGACAGTCAGCACACAGAACAGAAGAAGAGGAAGGGGGACTAGAACACCGTACATGGTGTTCTCTCTCTCTTCCCACTGCTTGCCACGTGTTCTCCTCTCACAACGTGTTGTCATGTTTTAGAAACCAAACAAATAAAAACTTGTTTTCTTTCTCTTTCTTGGATTTTAAACCGATTTTCTTTCAGTGTTTCCTCTGTCTCAGCCTCTCTCTCTGCTTCTTCATCTGGGTTCGTCACCCTTTTCCTTTTTTTTTTTTTTCTTTTCCCTTTTTTTTTTTTTCTGCTTCTTTCTACTGGTTTTATAAGTTCTCTGCCCCCTTTCCTTTTCCTTTTTTTTTTTTTTCTGCTTCTTTTCTACTGGTTTTATAAGTTCTGCTGCCCCTTTTTTTTTTATATATATATATTTTTCTTGGTTTCTGAACCTGCCGGAGCTTGATTTCTGCAGATTCTTCAGTTGGGTACTCTTGTTCTAAGCTTTTAGTTCAAATATTTTATGTTGTCTAACTTGTCTTTATGTTTTCTTTTAACAGGAGAAGGAGAAGAAGAAGAAGAAGAAGAGAGAAGAAGCTTGCAGTTTCTGTTTTAATATCAGAAATTGTTAAGAAAGTGAAAATCGGTGATAGTGATACCAAACTCTTTTCCATGCAAAACAATGGGCATGCGGAAGACCTTTTGAAAGGACTTCTTCTACAGGAGAAACTCAAAGAAAAAACCCAATTGAATACCGATCAAGAAAGGAAAATAAATGAAAAAATCAATCTTGGACTTTCTTTAGGTGGGATTTACTGTGACAATTCCTACGAAAAACCTCTATTGTCAAGGTCATCATCCGTTATTGGAGTTTTAAACCCAAAAAAGGATAATAAGCAATTTGAGTCATTTCTTTCATTGGCTCGGTCTTGCTCTGTTCCTACAAAGATAGAGCAGAAACAGAGCAAACCTACTTCGATGGCTTTGCCTAGAACGGAAATTGATACTGCTGAAGGTTTGTTTATAAGGCAGAGGAATAGAAAGGGAGTTAATAAAAGAGAGAAATCTCCTGATAGAGAACCAATGCCTTCTTCACCTTCTAAAGTTGCTGCATGGGCTGCTGCTTCTGCTGCTAAAAGTCCTGCCTTGTGCCGTGCCCTTGCTCAAATCAAGAGACAGGTCTCTTTGAAACCCAGTAGAAAACTTGAAGGTATAAGTAACTTTTCCTTATTTGTTATATATGCTTAATTTTTAATTGAACTAAAAGTTAATTTTATTCTTTAATTATATGCTTAAAGTTGTTATATTCGATATGTTTTGATAGTTGGACGTTAGGTTTATGAAGCATTAGGTTTCAAATGCTCAAAAGATTATTAGAGAGTTTTAGTAGCATTTGTTTATTGGATTAATTTTTAAGTTGGAAATCTTGATCTCATTGTTTGAAAAAGAAAATTAGTTACTTGTATATGTTGTTTTTTCATTGTTGGTTTTAGATTTTGCGGAGGATTTAGGATTGATAAGCATTAGATATGAAAATTGTTGTAGAGCATTGAAAAAACTAAACTAGTTTAAAGTAAGAGGGTTGTTATAATTAGTGAATTGGTCGTAGTCGGTGTGCTTGAAGAATAATGCTATATTGCTTAGCATGCATTTTAGGGCAATTGCTAGTTTGTATGGCATCTATAGAACTAATTAGAGGAAACACGTAAAAAGGGTTAAGCCAATAGGCTAGGAGAATTTATGGAAATCTATAGGCAAAAGTGATATATAAGAATATTCGATTCGTCGGCTAATGTTTTGAATGATGTGATCAAATCTTCAATTCAATGACAAACCGACAAAATGAGAAAGAATAAACCCGTCCGTGTATCGACAAAAAATGAAAAGGACATGATGATTGTGCATTTGCCATTTATAGAAGTCGAATCGAGCCCTAGCATGTATCGACAAAAACATATATGACATTGTATTTAAAAATCCATATTAAGAAGCTTTGCCGAATAGTTTCACATGCATATTCGTAAACCAATTGTCGGTTTTGAGCATCTTATGAATGAAGGATCGTTTAAATTACCATAGAATTTGGGACATTAATAGGAATTTAATTAGCTACCTTTATTAAAGTTTTTGCCAAGTTGAGGTGGGAAGTGGATGTTCCCATCTTCATATGTGTGATTTAATCTATATGCATAATTTCGAGCATATATTCAAGTTTAATTAATTAGAAGAAGATTATATAAAAGTAAGGGGTTCAAAATAGTATAAAATTTAATTGGAAGAAGATTATATAAATGTAAGGGGGGCAAGATGGTTGGAAGCCCGTTAAAAGTGTAAGATGGTCAAGGTTCAAGGCTTGGGGGGACAATTGCGCCCCTTCAACTACATGTAGAGAAGCCTGCTTATGTATTTGTGTATGATTTTGAGGTGCTTAGGCTTCATGCTATTCTCTGGGGTTTGAGTGCAACTTTTTGCTTATTGAATTCTTCACATCCTTTATATGATCTTATATGCATACTTTATTTCTCTATTTGACTAACAAGTTCGCCGTGCTGATAATTCATGCTTGGATGGCTAGGGAATTGAAATTTATTGCATGCTTGCTTGTATGTTTGTATGATTCATGTACAAAATGTTAGCATCAATTTAGTATGTGCAATGAGACTGTATTGAATTAACAAATCACATAACAAAAATTGTAATGCTCTTGAGCTTAAATTAAATTGACTCTGATGGTTCTTTTAGGATAAAAATTAGAAAAAAAAAAAAAAGAGTCAGGATAGTAGAAATTTGATGAAAGCATAATTGACTTATCCTTTACCTCTAGAGAAACTTATTTACCAACAAGATAAGAATTGCTTATATTTGATGTATGGGTCCATACCATATACCAAACTGAACATAAATAGTTTTTTTTTTTTCAATTCAAACGACGGTATTTATGACCATTTATTGAGCAAAAATAAAACAATAATAATTTTCTTCTTTGATCAGCTTAGTGTATGGGTGGTTTTATATACTCGGTCTTGGCAAGTCTTTTTTTATATATATAACTTTCAATTGAAAGTTAAAGGAGATGCTTGTAGATATTAAGTATGTTTATCTGAAGTGCAACAGGATTATGATCTAACTTGCAGTTGAAAGCATTTTCCAAAAGAAAAAGCCACATAGCTTAGTCATCTAAGAGGGGCTTCCTTAGCAAAAAATTGTTCTGCTTTTAAAAACATTGATTTTGTTTCTTATCTAACCCTAATTTGTTTTCAACTTTATCTCTGAGAAATGTTTTATGCTAGATGGAATAAATTTCCATGCAGCCCAAGAAAGTCCGATCACAGAGGGGGGCACTACCCATTTACAGTCATCACCAGCAGAAGAGTACATAGAAACCAGGGCCATGCCATGGACAAATGCAAATGGAAAGTCAATGGATACTTCCGAAACCAAACTCGAAAATCCGCCAAAAAAGATGAAACTTCTGAACGATGGGTTCGAAGATCATGGAATGGATGTGATGAAACAGATGCCTACTGTGACAACTGTAGGAGATGGCCCTAATGGAAGGAAAGTAGAGGGGTTTCTTTACAAGTATAGCGAAGGTCAAGTGAACATAGTATGCATTTGTCATGGCAGCTTCTTCTCTCCGGAAGAATTCGTAAGGCATGCAGGCTGTGAAGATGTCGCCAACCCCATGAAGCGTATCACAGTCTCCTCTTCTTTTTCCTTTTAGTAGCCCCAATTGGATCGGGAACAATGACATACTTTGGAATTAAGTACGTGATAGGGATTCTGACCCTCCTCTTCTCTACCATAAATACCCTTAGTTTGTTATAAAATATCATATTTGCCTTTGCTTTGAACTTTGTATGTCATTATGAATGTTTTTTATAAAATAAAGACCTTATATTGATTGTTGTTTGTTGTTTTTTTTTTAAAATCATCATATATACTTTAAAATTAATGTAATAAATTTGCTTTATTTGATTTTACCAAAATATTTTATTATTATAAAAATATTACATTTTTCTTTAAGAAAAATTATGGGTTTGAGAAATAATTTTCATTCTCATTATTTTTAAATATTCAACTCAACCATAAGATTATCTTAAAGGAAAAGTCTTATTCAATAAAATAATTAAATTATAATAAATTTATTAATACGGGCATTTTGGTCTTTTTGCTCCTTTGGCACCCATCCGAATGAGGTTATATTATGGTTAATGGAGAAATCCTGAAACTAGTATACTATCCTATTTTCTTTCCGTGTTGTCTCTTTTTGCTTCTGCTAGACTTTCCTTTCTACAGATGAAAACTCCTGATTTTGGTAAGCTTCTAATGGAGGAATGGCTATTTCAGCTCATCTTACTCATGGAGTTGTTTGTATAGTTTTTTTAGTTGTTAATTCATTGTTGCTTTCCAAATTTGTAACTTTATGTAGGAAAATTCTTGCGGTATAATTAAAAATTTTATTTTTGAAAAAAAAATTTGATTTATATATATATTTTTAGTATATAATCAGAAATATTTTCTTTTAAAATAAACATTATTTGTAATTGTTTTAGTGTATAGGTGGTTCATACACCGGACGTAGACAAATCATTTGCTTTTATGTAAACATACGTTTCCAGGAAGTTCCATGAACCTTTATATATTTTATATTTTTTTACAAAAAATATAAAACATGTCAATAATTAAAAAACAGCCTTCTTATTTAAATTAATATTTTTTTTAATTCACTGAGAGGCTCAATGTGCTAATCTAATATTGTGAGCTACATAATAAAAGTAGATGTCTTTTGCCTCATCAAATTGGTGAAAACAATTGTAATCTAAAGAATTTGAACTCGAAATCTCATATTCTCTTACTCTTTCGACTCGTTGAATTGGTGAAAATATTTATGACCGAAAGAATTTAAACTCGAGATCTTCTACTCTCTCACTCTTTATACAAGTAAGAAGACTAATAAAATTATACATGATTGATTAAATCAAATGTTAATTGTTAAAATAGAAATCAAAGTCAACAATACAATAAGTATATTGATTGAATTGGATGGATACGGATATTATTATTAATTTATTGATCATGATAATAAAAGTCCAATAATAAAAAAACGTTGAATACTTTTATTATAATATGATAATAGAAATTAATATTACAAAGAATTCCGTACTTCATATAAAGGTTGAAAGGAGGAATACCTGCACCGTTTATATAGTATTCCGCTGCCTAGTATTTATAGTAAAATAGTTGATAATTACTCTAATTTTTAAAACAATTAACTAATTTCTACATATATATGTTAAAATTATTAATTTAAATTTCTTAAAAACTTAAAATATAAATATATATTCTCTATAGTATTATCAAACTGCTCTTCTGGAAGTTCAAGAAAAAGACAAGAAAATGAAAATTTCAAGAAAAAAAAAAGAAAAGAAAGCAAACAAATTCTGACTGTTCAAGTGACTTTTTGGCTCTCAACCAATTCTGTTTCTACTTTTGAAACTTAAACCACTGGATATGATGAATCTGTCCTCACCTAATTAGAGAAGTCAAACAAATTGCAAAACATAAAAAAAAAAAAAACAGCCATCCCGACGGTCCCTATGATTCGGGCCATTTACGTCACCATTGTTCTTTTTTCTTTTAGATATTTTTTTTTTCCTTCTTCATAATCACTTAATCAGTGGTGATTTTAATTAACAGCAGAAAAATTCATTATCTTAAGTGATAAATGAGAATTATAGAAGAATAAATGTTGAAACTGATATAATCAAACTGTATTTCTATCTAAAAGGAATATTCTTGATCCCTATTCTGATCCATGGCTAAGAATTCTCCATAGCATCAGCTCCTAAGCTGTTTTATATATAAAGTTGACGCCTTTAGTCACATCCTGACTTGTCTAGAGAAACCCATAACTGGGTGACAAGGTGAAAGGAAGTTGGAACTTGAAAGACAGGCTTTAGAGAGAAGTTGAGCCAATATCATGGCTTTGAAATGTAAGTTTCCGAACTACATCTCCAATGATTTCTGGGTTTCTCTGGTGTTTCAGTTTTTGGGTTGTTTGATCTTTGATATGATTTTTGAACTGTTTCCTTTTTGTCCAGTTTTGTTTTTGATTGCTGTTTCATTTGGCTTTTCCATGATTTTTTCTGGGTTTTTTTTTGGGAAGCAACTAGATTACGATAAATTGATAATACTGGTGTGAGATTGTTTCGTATTGGCGTTTTGTATGTGTAGTGAATTAGCTGGATTGATTAGGTGATATAAGTATTTAGTTTAAGGTTTTCTGATCGTTTCTCTATGCACTAATATCCACTGATGATGATATTCCTCAATCTCTTGTTGAATGATCACACCATTCAAGGAATGTGAGCAATTGTTTGTTCCCAATATCTCATATCAATTTTTAGATTACAATTGTGTCATTCGATTAAGTTGTTTGTACTGTACTTTATGTGGATGAATTAATCATTTTGAAGCATAACCTATTACTTTTTTTTTTTTTTTTTTTTTTTTATCAATTTTTAGATTACAAATGTGTTCAATTTCGATTGAAGTTGTTTGTACTGTACTCCCTTATGGTGGATGATTAATCATATGACAGCATAACCTATTACTTTTTTTTTTTTTTTTTTTTTGTATTGGACGTTATCTCATTCTTGATTTAGTGTGATTGATAAATTTTTTGTGGCTACTGCAGCAAATGCAGGTTATGTTGCCAATCGTATTAGCTATCTCTTGTGGCTTGTATTTTTTTTTTTTTTTTTTTTTTTTGTATTGGACGTTATCTCATTCTTGGATTAGTGTGATTGATAAATTTTTTGGTACTGCAGCAAATGCAGGTTATGTTGCAATCGTATTGCTATCTCTTGTGCTTGTATGCAATGCAAGGCCAATCTATCCTCTACCCAGTAAAATAGGCCATAGTCATAGACAGCCTTTGCAGACTTTTCGTCCATTTAATATTGCACATCGAGGATCAAATGGAGAGCTTCCTGAAGAAACTGCTCCTGCATACATGGTATGTATGCATACCTGGTGAAATCCGTGTGTTTTTCCTTTTCTGTTCATATATTTGATTTTTGAATTTTCTACATTCATATTGAGAGAGAACGCACTTATCAAGGAAGTGTCAAATTATTGGTTCTCTTAATTGTTGAATTGTTTTTTCCTTAGTACTTTATTTAATGACACAAACTCTGTGCACACATGAGTCGAGCAATCTTTTTCAGTCCTGATCAATAAATCTTTAGCTGGATCAGATTATTTCCCTTTTTTTCTCTAATTAAATTAAATGAGGCCATATTTAGATGTATCTCAGAAAGTTAGTCCCTTCAAATGTTGGATGCCAAAAGTTGGTTTCATTTTTTTCTCTCTTGCTTTCACCTTATAAGCTTGTGTGTTTCTGATACCAACTGCTTCTCTCAGAGAGCCATTGAAGAAGGGACAGATTTTATAGAAACAGATATTCTATCCTCCAAGGATGGTGTTCTTATATGCTTCCACGATGTTAACCTTGATGACACAACTGACATTGCGGAACATAAGGAGTTTGCAGATCGTAAAAGGACTTATGAGGTTCAAGGAGAAAACATCACTGGCTTTTTCACAGGTAGTGGAGTTGTTGTTCATTTTCTTTACAGATGATTTTGTTGTGCTGCTGGGTACTCCCAGCAGAACTTAAACTTGAAATTTGTGTGCTTCTTTTTCAAGTTTTATGTTTTACCTGAAAAAGAAAATCTGAAAGTTATATCCATTGTGTAGTTGATTTTACTCTCAAAGAACTGAAGACATTGAGAACGAAGCAGAGATATGCATTCCGGGATCAACAGTATAATGGTTAGTCAATTAAATGCACTTAATTTCATATATATTGCACTTATGGAAGTCAGTCATTTCTGGTCTATCAATACATTAAAGTTCAGTCATTTCTGGTCTATCAATACATTAAAGTATATTTCTTGAAAAAATGCCTAGTTGAGCTGTTGGCTTAGAAAAGACTTGCCTCCTTTTGTAGTTAGAGTTCAAAAAAGCTGCTTAACAGTTAGCAGTACTTGGCTTTGAACTGGGTAACTGTGGGATTGGGGCTAATTAATTACTTTGAAAAAGTAATGAGAGAATAAAGGATGACCCAGTACATGAAATATCCCACATTTGTGAGCTTTTGCAGAGAAGCTGTTTCTGTGGTTGGATCCCATGAAGCCACCCTCGAAATAATGAGAGAATAAAGATCTAAATATTTACTGTTGTAATAACTAACAAGAAGAAATGACATGTGCTTAGCTTTTCTTAATCAATTGATTTGGTTTGTGCTGAATGATTAATAGTTTTGCTACATCTGGAATTGGATTGTAATGAATTGTGGATATCTACTCTCTCTGGTGATCTTTGCTTAAATCACTTAAAGTAACCTGCCATATCTGTGCTGTACAATGCCAATTTTTACAGTATAGATTTTATTCTGTCCATCATGATAACAGAATGCTAGTGCATTTTGGAGCATATGTGGCGATAGATAGCCGAGTATAAAATATTTTAGCTGTTTCTCAGGAAAATTTCCCATAATTACATTTGAAGAATACATATCAATTGCACTGGATGCACCAAGAGTTGTTGGAATATACCCAGAGATCAAAAATCCTGTATTTATCAATCAGCATGTAAGAAATTTCTTTCCACAATATAACTTGAAGTATATTTGCAGAAAAGCTTGCTTTAACATTAATCAGAATCACAAGGTTTTCTTTTTCCTTTTCCAATATTATCACTGACCTCCCCAATCTCTTAGACTATGCTGACAATGGCAGTTTGGAAACTGTTCATTTTTTCTTGAACTTTAATGAGATTTTAATGAACAGCTAAAAGTTTAAATTATGGAGCAGATTCTTTTACAAAACATTTACAAATTATGTAATGTCAGGTAAAATGGCCTGGCGGTAAGCGATTTGAAGACAAGTTTGTTGAGATACTACAAAAGTATGGATATGAAGGTTCATATATGTCAAAAGAGTGGCTGAAACAACCCATCTTTATCCAGTCCTTTGCACCAACATCACTCGTGTATATATCAAATTTGACAGACTTACCCAAAGTCTTCTTGATTGATGATGTTACCATTCCGACCCAGGACACTAATCAGGTTTCTGTCACTTATCTCTCTGCAGAAGATTTACTCAGTTGATTTAATTGTTATTCTAGTTGTCACTATTCTACTTTTAAACGTCCACACTGGATCATTTGAAGGATCAAATATCATATCGTGGGTTTCATTTTCAAGAGGTTACTCAAGGATGAAATTATCTGAAATACAATACATTTGATTGGTAGATCATAGGAATGAATGGCTATAGACACCAAAATCCACAAATTCTATCGCAGGAAAGCTCATATTTGATTGTGGAATTGCTACTTTCCTGCCTTAAGTTCTGTAGAATCCTTTTCCCAATCTGATCAGGGATGTCAAAGGCTGGACTATTATATGTGTACCAGACACCACAAATTCTAAATCTTTATTATTGTCTAAATATCCGATGAATGCAACTCATTCCAACCCTTTCGACTTTATAAGTTCTAATGGAAGATTATTAATTTGCAGTCATATTGGGAAATCACTTCTGATGCTTATCTAGACTACATTAAGGAATATGTGGTAGGCATTGGACCCTGGAAGGATACAATTGTTCCTGTAGTTAGTAATTATTTGCAAACACCTACAGATCTTGTTGCCAGAGCACATGCCCGTGATCTACAGGTAAACTTCTCTGTCCAGTGCTTGTCTTATGGCTATAATATTGTTACTGAAAAACAAAGATAAAGGAACAATTGCAATAAACTATTTCTTCAGTAATGCATTGCAATCTTGAAATGGTAATCTCTTTTGTCTTTGAATTGGATGAAGGTACTGAGTTTTTGAACAGATTAGATTGCTCATACCCTAATGACTAAACTGTTTCAACGCACTATAGCAAACCAAATTGCTTAACTTGATATACGCCGAATGTCCATAAAAGATATTAATGTCAATAGGCTTGCTGAGGCCTAACTTTCCAAAGCAACTAACATGTTCTTTATGTATTATCTTGAAATGCTTAGTGATTCTTTATGAAACTTAGCACAGTTTTGTTCACGCATTCTCTATGTTTTTTCTTGATATATTCATCTGGGAAAATTTCTTCTCAATATTTCCACAAATTTTTTACTGTCATCTGAACAGCATTATTTCACTTACATAAATCATAGTTATTTCTGTTCTTAAAATCTAAATTCTCCCTAAATTGTGATTTAAATTCAGGTGCATCCATACACATACCGCAATGAGGCTAAGTTCTTACACTTCGACTTTCATCAAGACCCATATGCAGAATATGATTACTGGCTTAACAAGATAGGAGTTGATGGCCTCTTTACAGATTTCACTGGGAGTCTGCATAATTTTCAGGAGTGGACATCACCTGAAGATGACAACACTAAATCCAAACTTTTGCATAAAATAGCATCACTGATCTCTTCATATAAAAACTGATGAGATGAACTGATTTTATTTGTCATCTTTAGGGTCAATTTCTCCGAGCTACATTATTTATTCATTAAATATAGTTTCAGGCTTCTCCTGTCACTCCAGCTGAGAATAATTTATTTAGTTCGATGAGGTTATCCTATGCAAAGTGTTTTTATTTTGCTTGCGTTTTGCCTGTTTCGGTATTTACTTATTATCTAGCAAATTTAATCACCGATACTGAAACCTTCGTTTCCCTTAAAGCTGATAATGAGAAAATGTACTTTTATTATGCAAGGCTCATGCACAGACATGCAGAACACCAAAAATGTAATAATGAAGTTCTCATAAGGTCCTGATGAAGTCTCTATCCATTTAAGTTTGGTTTATTTTTGGAACTTCACCTAATTTAACGGTCTAACTTTCTTTCCCTTGTCTCTAAAGATTCTACACTTGTCAAGTTGAAAGAATTTTAAATTGATATTACCTTTATCCTAATAATATGAATCAATAACAATGGAACCAACCATATTTTTAGTGATGCAACTGCAAACTGAATGCAGTTGGCTGAGCCCAAGCAACCAGATTTATTTAATAGCTCTAACTGCATAAGATAATTTTGATATATATCTAGGAGCATAGCTAAACAAAGCAACTAATAGAATAATCATATATTACAAAGTGTTTGGAGAATCGACAATCTAGAATTCTAGATCTGGCTTACTATCCCTTAAGATACAAAAAGATTGGATGTTATATTGGCCGAGCCACATTTTAAGAACAAAAACAAAGTCATCTACTAAGAAGCTTTCATCTTTGAGATCTCTTCTAGCAAATATCTTGATTCTGCAGCAAAATCAACTGGAGCAACAGCCCTAACTGTTATTCTTTGCCTCTTCTCGTTATTGTACTCGTTTTGAGTAACACTGACCCTAAAAAGATGAGGGTTCCATGTGGCTTCTTTCAATTTCATTTGGTATGAAGTCCCTTCTTCCTGATAATGTCAAAATGTGATTAAAGGAGTCAGAAACCAATTTCTCGAATTTCATATGTTCACCTAAATTAATTTAATTTCAGATGTTTCTTTGATAGTAGTGTACCTGTGATTTCAGTGTATCAAGTTCATCAGCAGAGCAACCAATGATCTTCTCTGCTTCTTCATTGAATGTAGAAACCCAACCTTCACCACTTGCATCTGAGACTCTAACCACCATAATATACCTTGAAAATACAACAGATAATTTAATGTTAAATTTCCATTGCAATGCATATATAATGTTATTGCCCTTTAATATTCCCTTTCAGATTCTCACCTTAAACTGCACTCTGCATCACTCTTCTGGCATGCTTCACACCAATATCCACCTCCAACAGCTTCAGTCACTTTCTTATTGCAAGTTTTGCAAGCCCGGTACCACATGCTCTGATCAGGCTTAATAAAACTTATATATGCCCTAATGCTGAAAAATGCAGGCTGCAATGGACACAATCGAATTCACTTTCTATCAATTAAATAACTCCCTCAAACTTTCAATCAGTTGATCGGTCATTAATTAATCAAATCAAGCTCTATTATCTCCAATGCAAAACATAGTTAGCAATTTTAAATGTTTCATTGCTGGAGACCAATCAGAAGTTATAAATTAAAACTTTCAAGTGAAAGGCATTTCATTTATTTGTGAAAGATTAACGATGCCCATACCTTGTCACTACCCAAAGATGGATTGCTTGTTATGTGAGAGATGGTGACTCGGTCAGAGTACATAGATCTCGCTCCGCTCTTTGTTGAAGGGCTTAAACCAGAGCCAACAGAGGACATTGAAGCCTCTTTACCTTCAGAATCATACCTAGCAAACAACTAAATGTGTTAATACACATTAGCAAAAAAAATAGAAAAAGAAATATCGAGTGCAAATATTGATGACAAAAATTTACCAGCTCCTCAGCTTATTTGAATCAGGAATATCTGGATTGATTTGTAGAATGCTTCTACCCAATGTAGACAAAGATACTCCTGCATAAAATGTAAAATTGACAACTACATATCAAGATCACTTTCAAAGACACAGCAACCAGAAAATAACATAACAGCACAAGAGAACAGTAGTTTACCTTGAAAGTCACCAACTTTAAGAGATTTGATTGCAACTACAGGCGATTTATCAGCAACGTCAAGTAATTCTTGCCCCACATCGGTTGCAAGATCATTCCATAGAGACACTACAACTGTCTTCTTCCTGTATTACACATTCGCTGCTTCAATATGGTGTAACTACAAAGATAAATTAAAATGAATTGAGTAAATGGTAGAAAGAATAATTACGTCTCATCTGCAATAGTTATGTCACGCTTTGGGACAATATCATTGTTGCTTTTCCTTCTAATGCTCATTGTCGGAGAAACACTTTGAACAACTCCAATAACATCTAAAACAGATCAGAAAACATGTTACTAGACAATGAGAACAAGGGCCAAGGAAGAGTGCACATCAACAATGGATTCCTAAAGTAGGTTCTTACCAACAAGCTCATTTGTATTAACATATGGACCCAATTGATCAATTGGGACAAAATTGAATTTTGTTTCAGGAATAAAAGTTGCTTCATTTCTGGCCTCCTCTACTTCAGAGTTCTCATTTAAAGTCATTTCATAATCATTTTGCACTGTCCTAAACTGTTTGTTAGCAACTCTGAGAGTTCCTTTTGATATGTAGTAAACCTTTCCCAACTGAAACTTGTCATAGAATTTCCTTGCAGCCTCATTAAACATTGTTGCTTGTATCTGTGTACCCTGCATATAGAAAATCCATTTATCAATTCATAGTCCCTCTAACTGGGAAACTAAAATTGCAAAATACACATAACCAAATTTCCAAACAGAACTTACATCTTCATCTGTTAACTCAACATTGAAAACACACCCTTCTCCTCTTGCATTCTTATATGTACGCATATTTCCTTTGCTTGTAACTCTGACCTTGATAGTCCAGTTGCCTTGGTAAGGATTCAAAGAAACAAGAGGATGAACTCTTCTTGTCATGGCCATTCGTGCAGCAGGAGCCATACTGAAATTTACATAGACATGAGATATGAATACACAACAATAAAAATGAAATAGTGAACCCTTATCAATAATTTAAAATTTGGCTAAAGCCAACCAAACAAGAAAGACTCACTTTCCACGTTGTTCATGCACTATTTGAGCAGCTGATTTTGCAACTATTTCTTGTTTTGGCTTCAAAAGAATGCCAACTTCTTTCTTAGCTTCAGTCTTGATCTCATTTTCTTGTTTTGGTTTCAATATTATGCCTACTTCTTCCTTTTCTACCTGTTCCTTGATTTCCATTTCAAGGGCAGGAGAAACCACCTCACATTTTGTTATGATTAAATAACTGGAACAATTGAAAAGAACCCCATCAAATTAGCAATCAAATCGAAAAATTCAAACCAATCTAAGAAAACAAACTAAGATGGAAGCTAAGTTTCATACTTCTCCGATTTACTGGGTATTTCATTGACTGTGTAATCAATGATACGAATAAGACCCAAATTTTGGATGTTTCCGGAGATAATCTCAGTGGACAAACGGGAATTGAAAATTGCTTTTATCCTCCTCTTTCCATCATTAGCATCAAACCTGCAAGCCAAGAGCAACAAAGCTAAATCAAAAACAGTTTGCATGGTATATACAGAGTAGCTATATCATCAAATCTGAAAGCCTGAACTCGCTTATTGAAATAAACCCATAATTGGAAAGAAAATGCATACAATCAGAAAATTCAAGTAGCTCTACGAACGTGTTTATTCCTATCAAACTATGAGAATCACATCAATTGATGAAATAAGAGAGATATTTACCCATAAGATTTCCCTTTAGGTTCTAGATTGGTGATCTGGAGGATGATTTCAGGTACATCAGCAGCTGAATCTGGTTTTGGATTTGAGAGCAAAGTAGCTATAGCATCTGGACTCACCCATTTTGCCATCTCTCTCCTTTTCTCTTTCTTTCTCTCTTTGATTTCTGGGTTTTTGGGTAGTGGAAGATGGAGATTGAAGCCGCCTATGGAGGAGTGTGTGTTTTGTATGGAGTGATTTTGGCGCGATACTAAAGCTATTTGCTTCTTTGGAATTTTCTTTTCGCGGTTAAAACTAAAAAAATGGAAGTAAATTGAAAGTGGAGGCTGTTTTCGAGTTTTTCTGTTGGCGGGAAACTATAACATTTTGTTTGGGTCCCGCCGATTCTATTGAAATTTATGTAAATTACTGTTCTGCCCTCCTTTTTTTGGTTTGGCATAATGCTAAATTGGGTTATTTTCTATTGGGCCTAATCGTACAGCCCAATAAATTTTATGTAACTAACGATTAATGAAGATTAAAAATTTTGTCATTAATTTTTTCATTTATTTTTTATCGTATAATAAGTCTGCTAACGTTATTAAATTAAAAATTTTATGGTAATAATAATACATAATTGAAAAATATGGATGAAATCAACCAAATTCGAAAACATAATTATAGGTTTTAAAACGACTTTTCTCTAGAATACTATGTTCTTGTAAATACAATAATAAATTTCAATATGATAAAATCATATATGCATTGAAAAATATAAAATTATGTAGTATTATAACCAAAATTTTTTAAAAATTATAATTTTTATGAGATTAATAACATAATTTTACTTTATTGAGGCAAAAATTAAATTTTAATGAACCTAATATCATAAATCCACTATAATAAAATTAATTTTTTTAAAAATTTTATAAGTGCAGAGCAAGGTGGGGTATAGATGGAAGCAAGTAGAATCCGTCAATTTTGAATTAGTAGCTACTCTTATAGCTGCACTTGTTTGATTTTTTTTTTTTTTTTTTTTTTTTTTTTTTGAGCTTTGGTCCAATTTTAATTCAAAAAGAGAGAGAGAGAGAACCAAAGCATATAACTCTCTATTACAAAAGAGATTTCAAATATTTTTTTTTTTTTTTTTTTTTTTGAGCTTTTGGTCCCAATTGAATCAAAAAGAGAGAGAGAGAGAACCAAAGCATATAACTCTCTATACAAAGAGATTTCAAAATAAAATTGGAACATTTTTACTGAGGAAAGCAAAATTTTGAAGAGTGTTTTTGAATATATAAGTTTGTGATCTCTCTTACATGTGTTCCTCTGGAATTAATTTCCGTTTTACAACAATGTTAACAGTAGAAAATTTGTGGCAGAATTCTTCTGCAACAAAGATTTGTCAATCATACATCACGAACGCGAAGAACTACAACAGGGTAAGCAAGCGAACCATCTATTCATACCAGCATTTGCAGGTGGTTTAGCAGTACTAGTCCCTGGATTAGGCTGTTCTAGTTGTGGTTTTTGCTGCGACTCTGGTTCTTGTGACACTTTAGGAGTCTGTGGCTGTGATGGCGAACGCGGTGATGCATTTGGCTTTGATGAATCGGCTTTGTGATCGGTCAATCTGCATATATAAACACAAACATCCAATCATTTCTTCTTGACGTTAGACGTTAGATGTCAGATAGATGTTAGAACTTCATTTCATGTATGGCAGAAACACATAGACTTACATTGGAAATGCAAATGATTTGACACTAGCTCCACTAACATCTGAACGACGAAAGCTAGCAGAACGCTGAGATTTCTTGGGAGTTTCTTTAGGAGTTTCATTTTCTTTTATGGTTTCAGAATTAACAACAGCCTTGTGTTTAGCAGAAGATTTACTAATCGGTGAAGGAATATTCATGTCTCGCTTACTGGAAGGCTTTACCAAAGGAGAAACAGGTGCAGACATGCTAATCTCACCAGGTAACCCTATTAGCTCTCCTCCCATAAATGATTGTTCTCTAGTGAAGCTCATATTCCCCATGTGAATACTGAACAAAGATTCACTAGAAGCAGCACTCCATTCCATTGGCGCCTGAGATTTATTTCTTGCAAACATTGCAGATGGAAATCTATATGAAGGAGAGGTGTTCATGTCCAGGCTTGTTGTCACATCTCTATTTTCTTCTGCTAATTGAGTACCTTGAGAGAGTCTGCTGCTATTATGGGTTAACTCAATATGGTCTTTAGAAGATGCACTTATTTTATTTTCTTTCTCATATCGAGTATCTTCAATCTGTTTGCCTTCAATCTCCGAACTTCCCATACTAACACACAGCAGAGCAGTTCATCAATAGGGATATTTTTTTTTTTTAATTGAATCTATAGACATGACAATGCAAGAAGATCTCAAGAAAGCAAGATTTGGGTTTTTCTTCCTCTTTATCTTTTATTTTGTTTAGCGATATTATTGTTGCATTTTGGTTGAAATTATTCTTGAAAATCAAATTCTATTTCAAGGACATGAAAATTAAAAATGGGTGTTTAGCTTATATCCTATTGTCCCCATAGACAATAATTGCAGGAGCTTCAACTAACATTCTGTAAATTTTGATAAGCAGTATCGAAAAGAAGAAACCCAATTGTTATCGAGAAAAGATTGATTGTCTTGTAACCTTTTTATCAGAATTCCAATTATATATCTGAAAAATATCATTTTACACAAAATATTGACAGGAAAGAAACAATACAATGCAATTGTAGAAGGAAAGTATAAGGAAATTCAAAATCAATTAGCATTTAGCAATAACAATGTTTATTTATAAGACAATATATAATTACTTACTGTTATAAAGGCAAAAACAACCCAAGAAGTTGGCAACGAAGGGATCAAATCAAAAATGGCTCAAAACTCTGTAACGTACAATTATTTTCTTGATCAACGGGGGAAAAGAGAAAACTGATAGCAAAATCCAAGAAAGTGAGAGAGAGGGAGAGAAAGTGAGAGAAAGAGAAAGAGAAAGAAGATAGAGGAAGTGAGGTGTTGAAAGGAAAAAGGCGATAAAGGATTTTTATGGTGAGGCATAGTTATAGGTATTCTTTGTTTCAGTTTCATTTTAGAAATAACAAACTCTTCTTAAGCCTTCGCGCCATCCTCAACGTCCCTATCCCAGATCAACTGTCTGTCTTATTATTATTATTATTATTAAAAATCTTAAAATCAAAATTGAAACGATATATATATATATATATACACACCAAGACTTTACGAGTACAAAATCCATCATTTCATTTAATTTAATAGTTTATTCCAAAAAATAAGGTTATAAATTAGTCAAGTTACGAGTTGTTTGAGACTCGGCTTAAAAATAACAATTAATCCCAAAAACAATATTTTTTGAACTTATAAAATTGATTTAGAAAGACAAAAACAACATAAAATGGTTCTTGTTATAATATCAGTTATAGCATAGCAGTTTCCATCCATCTCAAGGAAAATCTATAGCAGCTTCAAATTTCCCAAGCTTTTGCTGAAAATCGAAGGATACATATACACAGCAGGACTTTTGTCCTGATCAGTAAAATTACGTAAAAGTTTAGACCTCAAACCGTAATTTTATTATTTTTAAGTGAGTAATGTATATTTTTTTCAAAATGAAAACATATGTTAAATAAATGGGCTGGGCTTCAGATTCTTGTTACTAGGCCTATTAAAATGGGCCCGAATTTTACTATATGCTTTTTGCTCGCTTTTTTATTCTCTTTTTTTAAAAGAAATTATCTATGCATGGTCTAGCGACGGCCACCATTTAAAGATAAATATTTGCTCTATGCCAAGGTTTTTGAACGAGAACTACGCAGTTAATTCTCTTAAAATATACTCTTTTTATCATAAAATATAAATCATTTTTGGTTTATTATTTAATCCTAAGATATAAATTATTTTGTATATTTTAAGAAATAATAAATAATATTTTTCAATGTTAATCTTGTTTATACTAAATACAATAAATACTTCAATGGTATTGATTTGGAGATAAATAATAATTTGATCAAATTACCTTTGAGTTTATTATAACAAATAATTCTCCTAGATTATAACAAAACCAAAGGTAAATTAGCTAAATTATTTTTTTATATCAAAACTAATAGTTACTTGTAAAAATATTTATTCTATCTAATATAAATAAGGATAATATTTAAAAAATATCATTTATTACTCCTTAAAATATTCAAAACGACTTATAATTTGAGATAAAATAATAAAAAAAAACGATTTACATTTTTGGACAGAGAAAATAACAAAATCAAGAATAATTTGACTTTATCTCAAAACATAACTAACTTTATTGCATTTGAAATAAAGATATTATTAAAAAATATAATTTATTATTTCTTAAAAATACTCTGAATGAATTAATATTTTAGAATAAAATAATCACATAAAAATTATAAAATGATAATTAAGCTAAAATTTATTGTAAACAATAAGTGGAGTAATACGAAGTAATAATTTTGTTGAATGATAATTAATTAAATAAAGAGTAAGAAAAAATTCTTGGGAATGAGTATAAGAAAATCATTTTTGTTTCCACTAAAAGGAAACCTTGTGAAGCAGTACCCGCCGATCATCACCATGTTCTTGGAAAGCTGTCATTACTAAAACGTCCGTAGAACCGTGAGATGGCGCATTTCCCAAAAAGCCCAAAACGCAAACACAAAAGGTTACATGAATTCCTTGTTTAGTGTGATTCGTTGGTTCAATGTTTTTGCTTGGCTCGTCAAAAGTCAGAAGCCACGAGCCACGACCTTGACTATAACACTTTTAAAATTTTACTAGTTTAATATGGAAAGCTCAGAGGCCCATTACTTTGTGTTAGAGAACCGTACAATATCATTGTCATAGAAATTGCAGAGAAGAGAACCAGCTCCTTCGACATTTTTTTTTTATTCCAAACTTTTAGATTTTAATTCCTCTTCCTTGCCCTGAATTTGATTTTTCACCCTCTGTGAAGAAACATCACCTGCTGAAGAAAAAAGAAAAGTAAATTCATTTCTTTTCTTGAAAATCTTTTAGTTTATAATTCCAAATTTTGTTACTAGGTTGTTATTGATAAAGATTTCAGGCTTTCAGTCAGTTTTGTTTTTTTTGATTGTTTGATAATCTTTTGTCGTCTATGTCTATGATCTGTGTATGTTATTGTCTGCAACCTTGAGTTGATCATTTATTCTGTGTAGTTTTGTTTTGTGGGTTGTTTTGTTCTTATCGACAGCATATTTGTTATCGTTATTATATAAGACTATGGTTTAAAGGTTAATACTTTTGACTTTTTTGTTTGTTTCTTCAGAAAATTCTTGTCCAGTATTTAGTGATTAGTTCATGGCAGAGGGCATGGTGGGATCAAAGAGGAAGAAACAATAAAGATTTGGTAATACTTACTGCAAGATTCTGGTAAATTTTCGATGTCCGATATATTTGTGTATATTGATATTTATACTTACAAATATATGTGGTCTAACTGTTCATCTCATGGTCAATTGGCTTCGTTTCTGTTGCTTTTCATCTGTCAGTAGTTTTAGATTGATTGAATACGTTGGGATAGCTTAACCGATAATCGAATCTCTTCCTATGCTTGTTTTGATAATACTATGTTGCTTCTTAGATTAGAGTCCTTCCTTTTGTAGCACCAATTTCTTGCGTTTTTTCTTTATTTTTTAACCAGTCTCCTTCAGCCCAAGCCGTGGTTTCTTTGTAACAGAGTTCATATGACAAGGAAATGACGGGGGTGCTGGATATTATTTGAGGGTTATTCAAGATTTACATTGTTTGGATCATTTCACCTGTGCCGCCTACCTTCTCCGGTGATGCTCGAAAGCGACTGTCAATCTAGCATGCCAACTTATGAAGCAGAACAACATATCGTTGCTGCAACTCAGCATATCCTGAAGGCGTTAGGAGCTAGCAAGAACTTGAATGATGATATTAGAAGAGCACTTGAGCAGCTTGACTCCCATTTGTCCACGATGACTATAATAACCGAAAAGGGAGGAGGGTTTTATGAAATTGAGGAACAGTTGAAATGTGCTGAGCAAAAGATAATGCGTTGGGAGTCAAATCCATCTCTAATATGGGGCTCAGGCTCCTTGGAAGCCGCTGAATATTTGCAAGCTGTAAATGATATTTTAATGGTGAAAGAAAGTTTAGGAGGTTTGTCCTCAAGCGAAAATGGGAAGCTAAGGGAGATTGGTTTACAAGCTCAGCGTGCACTGCAGAGAGCAATGTCAAGACTTGAGAAAGAGCTGTATCACATTCTTGTTCAGAATAAGCAAGAGTTTAGGCCACAGTATGTTTCATTCCGTTCGCGCGCAGAGGATGTTGTTTATGACGAGTCATTTTCTTCCGTGGAAGATGAAGTAGTTGAGGTAACATCCCAGAGAAGTAGGAATGAAGAATCTGTTGAATGTGCTCAAGATTTGGTTGATCCGCGTGTAATTCCTGACATCAAATCCATTGCAAATGTAATGTCTGCGTCTAATTACATTCAAGAATTTTCCGAGGCTTTCATTGATGTACGGAGAGAAGCACTGTATGAATACTTGTCGATTCTTGAAATAAAGAAACTCAGTATTGAGGATGTTTTGAATCTGGAATGGGATAGTTTAAACAGTGAGATAAAAAAATGGATGTGGGCTACGAAGATCATCATTAGAGCATATCTTACCAGCGAGAAACGACTTTGTGACCAGATACTGGGGGATTTTGGTTCTGTCAATTCATTTTGCTTTATTGAAATCTCAAAGGCTTCAATTTTGTACCTTTTGAATTTTGGCCATGCCGTGGCAATGGGACCTCGCGAGCCAGAGAAGTTATCTCTCCTGCTTGACATGTATGAAGTTATGGCCAGTCTTCATCTAGAAATAGATGGTTTATTCTCAGAAGATGATGGTTCTTTTATTAGAATCGAGTTCCATGAGCTTTTGAGGAGACTAGGTGATTGTGCAAGGGAGACATTTATGAAATTTGAGTATGCCATTGCATCCAATGCATCAACACAATCTGTCCCTGGAGGGGGAATTCATCCCCTGACAAAGTATGTCATGAATTACATGAAGCTTCTCACAGATTATTGTGACACTATAAATTTTCTTTTCAAGTACCAAAATGTTGATGAAGCAAATCCTGTGGTTGAGATTGATAATGGACAGGACATTCCTTCTTCCACTTGTTGTCCGATGGCTTACCACCTTCGGTCAATTACATCCACTCTAGAATCCAACCTTATTGAGAAATCCAAATTATACAAGGATGATTCTCTGCAGCATATTTTTTTGATTAACAACATCTATTACATGGTCAAGAAAGTCAAGGACTCTGACCTCAGGTTTTTCTTTGGAGATGAATGGATTCGGAAACATAATGGAAAATTCCAACAACATGCAACCTGCTACGTGAGGGCCGCTTGGAGTTCAGTTGTCTCTATGCTTAGAGATGATGGAAAGACAACTCTTAAGGAAAGGTGCAGAAGATTCAGTAATGCTTTTGAGGAAGTATACAAAAACCAGACACGCTGGTCCGTTCCAGATCTTCAGCTTCGGGACGATCTGCAAATTTCAACTTCACAGAAAGTAATCCCTGCTTATCAAAATTTTCTCGGTATTAACAACAGCAATGTTGATGACAGGTATGTTAAGTACACTACAGATCAGGTAGCTGAACTGCTCTTGCATCTTTTTGCTGGACCACCAAGATCACTGCGAAATTCACGCAGGAAGTGAATCCTCAGACGCTATTGAGTTTCAGAATTTTTTTTAATGCCTCATTACTTCGGTCTCCTAATTGTGGAATATCGTGATAGATGTATATTACCAGTAACATATATTGGCCTGTTATAAAACTTCTGAATTGAAATTTGATTGTAGACTTGTTCCATGTACAAATTTCTTATATTCTGCATGTATATTACAACTTTCCTGTTGCTGCATTGCTCATATAGACAACAATAACTGCATTTCTTCTGTTAGGTAGAGTCTTGTTCATGATTACAAGCTTAAGTCTAACATGTCAGTGAGAAGGTCTTTCTTGGTAAGATTGACAAAGTAGAATGCTGGCCGCATGATAATACTAACAATAGAGAGTAAAACTGCTGATGACTGTGATGGGTACATTCAATAGTGTATAAATATTTATATATAGAAAGACTGAGATGGCTAAACAAAGGCAGGCCTTAATGTTTTTTCTGTTGAGAAATTCAACGCGGTGGTGTTGGAGGTGTTACTTATTATTTAATAGAAACTTGTGTTTGGACCACTTTAGTTGATGGAAAATGAAAGCTCAAATAATAAAATATAAATGGAGATTAAGGTAGACCAGAATTTGTTTATGTTTCCTCTTCTAGTTCCTAGCAAATCAATGATTTGTCTAGTGTGTTTTAAATAATGAAAAATGCAGAAGGTTGTTAGCTGAATAGTAATCTAACTAAATCCCAAATATTCCATGGAGTTCATATTGCCACACAAACAATATACAGGTATCATCATAGAAGCAGAGAAAGAGGAAGAGACTAATGGAAAGGGGATAATTGGTGCTTCCATATTGAAATAAAGATGAATTACTTATCACTTGATTATTGCTGCTAAAAAGTAAGTTTTAGCTATCAACATGGAGAAATGTACGTTTTTGTTGTGCTGTAGCCTAATAAACAAAGGGATGAAGGGCCACAGTAATATCTTGGACATGTTGTTCCTTTTTAATTAGTCTCTTACGGCTGTGTTTGATAATATCAATCAGAATTTAAAGTTAAAATTTTCAATACATTGGCTTTAAGTTGTTTGATAACACTTACTTACATATCATTCAATAATTCGCATTGAATTAAAGTTACCGAGTTCTGAAAGAACTTTGCAATTTAGACAATTTCAACCATATTCAAGAATTTTATATTTCAAGGTCTTCCTTTTAGTTGAACCAGCAATGTTCCAACTTCCAAGCTTGGATGCATTAATACATTTGCAACAACACGGTAACAAAGTTTTTAAGAAGGATTCTAAAATTACAATATTTCAAAAAAAACCTAAACCGTTAGACCAGAGAGGGTGTTTCAAAGTGTTTCACAATCATGATTACTGAAAGTAAGCAAATCCACATGTTCTTAACTTAAAATATTGTCATAATAAAAATATGCAAAGTTAGATCAAAATCATGCTCCAGATACAAGGCAGGAGGAGGAAATTACCTTTTAGCAGCTGACGCTTGTTGAAGTAAGAGACCACAAGCAAGTATGAAGGCAAAGCTTGTTGAATAACAAATTCCTGTTTCCAATGGAATCAAACATGCCTTTCTCATACCATATTTTCGTACCAAAGGGCTCCTTTATCTAGAGATTTACTTCAAGCACTTATAGCTTCTGAAGCATATTGGGAAATTCTTAGCAGTGACTTCCCAAAATCCATTCGCACAGAGCTGTTAAATGAATGGTTTTACTTCTTTCTCTTAATGTAATTTGTTCAATAGTTTTGCAAGTCTTCCAATTTTCAAATATCATGTCTCACGTGCATCTGTTTCACAATTCCCGCTAAGATCATCTCAAGGATCCTTCTGTCACAACCCCCCCCCCCCCGGTTTTTAACTTTCTTCTCTTAATGTAATTTGTTCATAGTTCTTGCAAAGCTTCCATTTTTCAAATATCATTGTCTCACGTGCAGTCTGTTTCACAATGTCCCGCTAAGATCAGTCTCAAGGATCCGTTCTGTCACAACCCCCCCCCCCCCCCAAAAAAAAAAAAAAAAAAAAGAGAAAAAAAAAAGAGAGAGAGAGAGAGAAAAAAAAAAAAAAAAAAAAAGAAAAAAAAAGAGAGAGAGAGAGAGAAAAAATCCCTTTTTTGTAAATTGCTTTTAATTCTCATTTATTTGGATAATTTTAAACAGAACAATCCATCATTTAACAGGAAAAAGAAACCCTCAAAATGACCGATACATACATTCAACAAGTCGAGCAACAACTTTTGCAAGTTGGTCACTTCTTCATGTTTCTACAACATTTCACACTAATCCCACGGGAGTGATAAATTCAAAGTATACAATTATTTGACAAAAGAATATATAAATGATGAATTTCAAACTAAAGAATCAACTTTGAGCTGTGGCAAATTATTACACGACAATAACTTATTAAATTGTTAAAACATCACAAGGTTCAATGAACATTGTACAACAAAAGCTTCAAGTAACAGCCGAGTCAAGAAATAAAACAAAACCCCTAGGGCAATTGACACTGGAAGAGCTGGCAAAGCTTTCTGATACAATGCCAATAGCATCAATGTAATGCCTAGACCAGCTATAATAGCAAGATAACATGCATACACAGTCATAAAGTCATACATTGCTGCTCTTCCAACTAACACACTATAGAAGATAAAATCCCCGAGCCCCAGCTTGATAGCACCAGTCGAACCCAACCCAATACCCTCAAGCAGCAAACTTTCATTTGAGATAGAATCTCTCTGCCCATGCAACTGAATACCATTCCTGCTATCAATTAATGGAGCTGAAAGCTCTGCTTCCCTTTCATGAAGTTGCCCCTCTTCAACTCCAACCAATCTTGAGGCATTATGACCAGCATCAGCTAAATTAACTGTACTATTGGTCAAATTTGAATCCAAAGCAAAGTTAGAGTTCAAGTTCTCTTCAGAGCCGTTTCCTACATTTCTCCTTTCTCTCCATAACCTCCTTTGAACTAAACCATTCCTTGAGCCTGAATCATGATTAGCCACAGGCCGAGCCTCGTAAACCAGTGCAGGGATATCTTCATCCCTAGATATTGCAAGCTCTACCAAAAGCCTTAATGGCCCAACAGGCAATAACACAGCAGCAAGATCATACAATGCCATGGCAATCAATAGTGCCCAAGTTGTCCATTCAGGTAAAAGAGTAAACCAGTAAGCAACTAAAACCCCAATAGCAACCAAATAAGCCTGTGTGATAAATATAGCCATTTTTGACATAAACACAGCCAACACACCCACAACAGCAAAATTGAACAAAACCACCAAAAAAGTGAAACAATCAATAGGAAAACTAAAATCTTTAATCAAGAACAAGGCTATTTCACCACCCATGAATCCCAAAACAATAAACGAAGAGAAACCCATGTAGAGTTTCAAGAACTGAGTGCATCTAAGATAAAAAAGAAGCACCAGTATAAAAGTAACAACAGTGACAACTGCCACAAAAACGAGTGAGTTCAAAAGGGCACCTTTGAGCTTATCCCCAAATGAGTCTGAGGTTGTCTCACTGTATGCCATGGTAGCTATGGTGTTTATTGTTGATGACCCTGAAGAGGAGTCTGTGTTGAGGATTGAAACCAAAATCACCACAATAAACATACAGATTGAGACTGGTGTTAGGATTCTGATTATTTCTTCCCCTAAAGAATCAATAATGCTTCTGGGTCTTTGAATTTGGGCCATTGGGGTGTTCAAATTTTTTACAATTTGCGATTTTGTTTGTTTGGCGTTTGGAAGGGGAAATTGCAGAATTTTATGATGGAAGGCTTTTGGTTTCTTTGACCTTCTGGTGAGGGCATTTTCACGGTAGTAATGGTGCAGCAGAAATATCAACCGTTGATTTTGTTGTCTATTTGTCAACTGCCGTATTTTAGCTTGAGAGGAAAAATCTTTAAGACCACACGTGTAAAATCCAGTCAGTAACACAAAAATCTCCAAACTCACCGTCATACGACTAATCCAACGGCCATACACATCAGAAAGAATCCAACGGTCCATATCTTCTCCTTCACTTGATATAACCCTCCTCTGCCTCTCCTACAAAAACCTCCGTTCTGAAGTAGGGTTTAAGTCACTTATTCGAGTGAAAGAGAAAAAGAAAGAAAGGCAAAATATAAGGTATTCTTCAAATCAATCTCTCTCTTGAATCTTTTGTTAAAGTTTGGGTCTTTCACTTTTATTTTTTGCTTGAATTTGTTTTGTTACCTATTTCTTTTATATCTGCTGCTGTCGTCGGCTTTTTCTAGGGTTTGATCCAGGTAATGCTTGATCGAGCTCTGAAGTCTCTTCCTTTATGATTTTATGGGTTTTGTTTCGCGTTTTGAGAACTCCTAGTTGATAATACTGATATGTTTGGTCGCTAATGAACTTGAGGAATACTGATAATAAATGTTAGCCGTCGGTTCTATGTTTGCTCTGTTTGGTCCCTGAGAAACTTGAGGAATACTGATAATAAATTTACGGTATTTTGATCGGGTTAAAAAAAAAAAAAAGAAAGAAGAAAAAAAGAAAAAAAGAGGGATTGGTCAACAATTTTGTGACTTCTGTTTGTTATTCGTAAAATTTTTAGACATTATTTGATTTAGTTGTTTTTTAGCGCTTTTTGTAGAAGAGAAGTCCTGGCATGAAGAATTGGAGTTTGTAAATTTCCTTCGGCTCTTATAAGTTTTAACTGAGGCCTTTTTTTATTTAGTTAGGTTATTGCAATGGCTTTTCTTAGTAAAGTTGGGAATATACTAAGACAAACAACCAGCAAGCAGATCAGTAATGAACTTTCTGCATCCAGGCCATCCATCTATCAAGCAATAAGATGCATGTCATCTTCAAAAGTCTTTGTTGGAGGTACTTTCTCTCTTTCTGTATTTGCATGCACAATTGTTTCTGACCATTTATATGTCGCTGTTAATAATTATTCAAATTTTCCATTGTAGGTATTTCTTATGCCACAGACGACACTAGCCTGAGAGAGGCTTTTAGTAAATATGGCGAAGTCATTGAAGGTAATGAGGTTAAACAAATTATTTTCATAAGTTCCTTGGGGAAGACTGGTTATTCTTGTCTTCAAGTTGTGTGGGGATGTATGCTCTTTTGGGGATGTGCGATAATTTGTGAATGCAGTTTCTAGCTATGATTGCAGGGTCTTTTACTTCAAAAATTGTAGTATGTTGTACGAAGCTGTGTTTGTGTAAAAAGTTATGATTGACCTGATGTTCATATTGCAGCAAGAGTCATTCTGGATCGGGAAACTGGTAGATCTAGAGGATTTGGTTTTGTTACTTACACCTCGAGCGAGGAGGCCTCTAGTGCCATCCAGGCCTTGGATGGACAGGTTTGTATCAAAACCAACCCCCCCCCCCCCCCCGTCATTCTGGATCGGGGGAAACTGGTAGATCTAGATGGATTTGTTTTGTTACTTACACCTCGAGCGAGGAGCCTCTAGTGCCATCAGGCCTTGGAATGGACAGGTTGTATCAAAACCAAACCCCCCCCCCCCCCTTCCTTGAGAGAATTAAGTTGTGTCATTACTCCCCCCCCCCCTTCCTTGAGATAATTAAGTTGTGTCATACTCCCAGGACTCTTTTTTTTAGGATTCAAAAAGAGAAGAAAGATGATTACAATGAAATGGGATTGGCATTTTTTTTCAGTTTTTAATATAAACCTAAGCATAAATAACATTCAAACAAGTGAAGAGAAAAATGCCTTTTGCTCTTTTTTCTTCATTTATAAATTATCCTCTCTTCTCTCATAACTTAAACTGTCATGCACATAGTAAACATTGCTGGTTTAACATGCATTTTACGGATTTATTGAGGATACAATATGGTATTGAGACATTTTATGTGCACATTTATACAAGTGCAATGCCATGCCTTTCTATGTAGTGGAAGCTTTCCTCTCACTCACCGATGTAGGGATAGTTTTAGAAGACCATCATTATTTGTTCACATACAAAGACTCTTTAACTTTTATTTTTATTTTTTTCCGTTAGCTATGTCCTAATTTTTAATTTTTTTAAAATTAAATGAAAACATTTAAATAAGAATATAAGCAAGCTGCTTCGTGAAGTTACGAAATTCTGAACAATAATTTATCCAGCAAGCTGTTAGCTAATACTGTCACTGTTGCATGCATGCTGTGCTGAATTCTTGGTTCTGGTCTTAGCTTCTTGAGCTTCTTTTTTTTTATTTGTGCCATGTCTCCCAGGATCTTCAAGGTCGTCGTGTAAGGGTGAATTATGCGAACGATAGAGCTCGTGGTGGCTTTGGTGGAGGTGGTGGCTTCAGTGGCGGCGGCTACGGTGCAAGTGGTGGTGGCGGCTATGGTGCAGGCGGGGGCTACGGTGCAGGTGGCGGGGGCTACGGTGCAGGTGCCGGAGGCTATGGAGCTGGTGGTGGAGGCTATAGCAGTAATTACGGTAGTTCCGGTGGGAATTATGGAGCTGGTAACACTAGCGGCGGCAGTGACTATGCCAATGCAGATGTTACTTCTGGTGGAAACACGTTTGACAGTAGTAGCACTGGAGCTTCTGGAGGTGGTTGGAGTTTTGGAGCTTATGGAGGTGGTGTTGCAGGTGGAAACACTAGTGAAAATGGTGCTGGCAGTGGTAACTTTGGTAGCAGCAATAAAGATGGTGGTGACGATAAATTTTTTGGCCAGGGAGGTAGCAGCTTTGATGATGCAGGTGCAGGTTATGATCAAGCTGAACCTTTGGAAGGCAGGGATGATGATGACAGTGACTTTGCTAAAAGAGCATGATAGAATGCCTTCATCGTTGGAAGCAGTTGAATTTGCTTCCTCCTTATATTTGAAGTAGGCCTGAATTTTGTTTTTAGTTTTTATCGTACTTTATTTGTGTCTGAACAGTTCATTTATCAATTTGGCGCTGTGAAGTGAACCTTCAACTTAAGAGAGTGTTGCTATTTACAATTAAAGGCTATTTGCTATAAATAATTGTAGTTGCAGATGCTCTTTGATTGTTAGTTTTTTTTTTTTTTTTTTTTTTTTTTTCTTTGATGTGTTTAGTTTTTTTTTTTTTTTTTTTTTGTTTTCTCTCTGGTATATCATTTGTCATCTGGTTCCTTGTCACATGTTGCGAACTGATCGACTGAATTTGATATTCACTCAGACTTTATCGTACCAGTCGCTAAAAATTTTGACCTTGATACGGAATGGTTGCTCTCCCAGTGGTTTTTTTTTTTTTTTTTTTTTTTTTTTTCTCTCTGGTATATCATTTGTCATCTGGTTCCTTGTCACATGTGCAACTGATCGACTTGAATTTTGATATTCACTCAGATTTTCGTACCAGTCGTAAAAATTTTGACACTTGTACGGAATGTTGCTCTCCCAGTGTTGGAAGTATCACCTTTAACCTCAAAATTATTAATATATCAAACGAAATATAGGCAAGATTAATATATTAGAATGGGATGAGGATGATTGATGGAGGGCTACATATTACTATATATTCAAGAAAAGGGAGAAACATTGGTAGGGCTTGGAAAGAAAATATAGGCACTTCCGTTTTACAGGTTTGCACGAGAACATGACCCAGCTCTTCCATTGACGTGAATCAGCAATTAATAATAGAAAAATTGAGTGTCTAAGGGATGCTTCATGCTTGTAGGGGTCAGGATGAATACAGAAAAAAAAAAAAAGGGAAAGAACATTCCTATGGTTATATGAAAATGGAAAATAATATCATCCTGTATATAAATTTATATACTGCAAAACTGTGTTATTTCATTTTATTGTTCGCTTTCATCCGTCGACAGAAAGAACACCCTCTGTGCATTTATCACTGCAGGAGAGCCTTTCCTTGTCTTCTCCACAATTTGCTTTATTAACTGCTTCTCCATCTCATCGTTACAGTCACCGTTTTCATCTTCACTCGCACCGTCACTATGCAATTCCTGAATTCGTGATACATGCCCTATTGATGCCTTCAACTGATTTAAGTATAACTCTCTAGATGGTTTCTCTTTATTGTGGGAATGATGAATCGAGGAACCATTTCTCGTATCTTTTTTACTCCATAAAATGCTTTCACTACATGTATGTATGCACCCTTGGTGGTTATTTTCATAAATCCCACGTGGCGAATCATCCTCTTCCGACTCATCTATCTTCATTAGCTCTTCATAAGCTTCATTGTAAGCATCAAGAGCTTCTCCTGATAAATTCATAACCAAAGGCTGGGCCATTGAATTGAAATCCTCTTCGGTAATTGGACTTTCTTCACCTGAGTAGTATTTCAGCATACTGCCCAGCGTCTTCTGCCGATCATTCTTAAGATCAGATTCCAGAAGTTTCACCTTCCTCTCGCTGTTTTGAAGGGCCATCTCAAGCTTCTTCACACGCTCTTCGAGTCTGTATTGAATAACTTCATGTAGTCGCAGACTCAGCTCTCGTGGTGAAACCACATAATTTCCACTATGAGTTGTCAAGGTTCCACTTGCATCTCGATCTGACTGAGGCCCGGTAACAGATTGCCCATGGACCATGTCAGTCCTCAGTTCACCTTCAGCAAAACCTGCTACAAAGTCTGGATCCACCTGCATAACATTTACCCTATTAGAAATATCAAATAATCACCCTTTACAACCAATCATAAAAACAATAGTACATAAACAGGCAACAGTGCTGCTTATGAATAGAGAAGAATGGAAAAGGATTCAGATAGTCGACCCCAACTAGTATGGGATTAATGCGTAGTTTGTTATTGTTGTCGTTGTTGTTCTTATCCTTGACTAAGTTCTTTCAACTTTGTTGTTGAGATATTCTGTAAAAAGGGAGGACAGAATGGCCACAGTTACTATAATCTAGACCACTGACACTTGTGATGGTAATAGCCATTCAGTGCAGTGTTGTAGAAAGACACCACCACGTGACTAGATTTACGGAAGCAAAAGAGACTAGATTTAATGGACCCAAAAAACCAATCAATTCTACTTTACTGCCATGAAAAAAGGAAATGGTCTAATGTGACCTGTCGCCAACTTTGAGGGCTCATCAAACTAGTCCAGAGACTTCAAGGCTGCAGAGAAAAAATTTTTAAACAAGGATGCAAGGGAGCAGGCTCTATTTGGATTAGATGGCCTTATTTAAAAGTTCTCAAAGAATTGACTTTGCTGCTTCAAGAGGGGAGCCATGCTGAAAATGATCCACCTTGTAATAAAATGGAAGTATTTCATACAACATGGAAAATGACCATTAGAGTTACCTTAATTGGTACAGCAGACTAAGTAGAGGATACTCACAGCAGGGTATAATGGATGTAACATACAGGCCCTTCCCCCAAGAAGTGAGAGAGAGAGAGAACACTCATTACAGTTATGTGAGATAAATCCTTCTGAAGATTTAAATAAAGATTTCAACTGCTGTACATTAGGGTAACAAAACCTATGCCTACTTTCTGGCATTCTAAATTATCCTCAAAACAACCTTTCAGTGCAATTGATGAATGTCATCTCCAGTAATCAATCTATGGACTGGAAAACAACCTCTGATTTTAAATCCCTTTCAAGTAAATTAACTAAAAAATCAAGTGCATATCCTACAGAAATATTGACTTTGACTATTATGTTGTCTGGATATGAGAATTGGCACAAACTATGCCCTAATATTCAATTTTCCAACAATAAAGGATGATTGATGATAGTGAAAAAAAAAAAAAGATCTTTTTCAGGAGTAACTAATAACAAAATCATTACTTGAGGAGATAATGAATCAGATTCTCTGATATTATTCAATGAAGATTCAAGAAATTCTAAATATATGTAGCTCTTAAAATATGTGTATGTTCCAATTTTCACCAATCGGAATACAATTCTAAACCTAGCTCATCTGATAAACACATTGGATGACGTGTGGACTAGAGCTTTAAGCACAAGCTTAGCAAAATTTCCAGTTTGATCAGCTCCAGTATATATAGAAATGATGAAATTATAGAAATATGGACTTCTACAGTCCAAAATGGTTAACAAGATATAGATATTGTCTCACTTTTATATTCCACGATCTTCTACTCCAAAATATCAATGACCTAGGTGACTAATTCCTAAAAGATAGACATGCAAGCAACTGCAGAATCAACTGATTAAATACTATTTCGGTGTTAGTAAACATGCATATCAGCACACATTCATAAGCTAGAGCCTTCAAACTTAAATTTCTTGATAAATGTATTTTGATCAAACTATTCCAAGCACAACCTAGTGTTACATTGAAAATCCAAACTTATAAAAAGTAGGCCAATCCCTGAAGATACCTATGGATATAGAAGAAGAAAGCCAATTAATAGTTACCCTAGTTGCTAGGTGAGGATTGAAATTCCACATGCCATGATTGGCACAAGAGGCTTCTGATGAAGCTAATCAAATTAGCCAAAGAAAGTCGAGTTATACTAAAAGAAAAACACCCGTGAAATGCCATTCTGCATGATACTAAATTTCCTGCTATGCAGAAGTATATAGACAGGCATTACCTCAACAAGATCAGACAATCTTCTCTCCAGACTAGATGTGTTCATATTTAACCCCAACCTCTCAAGTTCAGCTTCAAGCTCTGCTTCAATCTTACTCATATCTTCTGGACTCTCCTCTGCCTTCCCACAGCATGATAAATTCTTAGTTGAATCATCCATACTAGGAAGAAGTAGACTTGGTGCCCTGTAGTGAAACAGGTTCTCACATGTATCCTGTGATTCACATTTCTCTTCAGCTATCTCTTTCACTGTCAATGAATCTTTCATCTCAAGTTCCTCTTGCAGATCTTGAACCAAGTTCTCTGACTGCTTCAACAAGTCCCTTAACTTGTCTGCTTCTCTTCTACTAGCTAGGAGAGAAGAGACTATGCCAACACAAACACCCAGACAGAACAAAACCATTTGATCAAGCGACCCTGAGTAGGGGTAAAGCATTGGGTCATGAAATGGGTTGCAGTTAGCAAAAAGCAGATCATTTAATAAATAAATGAAGTAGCAGACACAAGACCTTCATTGTGATAACTATAATAGTACCTGAATCACATAATGGTCCGCGACAAGCAATGGAAAATTTTTCATGCATGCACATGTATGGACCTTGTACAATAGTAGCTAGATGTCCATGCAAGAGGTCGGAGAAAAACCATTTGCACTAAATATTAGATGTAACTATATATGAGCGAAGGAAAACAGATCTATCTAGCAAATAATTCAGCAATAATCAGAATGTCAAAATCCACTCATCTTTCTTTAAATACAACCACGACGCAACTTTCACATGCATGGAAGAATCTCAAATTTTGATTATTCTTTTAATAAGCCAGCAGTTAAATAGCAATAGGAAGGAGAAGACAAATGGCAGAAACTAAATTTTATGATGGCTGCCTCAGTTTCAGAGTGAAGATGAAAATAACGGAAATAATAATCAGGGATTTTGCAACTGTTGTAGTTCATAAGATTGTAACTTTCTTTTTTTGATGACTAAGTCGTCATAACATTTCTCAATTTCCATTAGGTTTATAGGTAGTAACTAAATGGAGCATAGGCATATACAACATCGATATTGATGTTTGACAGTGACAAACACATATCCTCTCTTATTTATACATGTAACTTCAGATTTTCTTTACTTTCAATAAATGACATAATAACACAACTGAAAAATGACATAATGAAGTAAAAGAAAGCATGCAGGTCCTGCAGGTTGCTCAAACTCTGAAGCCAGGGAGTTAAACTCTGGAAACTTTCAAAATTAGCAAGGAAAATAAAACAATAAATGCTCAGAAAGTTTTATCAAAGCAGCACTTGTTGCATTAGCACAATAATAAAATCATCAAGTTAGTGAGAAGAATACCATTTTGAGAATGAAAGTGCCTTCCACTGCCCGTTTTACAGTAATTGTTGAGTCTTTCATTGTTCCTCTTTTGTGTCCTGGATTTTATCTTACTGGGGATGTTCACTTCACTGATTTTTGGAAGTGGAGGAACTCCACACACATTTTCCTCAAACAGCCTATTATCCTCAGCACCAATCCGGGCACTGAAATAATCGTCATTTGCTCTGTTAATTGTTTGGTTTCCATCAGTAACAAGCAGCGGCCTCGTTGTTGTAGATGGTGAGGGAATGACACTAAACACATACTCCTCCATTTGCACATGTTTCTTGTACAACTGAGCCATTAGACAACTATCTAGGGAACTCAATGGTTTAATAAAATGTCCATATGAATGTTTAGTTCTAAGTGAGCTTATTTTCTTCGTGGAATCGTGAAAAGACTCCATTTCACCAGTGTTGTTAACCATGTTACCACTGAATACCTTTCCACCCTTGTTTTCTTTTAGATCTCCAAATGTTGAGAATCCAGGTGGTAAGCTTGACCGGGAAAATACATTTTGCTCATAATTTCCCAAATTTCCAAGCTTTTCAACATAACCGCTAGTAGAAACTTCTGCTTGTGAAGCACCATCTGATTGGTACATATCTGACAATCTCTCAACAGTAGAAGTATCTTCTGTTAGTTTCTTTCTCCGACTCGTTGGAGGAAAGGGACAACTAGGGATTTCATGTTTTTTACATTTGGAAGGTCCAGACTCTGATAAATTATCCCGATCCCTTGATATGTTTTGCCAATATTTAGCTATGTATCCAGCAGCAGCAGCTGCTCCAACAACCCACAAATCCATTTCTGTTCGCAAAGAAAAAAAAAATAGTACCTAAACTCTACACCATTTCTTTTCCTTTCTATACCAATTTCCACAAAGAAAACCCCAAAGAAACAATTTTTATCAATTCAAGCACAACTTTTTCTTCAACCAGAGGATTCAAGTCTCTAAACACTCTTAAATCCAATAATGAATTCTAAAATGGGAACTATGTATCTCCACATAAGGAAAAGGCTATAACAATAGATTAACACGAGTTTTTGTCTTTGTATCCATTCCCAACATTCAATTTCCTGATACCAATAACAAACATTCACACTGAATGATGGAAACCCCTGTAGCAATCATAAATCGGCATATAAAATACAAATGAAAACACCACTAATTACTTTACCTTCCTCGGTTTATATTCCACAATGTACACGTAAAATCCATTCAAAGCACCGTATGAACTCCTAAAACCACATTTCTCAAGAAAAGATCCTTCCCACAACAAAACCCCAGAAAAAAAACCCACTTGACCACAATAAATCAAATTCTAAAACAAGCTATACCCATTACATAACAGCTTCTCAAGAACAAAACCCATCAATAAAAATGGCCCATTTAATCAGAATGCCAGAACAGCACAGGTAAAAGATTGTGATAATAAAAGTAGCTTGCTGCTTCAATTTTCAGAATAAGAAGGAAGAAAAAAAAAGTTTAGTTCTGGATAGTTTCTATATTTGAGAAGCAAGCTGACCCAGGTCTCGAAGACGATGTTGCTCATATTGGACTTGGAGCTGAATGAATCTTTAGCAGAAGCAGATTGGATTCCTCGCGAGAATAAGACCCATTGTAATGTTATCTTCACACGTAACAACATACACTTGCTTCTCTTTTTATGATTATTGAAAAATGAAAAGCAAAAACCATTTTTGACAATTTTTATGATTATTCAAAAATTATATTAAAATTTTTTTTGGTCAATCTACAATTAATTATGGGGTCAATTGCCATACTGTATTTCTCAACTTCAGCTGTCTAATCACTATGATATATTTATTATTTGATTTATTCCTATATGGTATAAAATAATTTTCTTCTTATAATTGTCTCATAATTAATAAGGAAATATCTTATTTGGAAATATATGTATAGGAAATTAGCTTACTCACCTATTATATAATTTTCAAATTTAATATTTTTTATTAATGGTTAAAAAATTATTGGAGATTATTATTTTTTACATTGGATATATGTGTTAACTTTTTTTTTTTTTCCTTCCAATGTTAAAGACTTGCAATAATCTGACTTTGAAAAAATTTACTTCAACCTCATAGCTATCAATATGTATTTTTACTTTTATCAATGTCAATTTTTTTTTAAAAAAAAAAAATAATTTTCTTACTTTCTCTTATTTTCTTTATTTGAAATAGCCTTCTTCAATCTTCTAATTACAAAATCTTTTTATTCTTATAAAATACAAAAATTAAAAAATGAAGGGAAAGAATTAGTTTGTGGGGCTAAAAATTTGATGGAAGCCATTTCATTTTCTAGAAAGGCATGTGTCCAAAATTGGAAATTAGGAAACATGAAAAATGAAAAATGAAGCAAAGGAAGGACCACCAAAATTTATGAAACCTCTATTTTCTAGACTTTTATCAAGTTGTATTTTTAACAAAATATTTTCTATTTACATTACTAAGAAATATTATGAAGCAAATTATTATTTCAAGTGTGGGTTTTTTTTTTTTTTAGTACCAAGGAGGAAAAATTAAATATGATTTATTATTAAATTATATATTAGTACATGCACTTACCACTAGACTATATCTTAAATTGTTGAGTGAAAATATTTCATCTTTTTTCTATATAAAAAACTATTATACTTAAAGACTCATTCAAAACTCTTAAAAAAAATTCATATTTAAAAATCCATAATTCTAATTTTTTTTAAATAATTGATGCTGTTTTTATTTTATTTGGATAATGAATTATATGAAACCAGCAATCATTCAATTAAATTTATTATATATTAAAATAACTCAACCAAATATGCCATGAAAGAGTTCTGAATTTTGTTCCTGACAAGAGAAACAAATACTGATTCCTAAATCCCATATAGCAATTAAAACTAAGCATTTGCACACCTTATCCATCCCTCAATATATTAAAGTATCATATATTCTTTTTCTTTTGATAAAAAAAAAGAAAAAATTTAATTAATTCCCACAGAAAATATTTTATTTTCTTAACAATATATATTTATATACACACATTAATTGATATGACAGAACAATATTGAAATATAACAGTTTCTAATAATATAATTCCACAAAGAAATGTCCAAATTGCAATAGGAATAATGTTGATTTCAAGGTTGAGTTGATCTTGGCCGCAAACAATAGTCAATTTCTAATAATTAATTTGGTTCGGAGACGAAATTAAAATCTAAAAGTAAAGAAGTAAATTAATATAAAATTTGATTAAATAAAAATTATAACATTAAATAAAAAGCTAAGTGCATATTTTATTGATTTATTTTTTTATTTTTGAACTATATCATATAATTTATTTTTCATTTTTAAAGAAAAAGAACATGGATAGAGACTTGAAGTTAATAAACATTAAGCTATTTGATTGAGACCATCGCCCCTTTCTCTTTCTTTGACAACAAGAAGTGCTATACAATGTTTTGGTAATGAGTTAGTTTACTGAACTATCCACCTCACCAACTATCTTTGCTCACCAACCAATACATGCCACGTGGCAAATTGTTAGATTGATCTTACATTTTTCCTTTACTATAATGGGTTGGGGGAGGAGAGGTGGGTTACACACCTTCCGTTTGAATCCTTAGTTATAGACTTTTCTTTAAAGCAAATAAATTTTATTTTCTATAATCATCCAAAGGAAAATGATTTTTCTATCGGTTGGCTATGTTTGACAATAATAAGTAATTTTTAAAATATTAAATGTTATTTATTATAATGTTTGATGATATAGTATTTGAACCAATAGTTAAGATAGCGTTAATTATAATCCATGTAACGTTTTATGAAAAACTACTAAAACAGCTAACAACTAAACATTACTATAATAATTAATTTTATCGAATATACCCTTAATTGAGAGAAGTTTGAAAAATGCTTTCCATGTCAGTTAGTTGTATTAATGTTTGGTACAGTAACTAAAAAAAAAAAAAAAGAAAAGGATGATGTTCCTATTTGTTGTTTGATTATTTTAATGAGACATCCTCAAGTCAAAGAAATACTTAAAGAAAATAGAAGAGAACCAAACTATATTTTACAAATGATTTTGGAATAGATACATCAATTTCATTTAAAGTTATAAAATTCAAAGTATAATCTTAATAATTCAATATTGAAATTTCCATATTAAAACAAAAATAAGATTCCACAATTTTGCATATCAAATAGTAACTTGCTAATTTGTTAATTCACTCAATGACCTTAAGTCTAACTTTTTATGATTTTACCAAGTCAAAAATATTATTTTTATTATTTATAATGCTCGGTTGTCTAGCTTTTGAACCGGTGATTAAAGTTTGAGGAACAGATTATGAAATGTAATTCATTTAACATTTGATGAAACACTAGTAAGACAGTTAATAATTACTTAGGGCGTGTTCGACAATAATTTATTATGTAATTTTTAATGCGCTAAATGTTATTTTTTATAGTGATTGGTAACATAGCATTTGAACTAGTTTTTAGAATTAAAATTTAATATCTTATAAAAAGATTAACCATGTAATATTTAATTTTTAATATTTTATAAAAATCTATTTAAATAACTGAGCGCTATTAAAATAATTAAATCAAAATCATTAATTTTACTGAATAAATCTTAATATAGTTAAAAGCTATCAGAAAACAATTTAGGGCTACTAAAAATCGTCAAAAAAACTATAAAAAAAATAAATTTTTCGCACTAAACTCCAAATCTCAGCTGTTGTCACGACTTAAAACCCCACAAAAAAAATTGAACAGGTGGGCCAATCTCATAGTGGAGGAAGGCCCAGTCAATCCTCTGCACACATGATTTGATTTCTTCTTTTTTTTTTCTTTCTTTGATAGACCTGGCACGTGGGACATGATTAGCAGATTAGGTAGGGGAGCCAGAAAGAAAACAAAAGAAATTTGATTTTAACTGTAAAAGCTAAAGGCTTAAAGTTGCTTTACATGTGCAAAGTTTCATAATTTTTGACATTTTGATTGCAACATTCAATTCTCTATATTCATTGACCTGCTTGCATCCATATAATAAATGAAATAAAAGCTACCAAACTCTATCTCTTTCCTTAATTATATCCAACTGATAGACATATCAAGCAAAATTTTCCTTCTTTTGCCTTGATGGGCCCAAAGAGGTATAGCTACCACCTATATTTATTTATAAATGGCTGATAGTTCTATCGTCATATGACTTTCTTGAAAAATAATAAAATTACGGTTTAAATTTTAGGATTTTTGATTTAGATTTTAAGTGTTCGGAGATTAGGTATACTGTTTTAGGATTTATGTTCTAAGATTTAGGATTTATATTTTTAATTTTATCCTGTCTATAGATTGGTTATGATTTAATTTAAAGCTATATAGACATACCCATATCTATGTGTTGTGTGGGCATGCATTGCATTAGTTTTTATATATATGCGAAGAGCAAGAAGTCTCGAATTCGAGATCCTTCAACTATAATTATTTTTACTAATTTGATGAGTTAAGGGAGGACCTATAATTGTTTCCACTAATTTGATGAGCTAAGGGGAGGACTACTCTTCCTTCCCCTGTTCTATAGCATGTAGTGTTATTTTAGCCCATTGGCCCTGAATTAAAAAAAATAGGAATTACTACCTTTGCATTGTACATGGAAAATATGGTGAGTTAATTTACACAAGAATTCATTTAACAGTGTTATAATATAGTGAATAAAACATCCAGTGCTAATTTTTTTATTGATTGTCTCAAATAAACAATTATAGTTTGTTCACTGTGATAAGAAATGAAAAAAAAATTAGAGAACACTTATTTTAATACAGTTATTTGGCCAAATAATATAGAGCATAATTTCAGAACTTATTCCAGGGAACTTATAAGATCTTTAAAATTAATGACCACCCAATCAGCTTTCGCTGCCACGGCCTCTCGAAGTTGAACACCAGCATAGCAAACAAACAAGTCAGCACCACCCGGTTTACGAGCCTGCATATAAATCCGTATTTCAAGAATATATATCAAAAAAATGTATCTGTAAGAGTAAGAAAGCCAATAAACTTAATTAACCAGCAAAGCATCTCTGCTTAAAATTTGTGAATAATCACTTGTAGTATATATGTACAGATGTCATATATGGAACTAACTCAACGTATTCCATTATCTCATAACAATCATAGGTTCTGCAGATTTGATAGGTCAAATGAAACTACGTACCTCAAGATCAGTTGCACCATCTCCAATCATAACCAAAGTATTGTATCCATGAGCCTGTTTTATCATAACAAAACAATGCGCTTCAGATGTACTCTTAGAAACCACATGTGAAACAGATAGCTATAAGACTAACCTTCCTTATTTGCTGCACTGCAGTTGCCTTTCCTCCACTCCTTGAAGTAGGCTCATTTGCATCAAACCCCGTAAACTCCCCCGAACTTCCAAAGAGCAATTGGTTGGCAAATATATTTTCAGGTGGAATACTTAGGATGGATGCAACAGGCTGTAAGGAAGTTGTTTGGCGACTAATCACAATATGATAACTAATTTATCCCGCACAGGAAACCGATAAATTACAAAACAAAGTTATGAGTCCCAAATCCAGATGGTAATAATAATCTTCAGCTAAATTAAAACATATGCCTTTGTAGGTGTTTACAAGATACAATTTAAGCAGAGAGGATAAAATTATTAACACAGGGATTAGATATCTTCCAGAAATGACATAGTACAAAAATATAGAATTCCTCCACAAAGCCTCTGCACCTGTTAAACAAAATAATTGCCTTTATAGGACCGTGCATAGAAATGCTACTATTGGTTGCAAAGATCTTTACATCAATAGATTTTACGAAAATATTCACCAGCCATGTATAATTGGATGTTGCCTGTATATTGTACAAGGATCTGTAGAAATGTTACTAAAAGCTAGTTACTAAGACATTACATGCAATAGTTTTATATGATTATCATAGTGTCATCAAGTTACTGTGAAAATTTAGTCTAAAATTTATACAATATAAAGCAAAAATGTTAGACTCTGATGAATTATTCTAAGGAAAAGATTAAGAAGCAACAAAACATGAATATTTCAATGAAATAGCATACGTTGATCATCTGGCGAAAACCTCCTGAGATCAAATAAACGTTGGTACTTTTAGCCTTCAGCTTCTTGACTAACTCATCTATGCCAGGAGAAATCCTACATGAATGAAAACAGAAAAAGCAACAACTCTAAATTTAAAGAGTTAACTTGTATGCCAGAAAAAAGGGAATACTTGGGAGTAATCAAAAGAAGTTGAGTAATAAAAATGTAAATCCTTCTCTTGCATTAGACAGCCAAACAAATACTCCATTGCAATTTAGAAGCATTTGACTTAAAAAATAACAGAACATGTAGAAAATAGCTAGATCTTAGGACAAAATAACTCATCAAGATTGTACAGTCTTTTCTAATATAATTTTATTTTAGCAATTTAATCAAAATAAGGAACTAATGTCAATAACTTTGCTGGTGTCAAGAAGTCTAATTAACAAAAAAAAAGTAAGATGTGCCCTCCCCATACACCAAGAATTCAAATTTTGAAGTATCCAAAGATGAGATATTTTTTCATAAACCACCTCACTCAACTGAGCAAGAGCAAATAATAATTATACTTCATCTTTGAAGTACCACGAACTCAAAACTAGTCTTAAAAAGATAATAGTTTTGGAAAATACCCAATACGTTCTCATGAACTCCCATGTACATAACTCATACTACAACCAAGTTGAAAATTTTCAATTTTAACTACATAAAACTTAAAAAAAAAAAAGGCTTGAACTGAAATCGTAAGAAAGATATGACAAAAAGGAGAAGGGATTGGTGGAAAATGACTAAATTGAAGTTATAAAGAGTGACTTGATCTTTAAATATCTCATGCTCAACCAACCTAAAGAGGATACAATGGAGGAAAATTACTTATGTGGCTTACCTCAACTAATTTAGGATTTAGACCGTGTAACTTAAAACCTAGTTTATGTACAAAGACACTATATTCCAAAAAATGAGGTATGAATTTACTCAAAGAAAAACCTTTTTCATTGGACAGTAAAACAAATAACAAGATGCATGAAGAGAATCAGAAACTCTGACGATGTCTATGGGATTTGATGTGTGTTTTAATTATGTTTTTGGTAAGCTCCATAACAATGTCCTCCAGTGGTGAATGCTTGATGTTTTGATGATGGCGATAAAAAATTTCCACACAATAGCACCAACTTTCATCTTGAAATGAAATGCCAAACAAGTTGGATTGTAAACAGTAAGCAACCTTAAAAAACTTAAAAATGCCAAAAAAAAGAAACAAACTATGTGATCAATCATTTAAGGAATTAGCGTACTTCGGGGGCCTCTTCTCAAGAAAATCTTGGACCTGAGATAGAGAAGGTTTGAACAAGGATAGTCTGGCCGCCAGGGCCTCCTCAAAAGGAACAGAGCCACCCATAGCTCTGGCAAAATGCGACACAAAGATCAGATATAATATTGAGAAATAAAGTAGCTTTCAAATTTTAACAAATGATAAGGACAACCAACTTAGCGGTCCATTCCGCAACGGCCTTTCCAGCTCCACAAAACTCTGCAAGTTCATCAATCCCCTCATCTAGGCATACTGTACTATCCACATCAAAGCATACTGCATCAGCACTTCTCCAAAGCTCAAGAACCTCTGTTGATAAACATCAAAAGTAATTTAGATATCAGTGTTAAAATGTAAAGTTGGTAAGGTTTTAAGGCAAAAGCTTAAAAACAATTTGAGATACAAAATAAGATAATTCTGGGTAATCTTGGCAAGTCTTTTCCTTAGTGATTATAACCTTTGGATGGCACTGCATTGTTGAAGCGGCTCAATGAGGAGGCTTCTAAAGGTTGAACAGAAGCAGTAACTGAATTGAGTGATTGAGGATGTTTCATAAACCCAATTCGACCTCCAGTTAAATTCCTCTTTAAATGCAGGGAAAATGCTGGAATAAAGCGAGACCGATATTGTCTACAAGTAGGATGAATTGGGCTGATTCGTGAATGCACCAATCCTTCCATCAAACAATCTGTTGCCAACAAATCAAAAACACACATAAACAATGAACCCTTAAAACTGATAAGACTGTTATATTTCACCAGTGCAGCAAATTCTCCACTACATTAAACCAGAAGCTAAATTGACATGAACAGAACAAGTCATTCCTTATAAACAGATAACTAAGCAAAAATGGGCAACAAATAAAGGAAATATAAAACTAAACAGAAAGGCATACAGTAAGCCACTACGAAAATTAGAAAGGTACAAGATATTAATGAGATAAATTAATTTAAGTAAACCCACTATTCTTTATTAACTCACAAAAGCTAAAAGAGTTATAGATCTACAAGCATGTCGCGATCACTAACAATAAGACATAGCCACTGTTTGGAGGGTGAGAAAACGCCAGAAAAATACATGAATACAAAGCAAAGCACGTTACACTTTATAGCCAACAAAGCAGATACATCAAAATGAAAAATTCCTTTTCATTCTCCCACGATTTCTGCTGAACCAAACAGGCAAATTGAACTTAAGGGGATCGAACAATTACATTGCATATCATGCGTACATAAAAGAAGTAAGAAGATCATTGGAAAAGGCAAATTTAGTTTACAGAGAACTTACAGTTGTAGTTTGGAATTTGTTGAGTTTTGGTCGGGAGAAAGTTTAATTATTTGGTTCTCTACGTGCACTTTCTTCTTTCTGTTCTCAGATCCCTCTACTCTTACTCGCTCGAGTTGTGGTTGGGCGTTTGATTTTTACCTGCCATTGGTTAGCTTGGTTGGTGAGTTTATTTTATTTTATAAAAATAATAATGAAAAATCAGAATGTCCTAACTTATTTAAACCCAAATATTTGTTTCACCTAATTTAATTAAATGGAAAAAGTATTTTATTTTAAACGGAAAAAGAACTGTAATAAATAAAACAATAGTACTATTATTATTATTTTTTTAGGGATTTCAATCATTTATTTAGATAAAAATTAGTTATTTTTATCATTCAAAATAAAAACAAAATGTTTAGATTCAAATGAAAAATATCAATCAGTGTTAATTAAAAATCATCGAATATTTTTAATAAATACTATAAAAAATTTCCTTTATATAAAACAAATTTTTTGTTTGAAGTTTTAATAAAAAGTAATTAGTTAAAATATTAAAATTAAAATTTTACAAATATATTTCATACGGTTACATAAAAAAAAAACAAATTTATAATTTACTGCTGTTATTTCTCAACAGTCAAATTTGTTATTTCAATTTGGCATGATCTTATTGCTTCAACAACTCAGGAGAAATAACCATCAAGAAATTTCAAAAACATGGAAGAAATTGCCGCAAATCCAAAAAAAACCTGTCATAATTAACTGAAAGCTTATTTCTTTCAACGAAGACTGGAAGTTCACAACAAAGAAAAATTTTCCCACTGGAAAATCTATTTTACACAGTCAATGCTGATCATACCTCGCTGCTAAAATGCATACAAGGAAGGTGTTCGACAGAATGTCTGAGACAGGAAACAAGGAAGTGATATTGCTATATTGACCGATCATGATTACTTGGAACAAATTTTGGGACTTGATTCTATGTTGTCGAACTGGCCTGCAATTCTATCAACTTCATCTTTACTCAGATGCTCAGCCTTCAAAATTCCCAATTCGAGCACCATCGTGAACCCATTATTCCCGTTACGGTTGGCTAATGAAACAGCAGACTCTGTAAATTTGGGCTTCAAGAAACTAATCACATAAGGATCAAGATTCAACCTCTTGAGGACATCCGATAGATAAAGTTCGCTCCACATGGAGAGAGGAGACACGATCGGAACTCTGAAGGAAGAACGTATTTCTGGAAGCACAAAATCTTCGATCACAATTAATGTTCCTTCATTTGATGGGAGTTTGAGTTGGTATCTGTAAAGAATGCGAAATTCGATATTACAAGTTGATGGGTGGGCTGTGGCAGCTATGGTGTTGGTCTCGTAAACGTTTACAAAGCAGTTTACCTTGCTCGCCATTGATAATGCTCTAGGTTTCCGATTGGCTTAAATTGGCCTTTAGTTCCGAGGTCAGCGTTTACGGTCTGCTTTTCTGGACGACTCAACGGACAAATAATTTACCCGAAGGATTTTTCCAAATCTGTGAATAGTTTTGTCTTGAATGGTGCAAGGCTTGTTATGAAATCTTCCAACCATGGCTGTATTTAATTGGTTAGGGGGATCTCCTCCTCATACTTGTTGATGAAGAGGTATCTTATTTCCCTTTTTTTTTTTTTTTTTTTTTTTTTGAAACAGTCAAAAGTAATTCAATTTAAGGTTTTAATCCAGATTCACAGTATTTTATTTAAGTATCCATTAAATTTAATTGACCTTCCTTTGCTTATGCCCTTGTAATTGTGGAAAATCATACTTGGAATAGACAAAAAAAAAATTTACAAGAATTCTCAAGTTGCAAACCAGTCATTTGAGTTTCAATTTGAAGACACGGGTGAAAAACAAATGAACCAAGGAAACACTGGCGACCATCACAAATATGATTTTCAATTCCCAGGGAAAAAAAGTACAATGCTGGGGAAATTATTGGAGTTGCTCAACAAAACGACCTTAAAGAGGTAGCTACAAAGTTTCAAGAAAGCCTTTGCCAAGATAATTATTTCGTCACTGTCGCATAGTCTACCCACAATATTTCTTCAATTAACCCTCCAGTGCTGATGCTCCCGATATAATCTCAATCAACTCGGTGGTGATGGATGCTTGACGAGTTCTGTTCCGATATCATGTAACAAAATTATTAAAATCAATTATGAAGAAAAAATACAAGAAGAAAAAAGAGTTGCTTAGCTACAGGTTCATTATGATTGACCAAGTAACCAACTTCTACCAAAACTCCAAATCGAATTTTTTATACCATTACGATCAACCAAGTTCGTTTTGAAAAGCCATGCGAGATAAAAGCAAAACATCCAGTTTACAAGTATTGCTTATCTGCAAAGAGAGAGAATGAGAGAGAGACCTGTTATAAGTAAGTGTCAAGCGGTCAAGCATATCTCCAGCATTTCTGCTTGAGCTGTCCATAGCAGACATCCGTGCTCCTTGCTCACTGCAAGCATTCTCCAATACAGCATTGAACATGACCTGGCGAAGTATGAAAGATATTTAAGATAGATCCCAAAAACTATCAATCTATCACAACATGATCAGCACCTCAAGTTATTAGCAATTGTTTTGTCTTAGAAACATATCAGACTACAATAAAATCCACCAAAACAAATGTGAAGGGTAAGCAAATTGGCAACCATCAATGACCAACAGGTTACCCAAAATCCTATCATAACCTAAGAACCCTTTTCAATAATAGACCAATTCCTTGTGTCCACAATGCACCACAAAAAATGCAATCAGAGGAAGAACATGTCTTCCACCTTGGATGTAGGTCAAACAAGGGCAATGCCAGTCCGGCTAGTATTATATGGCCTAAGCCTCATTTATATGGTAATTGTCTCCAAAATGATAGACTCAGTCCCAAACACCAAATAGAAATAGCAAGAGTTTAGCAAGGCTTACACAAGAAAACTGGAACTCTGTAAGATTTTGAAGTATTTCACCCTTTGTTTCACCACCTTCAATCTCGTAGGAGTCGAGATCTCCAAGGCTTCCCCCAGATTCAGCCTCTCTTTCGACAACCTAAATCAACAAAAAAAAACAGGTACATCAACCACCCAATAAACATATATATCAAAACAAGAACAAATTATCATGTGCAGCATTCTGAATAACCTCAGGGGACAACACAGTTGACATGGTTGGAATGAATGAAACGACTGAATGGAACTTGTTGAAGACAATCCTCAAGGCATCATATTCCACATTCTTTAAAATGTCATCTGCCAGAACAGAGACCTGAAAGAGCAACAATTTTCAAATGGAAATAAGGGAGAGAAAAGTATATAGACAAGAATCTCCAAAATAAATTCAGAAGGCAAGCCCACTTATGAACTTCCAGGCATATAATACATGTGTTTTCTGAACGCAATAAAAGAACCCAAGGAAGAAAAAGAATAAAAATCAATGACCTGGGTATAATTCAGAGGATTCTTCTGCAACTCAGTGATAGATAGTTCAATGTCCTTCTTTGAGTCACGAATCAACTGAACCTTTGCCTTTTCTCCCAAGATGACATATTTTGTTTCTTTCTCAGGACCTGTGGCAGTACAAAATATATTTGAACTTTTCAAACATCCAAGCCTTATTGCTTAAAATTTGAAGTTCAGTTATAAATAAAATCTACCAGAAGTCAACTTGTGAATAGCCTTGCTTATCTTCACTGATGTAGAGTTAATTCCTCCACATAGACCTTTGTCTGAAGAAATAGTGACAACTACATTCTTCTTCACATCCACACCTGGTAAACACAATAAGGCAAAGCACAAAAGAATGCAAGAATTGAATAAGAAATACTTAGAGCAAGAGTAAAAAGTAGAAAAGAATTTGGTGAATGACCAAGCAAGAAACAATTTCAAAGTGCATAAATTGTAAAATTAGTTTAGAAACAGCATTCCAATCAAGCATTTGTACAAGTGACTAGAATCTTATCCTATTCCTCTTCCCAATTCTATGAATTTTCAAGTAAAAAAAGGCCCTAGATTTAGCATCAAGTTCAGAGAGTACACCTTAAAGAACTCCTATGGATATTAGACAGTGAATAATAACTTGAATCCCCCTAATGTTTCATTTTCTTGAGTTTGAACAATAATTTTTCCACCAATGTGCGCACAATAGCTATTAAAAAAGTCCAAAAGAATATCATTCATGAAATTCAACAGAATTAACAACAAAACCATACAATATTATGAATTTGTCAAATATGGAAATGCTACCAACATGTTGTCAATTCTCAATAAGACACACGAATTACAGCAGATGACCAAAAGGTACCAGTAAAATATGATTATAACATGAACATGAACAACATGCGGGCAGAGTGAGGACCAAAGGATCCCATCAAACTCTCAAAAAAACTGCAAAAAATCATATATTTTTGATGGTTGATTCAACATAAGTTGATAAAATTGGATAAGATAAAGAAGAAAAAGTCAAATTGCTATGGTATTTGTTAATAAACATACTAGGAGCATCGCCAAGAAGTGCAGTAAATGGTTGCCATAAGCCACGAGAATTTTCCGCTTTAGTTTGAATTGCTCTTAACTTTGAGGCTGCAACCATCTTCATAGCCTTCGTAATTTTCTGGATATTCTTGACACTCTTCATACGATTTCTGACTGCACAAGATAATTACAAAATTTTTCAGGAACTTAATTTACTAAATACAGGAAAATGTATGACAGGAGCCAAACAAAACAAAGGCATTAACTATTAAATGAAAATGATCCTTACCAACTTGAGTTGAAATAGAACGTACTCCAACAGGTGTCTGTTCCCTGTGCATTGAACCAACTTATTTAGATGTTGAAAATGCAAACATAAATATTAAATCTCCTAAAATAGGAAAAGCACTGTTAGGATGATATTGTTGCAAGACATATTTGCATATGAGCAGATAAGTGTAATACTAACACATTTTATTTTCTTGATGTTAGGTGATTTCCTAAACTTTCTAGAGAAAGTGTGCCTGAACATGTCAAGTTATTTTACAGAAGTTCTTTATTTCAATATTTTTTTAGGCAAATTTTGGTATTATATGCCAAAACTCAGCAAAAAACTTGACACAATTTGGTTACAAAGGCTTACAAAGTTTTAAACTCTTTGTTAGCTGAACAGCCCATGCATACTTAATAAAGTGGAAAACACAAGGTTCCAAAAAATAAAATAAAGGAGAACATTTACAAATTGCATATTACTGGTTGACATCAAAACCAAAAACAACCTCAAGGTATAAATAACGGACATCTTTGGTATGACGAAAAAAATTTGACCATTTCAGTTATGCCACTTCATTTCTTCAACAAACCCATATCATTGTTTCAAATTTAGGATTTGCAACGCCATATACAATTTTACATTTCTCCGGCTTTTCATATTTTAAATAGCTGAGTTATAATGTGCAACAAGGTGGTCTTTCAAATAAAAGAGAAGGCCTTTCAGTAATCAGTATAACAACTAGTGAACTGTTGGCTTCCACTAAGCAGCGATTTTCATTGTAGCAGCACGTCATATCCCTTCCAGCCTACCTCCACAAAGGAACCAAAGGGACGTGGTACGCATCAGTTACATAGCAATCACACATTTCACTACATAACCAAAACTCCAATTGGCTGCTAACACCAACCTCATAACTAACATAATGATAATAAAATTAAAAAATTACAAATATTTCTTTTCATTAAAATCAGCATCACCAAACCTTTAAAATTAATTTCAATGCATTATTTATCCAAATATTTCATTTTCAACAATTCAGCATATAACAACATACATATTTGTGAAAATAAAAATAAAATTTCCTTTACTTAAAGGATATAGAAACCAAGGTATTAAGACATCGCAGGATTCCACTCGACTCTATTAATGTAAAATAATCGCATTTTCCAATAAAAAAAAAAAGAAAAGAAAATCCCCATTTTTGACAGCCCAAGCAAAGAGAAATAGAGACTGCAAAGAAAAATTTTGGGAGAAAATGGAAGAGAGGATCATACTCAGCGACAAGAGAGGATCGGATGGCGGCGGTAATCGGTTGGGGGGAGATCAGGGGGGCAGCGAATCGCCTCCCTTCGCGTCTCAAAGCAGCCATCGCCATTGCTGAAAGATTCGTACAGTTGAAACCCTAGAGGCTTGTGTATTGTAGATCCAAAAAAATTGTTATAGCTGCGAGCTCAGGTCAGGTGTCTGTTTTCACTTTCAGCTGTATTTCTCAACCTTTTCGGCTTTGCCCCGTTAAAATAGAAAATACGAAACAGGGATTTCACTACGTGTACTTCTATGTGAATGAGAAACTGCTGTCGTTTTATTTCTTGACAAAACGTCGTCGCTTCTTTCATTTGGTTTTGAGAACGGTTTTGGCTTCGTTTGGTCTGGCTGCATGGTATAATTCGGAATGGAATGGAATAACTCTCTTATTAATTCGTTTCAAAATATTTTGAAATTAAAAATTAAAAATTAAAAATTTTATTTTATAATATTCCATTGAAATTCGATTTAGAATTCAGTATCTCGAAATTTCTTAACCAAATACAAATTTAAGATCAATATTTGTTAAGATGTAAATTTTTAAATTTAACAAGGAATAATCAACGTATTTTTATATATACAAATAATAAAAAAATATAATTAAATTTTAAAGATAATAAATTAATATCACATATAACTAAAAATCAAAATATTTAATCTTATATGTTTATAGATGTTAAATATACTTCACACTTGACATTTAATAATTCAGTTCATATAATTGTTAAATATACTTCACACTTGACATTTAATAATTCAGTTCATATAATTAACAACTTAATAATTAATAATAATAATCATATTATAAAATTAACAAAAGATAATACCGTTCATATTAGGATCTATTAATATATGTAGTCACTAAATCCATTAAAAAAATTTTTTCATGAGTCTAAGTATGCTAAAATATTTCAATATAATCTAATAAAAAGTAAGAAAATTATAACTTAAAATCATAATTTTCAATCCAATAAAGCATATACGAGTATTCAAGCACATAGTATATATTAATTACTATTTAGGGTTAGGGTTAAAATATTATATTAAACTATGTAGTTTTAGAATTAAATATATATTTTCTTACAAAATATGAAGAATTAAAGATATTTTATTCTAATATTTAATTTTTAATATTTTATTTTAAAATATATAATTAATAATAATAAAATAAAAATTCCGTTTATGGATTGTAATATTTAATTTTATTTTTAATTTCTATTCCTATACTGATGTTTTAAAAAATGCTTTCCATTTAAAATTTTTTATTTCAAAACTCCATTTCAAGTTAACATTTAGTTTGAAATCTTAATATGGATTGAAATAATTATAATCCAAGTTATACCCCTATCTGGCTGCGATAAATGTGTAAAAGTCTTTTTTTTTTTTTTTTTTTACTAACCCTATTTATTTTGGAATTAATCCAATAAATAAAATAAAAGGTTATCTGGAATTCAATGAAAAAATATAATTTAAGGTTATGTTATTGTTTGGGGAGTTTAAATGAAATATAATACAATATTTAATTACATTTTGTTACATTTTATATTAAGTTCCCCAAAATATAATTTATTAATTAGTAGTTCCTTGCGTTCAATATTTTTGAAGAGTTCAAAATAAAGGGCAAGGAATTTCAAGGGCTTGAAGCTTCGAAAATGCTAATCAATTTTTTTTGTGTCTGTGACTGAATTCTTTATTTATTTATTTATTTTTTGGCCCTTTTGATAGAAAGAACAGAAAAGGAGATTTGATTGTCTTCAGTGTTAGGAAATTTGAATCAAGCAAATCAAACTGTCCAAATGGCACCAACACATTCTATCAAATGACCCAAAATCAACCTTTTTTTTTTTCATAATTAATATATATTGAACAACATAATGACCACATATGAACTTTTCTGATAGGATCCGCCAATAAGTGCCCTTTGATCAGTGATCAAATGGTAATCAAATAACAGCACCTAAGATTTTCCCTCTTAAAAGCCTAACTCTAAAATCCTGCCCAATTAACAGAAACTTTAGTATTTCAGTACTAATCTGTCAACGATTAACAAATTGAGAAATGGGCAATCAAATTGAAAGTCTAGAGGAGCGATTGGAGTGTTTCTTGGGCCAGCTCAAAGCAGAGCATGGAATTTTTGAAAGAATTTTGTACAAAAACAAGAACCAGCATAGAAGAAGCTCTTACTTTCAGTATCTCCCATAGGTAAAGACTAAATCTTTTGGGAAGAAAGCTATAATTTTTTTGAAGGAAAGAAAATGTAATAAACTGTTGTAAACTCCAATCTCTAATTTCTTTTCTTTTATTGCCTTAGCTTGCTAGCAGATTACAGTTCATGCTGTTTTATGTTTTATATTCTTTTTAAATTTACATGATGGGCTTGGGGTGTTAGGTGAGAAGGGATTTGAGGCTTTTGCAATCAGCTAAGTTGGAGGAGCTACTGACTTCCTGCTTTCATGTTATCACTGGAAAGAAACCTAAACAAAAGGTGCATCTTTTAGAAAGGTATACTTTTTACAGTTCAAATATTTATTTGGCCACTGTTCAGATTAATTGAATCTGTTGCATTAGCTTACTGCACGTAGGGATATAAAGCACGATAGTATATAGAGTTTTTTATTTATTGGATGGCCACGGAATGACAGATAGTGAACGTTGGTCAGCTAAACAAACATTTGTTACTGTTTCTAGTTGTAGAATAATGTCACATGTGTGTCTATTCTGAAATCAGTGAAGATAAAACTCTTTGATTTTATATGTAAATTTGTTGCATTTATAAGATTATGATAGTTAGTCTTGATAATCAGAAACAGTTGTGAGGGTACAGGATTGTCTCCTTCAGTTTCCTTCAATATGGGTGATTTTTTTTTAATTTTTAATTATTTTTTCAGTTAGAAGTGGAGAAAATATGGTGGTGAAAGGCCTAATTTTATGGATAGACTTCTAGGAGCTGCATACATACCATCGCAGGTACAGTTTTCCTTTCGCCTTCTTATGATTCTACATCCTTTCTGTCTACCTTATTATAACAACCTGCTGATATACTAGTGAGAAATTTTTGAAGAACTCTACAACAATTAACCATACATACAACAATTGCGATGAACTTAAATAACTAGCTTTTGTTTGTGGTTGCAGATGGTTGAGCCAATGCTGAAGGCAGCTACGTATCCATATTCTTTAGTAACATTGTTGGCTAATTTGTAACAACTTTTCTTTTACTGATAGTTTTTGGATTTCTTCTGATGTATTTGATGGTTTATTAATTTGGTGATTTGCTTGCCTTATGAATTTGAAATTTTTATGCACCATCCTAAAGGTGTTCTTTTACTTCAATTGATAAATTGGATTTTGTTCATTTATAGATTTGTCTTATTTACCAGATAGTCTTAAATGACTTATTTTACACACACAAGAAACCTTTATCAGAGCATAAGTTTGTTAATGGTGGTGCCATTTCTAGCCAAAGTTTCTTTTTGGAATTTGAAATGCTTTGGGTAATACTCATTTTTTTTTAGTCTTGCCTGTTTATTCCCTCCAAACTTTCTAATTTATCAGACTTTTAAAGCTATGGGTGTCACACCTTACCTTACTGTAAGACATGGCATGTCGCCCGTAATATACTTAATAAGCACTTAAGTCTTATAAATGTTTACTAAGTATACTACAATATGGCATGTCACCCGTAATATACTTAATAAGCACTTAAGCCTTATAAATGCTTACTAAGTATACTACAAGGAGCTTAATACTGTTGATTCATTCATTTATATCTTGTAGAAAAGTAGATTTAATTATTAAATGTAAAACTCCTTTTGGTTCTTTTATTGGTTATCAAGGAATGTCTTTTTTTTTTTATTTGTAATTTGCTAAACATATGAAACATAACTTCCATTAAGCTCAATATGATTTCTTAAACATCAATTATATTAGCAAAAACATAAAATGGTTCCATAACCCATAAGCCGATGGAATTCGGATAAATGAATTCATCGAAAAAGCTAGATTGCAGGACCCTACAAAGTTGAGATATTCAATGGGATTCAAAAGAGGCCTTGATTGCTATTAACAGACAGTTTTGATTTTTCGCTTCTTTAGGTTCTAATGGTCATCTTTTTCTTCCTTGTTTTCTGAAGAAGCTGCAAATTCATTTTCTAGTTTGACTGGCTTTTGTTTTTTCATTGTCATTTGGTAGAGATCTTTTTTTATATTATTATATTTTGTTTTTATCTCAAGGCAATTGTTTAAAAGCCCATGCTGCTTGGTTCTTCTTATTCATTTGTACAAGTTCTACAGTGAGGTATCTACTTTGCTTGTACGTTCTTTTTTTCATGGGATTTTCTGTGGCAACTCTGGCTCTACTAGCACGCCTTAGAGTGTTGGTTCAGCCAGTAAGTGATACTTATTTTCTTAGACTGTTTACTGTGGTGGAAGCAAAGTTACCAGAGAAGACATGGGGTTAATGTGAAAGGGTCACCCTTCAATGGATGGACTTGAAGTGGAACAATTGATATAGAGGACAGATAATTAAAAGCATGTGCAAATAAGAGTCGGTTAATCCTTGGAATTTTGTTATGTTTCAAATTATGGCAGCATCTGTGTATCTGGATGATTGCTGCAAGTATGAAATTTCCTGGGATTGATGTTGGCTGCAAGTATGAATTAAATGCTGGTTGGTTTTGGAATTGAGACCACCCCAATTTTGTTCCTCTGAGATATTTGCTTGATGTTGTTTCAGGTATTACAACAATGGTCTCTGTCTCTCTCCCAAAAAAGAAGCAATCAGTAAAATAACTCAGGAAGGAATTTGAGGTTGGTCACCTTCCTGATAGTTGTTTTTGAAATCCTTTAAACCATTTTTACTACGGCTTTTTGTGCTTATCCGTAGAGTGTCCTGAATTTTTCCTTTAAATTATGATGGCGGGAGGAATTTTTAAGGGAAAGTGATTATCTCAAACATGGAAGTTTTTCACTTGTAAAGAGTGTTTAAATGGAAGAGAGTAAATTTCATATTGCTTGAAGAGAACACACAAAAGTATACCATAAAAGTTTTCAAGATGCTGTGATCTTGGAGATGGTTCTAGTGAAAACATCAAGGCCCTTCAGTACAAGAAGTATTGGAGGTCCTTTCCTTGGAGGTGAGAATATCTGCTGTTTTGTTTTGATTGAGACACCCATTTTGTTTTCCTCTGCAGATATTGCTTGATGTTGTTTCAGTATTCAACATGGTCTCTTCTCTCTCCCAAAAGAAGCAATCAGTAAAATAACTCAGGAAGGAATTGAGGTTGGTCAACCTCCTATGTGTTTTGAAATCCTTTAAAACCATTTTTACTACCCTTTTGCTTATCGTAGTGTCTGATTTTTCCCTTTAATTATGATGCAGGTTTTTAGGGAGTATTATCCATCAAACATGGAGTTTTTCACTTTAGAGTGTTTATGGAAGAGAGGTAAATTCATATTGCTTGAGAGAACACACAAAAGTAACATAAAAGTTCAAGATGTGGATCTTGGAGATGGTTCTGTGAAAACATCAGCCCTTCAGTACAAGAGTATTGAGTCTTTTCTTGGAGGTGAGAATATCTGCTTTCTATTTTCCCATTTTAGGCATTGTTTGTTTTGCAGTGTTCTATATGCCTGTTTAGCATATATTCAAGGCTACACAGCTGATATTTTCCTGTCAGTTTATATTTTTGGGTATGTTTAGTATTATGAAGCTGTGAATGGGCATGAATGTTCATGTTTAAGCAATATTAGCCCTAAGATGACGTGTTCCTTGGGGTTTTGGAATGAGCTGGGCCAATTTCTAAGCAACCGTTTGATGTGAAGGGTTGTACAAACGAGTTATGGACAAGAATCCCCTGATGTATTGTGTTGTTTATCAAGGGATTGGTCAACTGTTTGCATTTGTCCGAGCGATTGTTTGGAAACTCCTAGGAAGTCTTCTGAATTTTATTGTTCACTCCATCTCCATATGTTTTAGCACTCATTTTGACCATTCTTCATAGTAAACTCAGCATCTCACTGTGCTACAATCTCCACTATTTTCTTTTTACTAATTGTTTTATGCTGCCTTATGATTTTGGCACTGTAACTTAACGTGACTATTGTTGTTTGTGCGAGATGATTCTGGCACTGAGAACTTGAAAGGAGGATTGCACTGTTGAAGAAGGTCGTATTCCATGTATCAAAGAAGATAACAAGGATTTATTTGCTGAACCTTGTATAGAAAATGAGAACAGGATGGAGGTTGAAGGTGGTGTTGACGTTGGACTGAGACATGATCCAGCTGATGTGGGAACTTCAGAAGAAAAACTTCCTCCAGCAGGCAGCCCGCTTTCAACATCAACTTCATCTCCAAGCTCAAAACCTTTGACACCAAAGTCTGTTGCGAAATATGTAGGATTTGTCTCAATTAAAAGACCTGCAACCTCAAAAGCGCCATTTATCTCTGTTAAAAGACCTGCAAGTGTAACAAATATTCATTACGAGGAAGATGGGAAGGACAGTAGCAACAAAGGAGATTCATTTTTCAATTTGCTCACTGGGGAAAACCTTAAAGATAGCCTGTTCTAATGTTTTCTGGAAATCCTAAAGATGTCTTGCGTATACTTTGTCTTATCACTTCCTACACATGTAAATGCAGCTAAATCATTAAAAAAATCATAAATTTTGCGGATAGTTTTAATTGTACTGTAAAACTAACTTTCTTTTCTTAATATTCTGAAATTCAACTTTAATTACAATAATAATCTAATTTCAAATTGTATATTTTAATTACAACAGTAATCTAATTTCAAATTATACTTAATATTAAAATAAAAAATAATGTTATATTTATTAAATTGGATAGAATTTAAGGAATAAAATATTATCTTCAAATTGTATCCAATATTAAAATAAAAAATAATATATTCATCTTAAAAATAAATATATTTATTTATTTATATAATATTACAACAAGAAATAATTTTCCAAAAATAAAATTATACTGTGAAAAATGTAAACTGATATTTTATGTTTATAACTAACTAAAATTTACTCTTTTTCCTTGACTTGTGAATTTAGAAAAAATTCTGACGAAAATAATATTTAGTTCATTAACTTATATACGATTCAAATTAATAAAGGCGCTACTATAACTATAAAGTTCAAAGTAGTATGAAAAGAAATGTGAATTTATGGTACAATTAAAATTATTTCAAAATTTGAGATTTTTTAATAATTTAGCTGAATCAAAATGACCAATATAATTGAAATCACTGTCTAAAAAAATAATAAATTACAAAATAAGAAAAACATAAATTCAAATACAATAATAGACAAAAAGTAAATGGGTGGCAAGTCGTTTTCAAGGAAACCCAATAAAAGCCCGCCCTCTTCAAACCATAAACCCTAACCGCCAAGTCTGACTAGAAAGAGACATACAGAGAAAGCTCAAGCAACTAAAATGGCTGTTCAGAGCCAAACTTCGAATGCAATTGACCCTTCGACATCGCACTTATCCGCTATTACAACTCACAATCAGTTCTTTGGTGAGCTTACAGCTTTTCATTTTACTCTATTTGTTTTTGTATTTTCTGTTTTCAATGTCGCGCTTCTCATCTCAGCTCAGCTTTAATACTATTGCATGCTTATTGTGAATATGGGCGGTGAGAATATTTTATGTTTGAATTATTGTTGTGTTATGAAGTTTGGAGAGAGTTTGTATGGGGAGCTATTGCTGGTGCTTTTGGTGAAGGAATGATGCATCCTATTGATACTGTAAAGACAAGGATTCAGAGCCAAGCTGTTCTTAGTGGAATTAAGGTGTGAAAAGTCGTTCTTAGTGATTTTATTCTCTGTTTGATTTGTAAAAAAAAAAAATATGAAGTTTTAAATGTCAAATTCTGTTTCAAATGTCAAATCTATCAGAGCCAAAAGAGCATACCGCAGATGATCAGAGCAGTCTGGGCTGCTGATGGAGCGAGAGGTATAGGATTGCAAATTTATCTATGGTTATCTGTGTTTGATGGTAGTTCTGAGCTGACTTACACATGGTTAATGAAATTGAATTTTAGGATTTTTGTCTTGTTATGTTGATTTCCTGGAGTCTACTTGATTATGGAGTTTGGAATGAACTGATTGTGCTTTAGGCTTTTATAGAGGTATAACTCCTGGAATCACTGGATCTCTTGCTACCGGAGCTACATATTTTGGCTTTATTGAGTCAAGCAAAAAGTGGATCGAGGAATCACATCCTAGCCTTGGGGGCCACTGGGCACATTTCATTGCTGGAGCTGTTGGTGAGTTTCTGGTGACTGGGGCTTCCAAGTTCCATATTGTTTTTATTCAAAATAGTGCTTTTTCATGATCTTGTGAAAATTACAAAATTGTATACACCAAAAAACAATCAATGACATTGAGGATGATGGAAGGCTTGAAGTGTAAAATGCTTCTGAATATTGAGCTAATTAGAGAAATCTAACCTTTACTGTTTATGTTCATTAATAAATTGAGTTTGCTGCAAACACTTCTTTTGATTATGAGGATTGTGGTATTCTTATCTTTTGGATCAATTTTCATTATGTTGTTACTGTTGGACACCGTTTGTTTTTTCTTTTTATTTGTTGGACTAATGTTAATCTTACATCTCACAATGACTGATCTCCTTATGGAATGGAATGGGTTATGGAAAGGGCAGAAATTCCCCTATTAGGTAGCTTGTTGAAAATTCCAATTTACCAATAATCTCTTGTTGCACTTTTTACTATTTCTAAGTGAACAAAACAATATGTATAATTTCGTTGGCGTATCTTCAACCATTAATAATCCATTTCTGTTGTGTTGGAGACATAAAAACTTCATTGCTGTTTCTATCCTGCTATAGTCTGACCTTTGATTCTGACCAATTGATTCCATAGATGCCATGTCTCTTTTTCCTTTCAGATACAGCTGTTCAGGGAATGCAAGATATCCTTTACTCTGTTGTTCATTATGCAAAATTCCATCTATATTCATGTTCTTTGATCTATGCATATTTTGCTTTGCAGTTTGAATTGCTGAATTGTTTTGTTGATGTTTTGTTGATATAATGTGAGAGCCTTATTAGTTTAAAATATTCACAATCTCAACGATATGGACTCATCAACTATTGGATTTCTCTAAGAACTCTGATTTTCCATCTTCTCGATCAACATTTCAGGAGACACATTGGGTTCTTTTGTGTATGTGCCATCTGAAGTAATGAAGCAACGAATGCAGGTGCAAGGCACAAGAACATCTTGGACTAATTCTGTTGTAAAAGACAACATTTCTATGAAATCTGGTGAGCAAATGTACGGATATTATACAGGAATGTTCCAGGCTGGCAGTTCTATATTGAAGGAGCAGGGGCCAAGAGGATTATATGCTGGGTAAATGTCTGAAACAAAGTCTCTAGTTTGTGGATGGTTTTACGCATATGAATATGACTCGCGTTTGAGCCAGAGATTTCGGCAGTAATATGAACCGGATGGATTCTTCCATTCCAAATAAACTTGTAATCTTGTCTTGTAACTATTTCTTAGGCAATTAAATTACTGCTATGTATCAAAAAGCTACTCAAAATGATACCCATCTCCTTTTCGCTCTCATATGAATGTTGCTGTGTCTAAATGTAGTAACCATAATTCTCTGTTTGTCCTATCAGTTCCATAAGCAGACAAGTCTAATTGAGTATTATCACTTTGGTAGGTACTGGTCTACAATTGCAAGGGATGTGCCTTTTGCTGGACTGATGGTTTGTCTTATTTTCGGACAACTTCTTGTCTCTTAACCTGCAAGAAATGCCTTCAAAAATTTCTCGTCGATGCTAATTGACACTGCAATAAAGCTCACTTAAGTTCATTTTGTTTCTGTGATTGTAGGTTATGTTTTATGAAGCCTTGAAAGATTTGACAGAGTATGGGAAGCAAAGGTGGTGTCCCAGTTTAGATTACTCTGTTAATAGCACTGTGGAGGGACTTATCCTAGGAGGATTGGCTGGTGGTATGTGCTGCACTTCCACTTTAAAATATAAAGTAAAAGGTTCCAAATCAGAATGTTCTTTCTCTAATTTAGCAAAAAAAATATAATTTAAAACTCACTTCAGTATTTAGTGCTGAAATACTGAATGGTTTTCTGAACACCACCTCAGATTTGCTGTTTCTGATTCTGTGGTGCAATGCAAAAATACATATTGCACGCATGTGATTCCTTATCTATATTGTTCAGGTTTCAGTTCATATCTTACCACTCCCTTGGATGTCATCAAAACAAGATTACAAGTCCAGGGATCAACTGTAAGGTATTATTCTGTATATTGAACTTTCCTGGCCATAAATGTTGCAAGATTTCTAAATTTTTTTTGATGGAGTAATCACATGCATTCTGACGTCCTCCCTGCACAAGGCTGCCTTCTGTGTGATAACTATTTACCTTTTGGTTGTCCTGTTGCTTATCCCAGAGTATTATAGCTATCAAGAGATGAGAGAACTTTCTATGCTATTTTAAATCAATTTGGATAGGGGTACAATTAAACATTTTGTTGACTAGTATCCAAAACTGTGGTTTTATACAGCTGGATTTCACAAAATTTGGTGAGTACACTTTATTGTGTGCTATAAGTCCTTAACTAGTGTTATTATTTTTCTTCTAAAAGAAAAGGTTTATTGTGGCTTTGTTGGAAAAAAAACTCGATCATTGTTGCCTGTTGTACTCTTTTAAACCTATTTCTGATTGAAAAGAACTGCTCGAATGGCAATAATAGTATTCATATTCAAACTATTTAAGGTACAATGGCTGGTTGGACGCTATGCAAAGGATTTGGAAGATTGAAGGTGCCAAGGGAATGTTCAGAGGAAGCATCCCCAGGATAACGTGGTATATCCCAGCCTCGGCTCTTACATTTATGGCTGTAGAATTTCTCAGGGACCAATTCAATAGAAAAATAGACAGTGACAAGAAGCAAGAAGTTACAAGACTGACATTAGAGAAAAAGGGATCATCTTTGCGAGAGGTAGCCTAGAACTGAATCTCATCTTTCCATCTATCAGCAATGGGTAACTGTATATGAGAAGTTTACAGATTTCCCCCAACACAATCCACAGAAATTCCAAGAACCCCTTGGTGGATAAGTCCGACGATTCAGCAGCAGTGCAGATAATTCTTTGCCGAAGCTAGCCAGAGATTTGAAAACCACATTTTGAAATTTGATTATGCAGAACTGTATATTGAGATCTGCTTCCTATTACCATAATCTTGTGCCAAAGAGTTGACATTGTCATTTCTTGTATTAATCATTTGGAGTATTCCTATAGCCATCCATTGAATGTGCGATTGTAACCTCAAGTTGTTATGTTTGGTGAGCTATAATGAAATTTTGGAGTATTACGGGTGAGTTTTAATTATATTTTAAAATTTATGATTAATCAAATTTTATTTTAAATAAAATTATCAATTGAATCATTATTTCTTTTAGATCCTTTTCTTTTCTCTTTTTATTCGTTAAGACTTTTGAACTACAGAAACCGGAAAACGGCGCCTAATTTAGTTCTTACGGAAGCTTCTTTAACCGAACAGACAACTTCGTGCGCCTTTTTAAGTTATTCACGTATCCAAACAGAACATTTTCTTCAGTTCTTTCTTCTTTAACCCTAACGAGTAACGACGAGGACAAGCCACCGCGAAAACTACCTTCTTAATGGCATCGGAGAAGCGGTGCCACTACGAGGTATTGGGCCTCTCTCAGGACTGCACAGCTGACGAAATTCGTTCCGCTTACAAGAAACTAGCTCTCCAGCGCCACCCTGATAAGCTGGTCCAGTCCGGCTTGAGCCAAGCTGAAGCCACCGCTCAGTTTCAGGAGCTCGCTCAAGCTTATGAGGTTCTTTCCGATCCTAAAGAACGCGCTTGGTACGACTCTCATCGTTCTCAAATCCTCTTCTCCGATCCTAACTCTGCCAATTCGGTCCCTGGCTCTGTTATCCCTAATTTGTTTTCTTTCTTCTCTAACACGGTTTATTCGGGTTATACGGATACGGGAAAGGGGTTTTATAAGGTATATTCGGATGTATTTAACAAAATCTACGCTAATGAAATCAGTTTTTGTAAAAAATTAGGGTTGGGTTTGGAGAATGTGAGGGAAGCGCCGGTTATGGGGAATTTAGAGAGTCCATATGGACAGGTGACGGCGTTTTATAATTATTGGTTTGGGTTCTCTACTGTGATGGATTTTTGTTGGGTGGATCAATATGATGTGATGGCTGGGCCGAACCGGAAATCAAGGAGGGTGATGGAGGAGGAGAACAAGAAGTTGAGGAAGAAGGCAAGGAGGGAGTATAATGAGACGGTGAGAGGATTGGCAGAGTTTGTGAAGAAGAGAGATAAAAGGGTGATTGATATGATGGTTAAGAAAAATGCAGAAATAGAGAAAAAGAAGAAGGAGGAGAAGGAAAGGAAGAAGAAGTTGGAGAGAGAAAGGATGGAGAGAGCTAGAACATATGAGGAGCCAGAATGGGCAAGAGTTAATGAAGATGAGTTGGAGGATTTGGAGGGGTTTGAAGAGGAAGAAAAGGAGAAGAAGGGAAGTGGAGGAAAAGAATTGTATTGTGTCGTGTGTAGTAAAAAATTTAAAAGTGAGAAGCAGTGGAAGAATCATGAGCAGTCGAAGAAGCATAAGGAGAAGGTGGCTGAGTTGAGGGAGTCGTTCAGGCATGAAGACAAAGAAGAAGAAGAAAAAGAAGAAGAGATGAAAGAAGATTTTGAGGGAGATGAAGAAGAGAACAATAAAGAAGTAGTTAGCAATTTGGAAGAGGTGGAGAAGAGGCTTGAAGAAGATTTTAGGATAAGGGAGGAAGGAAATGGTGTTGAGATTCCAGAATTGAGTGATGCTGAAGATGGGTTCTTTGATGTTGAGGATGGAGACGAGGCTGAAACACTTGGTGTGGGAGATGCAAATGTTCATGGGGATGATAATGAGGATGGTGATGGGGAAATGAGTGTACTCGAAGCAATGTTAAGTGGGCATAAGAGTCGGAAAAATCGGGCTTCAAGATACGTGAGTGAGGATGTTACAGTAGAAGTTAATGTCAAGGATATGAATGAGGAGATGGAAGCTATGGAATATAATAACCGGAAGAGTAGGAGGAGGAGGGGCAAGAAAGAAAGGGGCAAGAATGATGGAGGAGTTCCAGAGAAGGGTGATTTTGATGAAACCAATCTGGACGACGAAATTAATGGGCATGGTGATATGCATATACAGGAGTCTTCTTCTACTTCTTTCGTGGAAAATGAGAAGGATGGCAATAATGATGATCATTTGAGGAAGACTAAGAGTTCACACCAATTTGTCGACAATAAAGGGGTGGCAAAGAAGGAACCAAATACCAAATTGAAGATCCCATCAAAAGGAAAGAAAGGAAAGGTATACAACTTTCTAACTTTGCCTGTCTTTACACAAATTTATTTATGTATATCCTTGTAGAATTATATATTTGTACTAGTCCAGTTTGGAATTACAGATTGATGCTACCTAAACAGCCGCTTTTTTCACATTAACGGTGGTTGAGCACTATAGTCTAATAAAATCTGTTTATGCAGTATGTTTAGTTGTTGTATGAATTCTAGTATAATTTTTCCAATTTACGATGCAGATGCAGTTTTTTAGTGATGTTTGTGGAATTTGGATTAGTCTGCTAGCCAATATTTAGGCTTTAAAGGCTTAGATGCATTTAGGCATAAATCTGTTCAGAGGAATGGTGTTGCACAAAGTCTAAAGAGAGTTTGGTAGTTTTCCTTTAGAACAGCAATACCCATCATATTCACTACTGCAAAAAAAGAAGTCTTCACTCTTGTGATCAGCTCCTTTGTCACTTCTTTTATTACTTCTGCTAGGTATGACGTCACGGTAACTCATCCAAAGTCATCCAACTGGATTGGGGCAAAAAACCTATTATTGATTAGTCTTGTAATCTTATTTACCCAAGTAACTGTAAAGGATTGTGGGTGTGTGGCTCTCCCTTAAAGTTCTATGTTGCCTCGTTTAGCCATGATGGATGATCTGATGCTTTGCCCATGTGGTCAAAATAAGTGAACCCTGTCGTATAGGTATGGAAGGGAATCATTTAGGTAAGAATGTTCTGTTATATACTATGCTCATAAGAAAACACAATCATAATTTATTGAGAGGAAATAGGGAAGTGAAATACTGTTTTCCAAGGTGTTCTTTTAGGTATTTGTCTTGTTAGATTTGAACTATAGTATACTGCAGCTTTTATTCAACACTTTTGGTGTCATAACTAATATTCCAATTAATGCTGCAACTTGTGAACTTTGTCCTTTATTTGTCTAATTTGATGAACTTTTATCTGATACAGGCAACATCAAAGAATTCCGTCAACATTTGTGAGAAATGCGGAGAGGAATTTGAGTCAAGGTATTCTTCTTCTCTCTCTCCCCCGCTCTTCATTCTTGTTTGATTCATCGCACTCCTTTTAGTTCACGCAGAATTTTTTCCACTTATAAGGTTCTAATAACATTGTTCTGAGTCTCATAAGGTCATAATTAAGACGATAAGTACGGATTAAGCCATTCATAATAACTAAAATAGTCAAATTAATCGCAACAACTCAAGAGAGTTAGGAGTCTTGCATATATAACCCTAATTGAATTTGAATCTATAGTCCATATTGTTAAATCCTCTAATTAGCGACTTCAAAGTATAGTATCTGTAGATATAAATGGATTTGCTGGTGATGAATGACCTCCTATCCCTTAAAAGTTCTAAATGTTCCTAATGCATCTCGAAGGTTTCAAAAACCATAACGAAAGTCTGGACTCGGCATCCTGATCAATTGAAATCTTTCGTTCTTAACACATAGGTGTGGCCCACCCACTAGCGCTCGAAGTCGAAAGAAAAAATCGAAAAACGCTTTCGCCCAAAACTCCCTTGGGATCTTACGTGGATTTAAGGCTTGTGGTACTATATGCGTAAAAGGCCTGTAAAAGGAAACCTAAACACACTTCTTCCCCAGTATTTCCGGTTCCCTTTTTAGGTTGAAAACGTTATCTTAGTTTAAAATCTGGTCGTGCGCTCCATAAATTATTCTTAACTCTTTGAAATTAAAGCTTGAAGTTCTTAAAGAAGTTGAGGAAGTTGGCTCAGCAAATCGCCACTTTTCATTTTTTCCATACATTTTAAAACTTCCAAGAGGTAAGTGCAAGAAAAGAGAATAATTTAGGGAAAGTGAATACGTTTTTCCAAAGGTGTTCTTTTAGGGTATTTGTCTTGTTAAAGATTTGACCCTATAGTATCACCTGCCATGCTTTTATTCCAACCATTTTGGTGTCATAAATAATTTCCAATTAAATGGCCTTGCAACTTGTGAACTTTGGTCCTTTATTTTGTCCTAATTTTGATGACTTTATCTGATACAGGCAACAATCAAAGAATTCCGTCAACATTTGTGAGAAATTGCGGAGAGGAATTTGAGTCAAGGTATTCCTTTCTTTCTCTCTCCCTCCCCCCCCCCCCCCCCCCCCCAAAAAAAAATTTATCCTCTTCATATTTTAGAAAAATTCTCATATTTTTCCTTTGCCATGGCAGGAATAAATTACATAAACATTTAAGTGACACAGGTCATTCTACACTGAAATACCGATGAGGATTTTATTTATTTTTTGGAGCTATGTGCTAATAATTGATTATTGCAAATCAGAATAACAAGATATTTGAGATGTGTGCACCAAGCAATTTTTTTTCCCCTTGCTAATGTTCTCTGTTTTGGCGGATCGTTTGAGTTCAACTGTTTTGAGGTAGGCAGATAGAAGAGAATTTTTGTTGCAGATTGCAACTTGTATGTCAAAATTTCAAACAGTGACTAAATCATTTGTAAGTGAAAATTCTTTCAAAATCTTATGATTGTTGTATATGAAAGTCTGAATGAAGCCATGACATTCTCGTATCTGGTACTGGTACAGCATGGTTGGAACTCTTGCAAAATTTCCTCTCGTGATATGAGTTACTGCTCGGCACGGATGTTTCCCTCTTAAGGCGGGAGAATGTTTTCTGAGAAATTATTAACATGTTCACACATTTTGTAACATTAGTTGCTATTTCTAAAATACAGGTTTAAACCTAAAATGCCAACAAAACTTAGCTATACAAGCAATCCGAATTTGTTTTTATTTCAGTTCTAAAAAGAGTAGACAGCCAAAATATTTGAATAGCTAGTCATTTTAAATCAAGTTCTTGAAATTTTGGCTTTTTTTTTTTTTTTTTATGATTTTATGCTTAGACAGAAAAGTTAACATGCTCAATAATTTCAAATGACTGATCATCTAAATGGACCCTCCATTTATTTACCAATACTCACTGCAGCATTCTTCTCACTCCTTAAACTAGTCTTCAATCATATACTAAAGTATATGAATAGGTTGAAGCTAGCTGATGAGTAAGAATTGCATTTAACGTGCTACCATAAAACATTTACAAAAGGAAATGTAAAAGCTAGATCGTTTCTAGCATAATGGTTTAGTAGAGGCTTCTTGAATGTAAGCAATGGCTTCCTCCTCTGTTAACCGTCCTCCTTCCACAAGGCCTTTTATTAAGGTGTTGGCATATTCTTTGCAAGGTGCACGCAAAGGGACTTCCCCTGATTTAAACCTTTCGATTGCCGAAAGTGGGCAGCTGAATTATCACACAAAAATGTCAAAATAAATTAGGCACAAAAGAAATAGAGAGAAAGAGAGAGGAAAAGAAAAATAATTTTATGCATACGTCATAGTCAGTATAGGGATGTCCTGCTCCTTTCCCAGGTAAACTACATTGTGGTACCAACCCGTCTGCACGAAAACAGAACAGCACACATTCGATAAGTAAAATGCTGGGGATGTATGAGGAATTAAACAATTTTGCTTCTGATAGTAAACAACAGATCAGGTGTGTACCTTAAAAACCTCCAAAGAAATGGATCCTTGGTTTGTTATTGCCTGTAGTGCATCCAAATCAAATACCGGAGAACTCATCTCTTGATAACCATTTTCCTGAAGCAAAACGTCATTGAACTGTTCTAGCCTGTAAAGGAAAAAGATGAGCATGAGATGATTCGGTTCTGCTGTTGACGATAAACTTTGAAGTCAGTTGTCTAGCATTTTTTTTATGTCGGGAGTTTTTACTGCTCTGTTTTACTAAAGAAATACTGAGAAACAGATTTATATCAAAATGTTAAACAGAAGACATTTTGATTAGAAATGAAAAGGATTGCAAGAAAATACGTACGTTATTCTATACAAGCACAAGTAAGTTTTTTCACCAACGCTACTTTCAGGATGAAGGAAAGCAGCCCCTCCAGGACCCCATGTAAGTGTAGATTCACGACCAAAGAATAATCTGTGAGGGAAACTTTTCCATAGAACAGCTTTTGGTGGGTTTCTATCCATTGAACCAGAGCAAGGCTTTCTCATACCATCTACCTGCAAGTCATTTGCGAATATTACACATGAGAGAGAGAGAGAGTTTGAGAGAGGCTGTGTGCTACATGCAAGGTGGGGAGATGAGGAGTTTACAATAATCAATATCTGCTAAAGCATTTGGAGATAAAAATTTAATTTTATAATGACATATTCCTTATATCATGCTATGCATAACAGCTTAGACTGCCCGTAAACCAACAATGCATTTCAGAAGAAATGCTTCATGTTGTTGAAAAATATTGTTGTTTTAATAGTGGGAATAATGTCGTGATGCCGAGTACATTACCTGACCACCTTGAATATAACAAAGGAACCTTGGTTTCCACATATTTGATCCAAAAGTAGCATACCAAATGTCCGTCTTTGAAAGCTCTGATCTCCAGTTAGTAGGTTCTGTGGCCAGTTCATCTGCATTCCGCGTGGGTCAGAAATTCATCCCAAACACAAAAGTGTGGAAGCATAAACTTTAACATGATTAGAAATAATTTATTGACATTTGACTATTTTGACTGAAGTCATTCCTTTACCATGATCATCTTCGATTTTTATATTCAAAAGCGGTTCAATAACCTCCTGAACAGCTGAAACAAAATTTGCTGACACAATATTTGGAGTTTTGCGATCTTCATCGTCAGAATCAGAGCTTGAGATCAAAAGATGCTGGAATGCAGAATTTCTTAGTGTTGTATTTGTGTAGAGAGAATGACATTGTAAGTGGACGACAAACTTAATAATTTAAACAGAGTACAATCGAAGACAGTAAGACAAAATATTAAGTCAAGACTCTTTCCTACAGAAAATACATGTACATAGTCAACATCCATGTCCAGTAAGGCAGTAACTAGTAATATTTCTGCTTCATAAGCTGATTAAACGCCTTAAGCTTTGCATTCATGAAGTAAACAACACAAAGAAAAACAACATTTTAACTAGCATCTCATTTATATCAATACTCAAGGATCAGTAAAGTTCTTGTATGGTTACCACTTCTAAACCTGCAAGTGTGCTAGTAATAATTTCAAGGACTTTCAGTGAGAGCCAGTTTGAAAATGATAAGGGGATAATATTCTTGTACAAAGCAAATCTGTGTCTCTGTCTTTCATGCATGCAAATATACAATTCAAACCACTGCAGGCATAAGTTGGTATGTTGACATGCATGTGTGTGTGTGTGTGTGTGTGCGCTTGCGCGCCTTTGCCTGTGCATGAATTCTTTTTCAAGTCTGTCAGCACATAAATCAATTGACTACTATCAGACTTGATGAGACAAGCATAATTTTATATATGGAGAAGAAAAGCATCTCTTGTAGACAGGGACTCACTGGAGGAGGGGCTTTTTGACTGGTTAACTTCAAGGGTATTTCGTCTGCAAGTGTAGGCCAGTAAGCACTTAACTTCTTGCGAACCTGGAGAACAGATAATACATGACCACGTTAAACCAAAAGTATCTTGATATATATAGCTTATTTTCAACAACTAAACAACAGCACAAGCAAGAAGTGGAGTTAATACAAAGAAATATATCACCTAGCAAAGAATGTAATACCAAACGTATTTTACCATCTGTATGACACGCCAAGTGGATTCAAATGGATAGGCTTCTGAGGATCCAGCAATAGGCTTGTTCTCAAGCAGAACTTCCACGCAAGCAAGGAACGAATTTGCTATAGAGCCAAGATTGTAACCTCCTTCCAATGCCAACACAATCTTACCATTGGCAAAATCCATCAACTGAAAGGAGTGAGGGAATAGAAAATAAGATATAAGAAACATGTGCAAACATTTTAATTGTTCTTGAAAAAATTGCAAAATAAAAGATGCTAAACAAATTAAAAGTCAATGACAAACCACAAAAGGCAACTCAAGAAAAAAGAGGTGAAATATCAAAGTAGGCAATGCAATCTTCAGATTATGTTTTTTTCTACAAGATGCCACTTGCATGTTCCTGACACAAGTCAAGAATTCTTTGTCCCACAGTTAATACGAAAATACCAAAAAAATGAAGGGATAATTTGAACACTAACCTTTTTCAACATCAATGAATATCCATACGGTGTGACACGACAACCACCAAGAGGATCACCAACAGCTGTTTCAAGATGTATATTGTAAATTTAATTCAACAAAACAAATGAGAAGTATGTTTATCTCCAAAAGCCACTAGAAGCACAAACCAAATCACCATATGACCATAACCATATTTCTCTTTCTGAAACTACCATAACCATATTTCTATTCATGCACAAAAGGAAAAAAACAAAAGCAAAGAAATTTCAGGGAATGTAACCCTAGTAGAATTGAATATTAAATGTCAATATATCTTAACAAGGTGAACGCTAAAATGATCAATATTTCGCAGATAAAAGCACCCAGAATATCCTGCAATGTGTCATTTTGTAGAACATGTTATTTTCAAGAGATCCTACCATTTAAAGCATCTTCAGAACATAAACTGTTATTCTAATTAGGCAGCACTTTAAGGTCATAAAAATACCTAGGCCAAGTGCTTTCCAATATCTCAACGTTTCAGTTACAAATTTTAGTCTAATTTGCATTGACCATTAATTTCCAGAATATCAGAAAAGAATAACAAGTGAGGTCAGTTCCATAGATAAATGATAGGTTTCCTCTTCTTTCCTCACCATTTAATTGTTTCTTCTTCATGTTTTAGGCACTATTTTGATTAATTGCTCATTTGGGACAATTAAATGTTTTAAAATGTTTCTAAATTAATTCCTGAAATGTGTTAAGAATGATTACATCGAACACTGTTAGTCCTTTGTTTTTTTATTTTCAAGAAAGCTGGTATGAAAATTCTCAATGGCTATCATTACTTTCTCAATAGAGTTGTTTATGAAGGTATTTACAACACACTCAAATAAAATTGAAACATTTAAGACACGATCATAAGCCTCCATAACAGTGAAAATAAAAGGATATTTGCAATCTAAAAGTAAATTCAAACCTGCATCAAATCCGGCAGACACTATAATCATGTCGGGTTCAAACTCCTTAGCAACAGGGATCAAGATATGGTCCCATACAGCTAGATAGTCTGGATCCCCACATCTTCCATTCTCCCAAGGGACATTTATGTTATATCCAGCACCTGGCCCTTCTCCAATCATAGTATAGAAACCATCATCGTTAGCAGGGTAAAAAGTCCCAAACTCATGCCTGCAGAAATCACAACTTTAACAATTACCATGACATTTTTCATTGTGAGACTACACTAAGCAAAAGAGAAATTTGAACTCAAGCCTACCTTATAAAAAGGATAAAGTGAAAGTTACAACAAGATAAAGCATGCCATATCAACAAATAAATCCTTGAGCACAAGCAAAGTGATTTTACAGGAGAAAATTGAGAAGTAGAATCCTGTCATACCTATGAACAGAAAACAACAAGACTCGAGGGTCCTCGAAAAACATCTTTTGAGTACCATTCCCATGATGAACATCCCAATCAACAATCAGAATCTTTTTAATACCCAATTCTGGCTATAAAACACCAAAAAAACAACACGTAATGAGGTGGCACAGTGCTATAATTTAAAACCAAACCTTAATATACTTTCCTAAATTTCACACAAGGAATGGAAATCTTAAAATTTATATACACACATGAGCAACTGCATGCATTTATACGAATATTACTAAAATCAAGCTCTCACTCTTTCATCCAAAAGAAATCTTGTTGCAACAGCCACATTGTTGAATAGACAAAATCCCATTGCCTCATCATGTTCAGCATGATGTCCAGGAGGCCTTACAATAGCAGCAGCAGAATTCAATTCCCCTTTGGCAACTCTCTCAGCCACCTAATTGAAAACATATTTATGTATTATATGTCTAAATTTGAAACCTATAATTTGCTAAAAAAAATTTATGTTATAGCAAATTTGCTCTATGACTTGATAACATTAACATTATTCAGGAAATGTCTCTAGCAGGTTGGAAAAAAAAGTCACTAGCCTACACTTTTACCTCTATGACAGAGCCAGCAGCAAGGTAAGCAGATTCTGATGATCCTTCATTAAAGTATATAGAATTGAATTTTGAAGCAATTGTATTCCTTCGAGAATCAAATTGTTTAGTGCTTATATTTCTAACCAAATTAACATGATTCTCGGAATGAACTGCTAGTAGATATTTATCTTCTGCTTCTTTGGCGTTCAAAACAACACATCTGTAAGAGACAAATCCACAAAAACATTAAAAAAAAAAAAAAAAAAAAAAACCCGGCAATTCCATCCAAAATGGCCTCTGGCTTTATTGAGGGGTCAATTATCACTCTATGCCCTTCCGACTGACCATGTGCCTTCAGAAATCCTCCGGATGTAGCTACAAATAGGAAACATTTCAACCAGGGTTTGAAGCTTTAAGGAAATTGTAACCCCTTTTCGAAGTCTAAGGAAGAAACTTCCTCAAAGTGCTGTTGTAATGTTTTTCACTGTTTTTGGATTAGACCAACCATGCGTCACACACAATGAATACACTGGGCGACTATCTTTTTGTGAATAACATGTCATGGAAAGATTTTGGTGCGTATGCACCCAAATCTTTGTATAGGTTGCCCTGAAGATTTTAAGCCCGAAAGGCATGATCCCGTTAACAGTACATGTGTTTCCTTTCACATCTGTTGATGAATGCCGATCTATTTGCATATCTTTTGTCTGGCAAACCCTAGACTATTCATTATTTGGTTGACCACGCGGTATCAGCCAGAGATCGGTCCAGAGGCAAGACCCCATCTCAACGTCGCCTCCAGCCATTCGGAGTCACGGACTACTAACCAAAGTCCAACCTATTGCGGCAGAGAGGCGCAAGAGTCGTCCTTCGGACATGTGTCTCTTTTCATTCATGTCAAATATGCGTAGTTAATCCCACACCATTCTGACTTTTCCATTCTTCTTTAATGGAAACCGTTCTGTAATTTTAATTCACAACATGAGGAAGTCGATCGTTTATCCTCACAGCCTAGAAGCCCAAAAACCCATCCCCCCATATGTGGAACCCATACCATATTTCCTCCTTTCTGGAAAAACTCACCGATACCATATTCTCTATTCTCACCCACAGAAATGCAGCACAAAAGGAAAAAAAACAAAGCACTAGGAAATTTCAGGAAATGTCAACCCTTACGTAGAATTTGAATTCATGTTGTCAAATTTAATATGTCTACAGCGAAGGTGAACCTAAAATTGATTAATATTTCGCAGATAAGCACTCAGAATATCCTGCAGTGATAGACTTATGGATACATTGAGTGCTTACTTGTGTTGTTGATTTTGTTTCCCGCTCTCCTCACTGTCATATTCTTCGCTTTGTCCCGCACACTTCTTTTTGTGTTCTTGCCCATCCTCCACCGTTCCTCTGCGTCATTCCCACATCCATCTCGGCTTTTCTTCAGCTCCCACCCTCACCCATCTCTCGGCCACCCTCCACTCCCTCTCCACTCCCCCTCTCCCTCTGACCGCCTTCGCACCCCCGACGAATCTTCTCCGCCACGCCAGTCAACACATCTCCTCCCCCCTCTCCCACACTGTCTTCACTTTCTCCCCCACCACCCCCATCCTGTCTACCACCCATCCTCCTCACCACTCACTTACTCCCATCGCTCTGTCATCCAGTCATCCACCTCTCTGCCCCAATACGTCCCCCCTCTTCCTCCAGGACCACTCACCCTCTCTCCCTCACGCGTCTCACCATACTCCACTGATCTCCCACTCATTCTCGCTACGCTCCTATCAGCAGCTGCCAGCTCTCTTAAAAAAAAAAAAAAAAAAAAAAAAACCCATTCAAATGAAGAAAATGATCTTTGAGGAATGTTCTTGGCGACAATCTTTTCTTTTGGTTGTACATTCAAATTTGTAGTAAAAGAATATACTAATAAAACTTTTCTTCATTTTCTCAGGATCCAAACAAACAAACAAACAAGAAGAGTAGAGTGAGAATTAACCTTTGAGGAATGTTGTTGGCTACAAGCTTGTTCCAAATGGTTGTGATTCGATTGGGATTTTCAGGATGATAATCATCAACGGTAGAGAAATGCTTACACATTCTCTCATCATAGATTATCCCCACGCGCCGTTGCCTGCTCTTGCTATCACCAGATTCTACCTCCTCCATGCTCTCCGATGTAAGCCTAGACTCGAGTCGCAGTGGCCGAGGGAGAGACGCAATCACGCAGGGCAAGAGTTGAGGCGATGAATCATGAATCAAAGTGACTAAAGCTTTTTTTTTTTATTATTTCTGTTTTTTAAAATCGATGGATTTTCAGCTTTTTCTTTTTCTTTTGTTTTTTACTTTTTTGTCCTTTTCGTTCATTGGACGGTTTTGGAGGGAAGATAAAGACACTTTTACTGCCCACAAGTAATTTTTAGACACGTCATTAACTCATTATATAATAATAATAAGATTATTATATTATTTATGAATTACCATAATTTTCTCAAACACAAGGCGTCCTTGCGTTACAATAACTTCAGTTAATTGTTACAATAACTTCAGTTAATTATTTAAAGAATTAGAAAAGAGTTTCAGTTTGCTGTCTGTTGATATGAAATGGAGGTTATTCTTCCAAATATATTATTTTAAAAAATGAAAATAAAAGTAAAATAAAATAAATTTCAGGTATATAACTATATAAGGAATCAAAATGAGAGTCCCCATGAGAAAAGGGGGTATTTACAGACATCCTATCACTTGTACCTTCACATCAGTGTTCAATGAACAAAATAAGTTACTGTTAGATTTTCCTTTTCTTTCGATATGTATCCGATTTTAGTATTTTTCACCTGTCTGCTAACTTGTGCATCCTAGGGCTAGAGTGATTTAAGACTGAAAATGAGTGGAGGAGGGAGCAGCCATCATAGAATCATTCTGTAAAATAGGAATCAAACTAACAGGTGGCTTATAGAAGACTGTCAGTCCCAATGGATGGTCTTGAAAATTTGTTGCTAACCAATTAGCGCACCCATTTGCTTCTCTATGAATATGAAGAAATTGGCAATCCCAGTCACGCTTGATTAGATTCATGCAGCATGTAGCAAGAGCTCTATTAGGATCTAGTTCATCTGGAACTCTCTTTAGATACTCCAATGACTCAAGAGACTGAGATTCCACCAGGACTTTCTTAAATCCTCTGTCCCAGGCAAGCATTAAGCCATGATATACAGCCCACAGTTCTGCTCCCAAACAACTATAGCTACCCAAGTTAAGAGTATAGCCAATGACCCATTTGCCAGATTCGTCTCGTATCACTCCACTAGCTCCAGCAGCTTCTGTTTTTGTCTTTGAACTCTCAGCTATATTCAACTTGACTGAACCTGTCCGGGGAGGAATCCAGCATGCTGGTCTCTGTGTTTTACCCAGTGATCTGGCACTCAATTTGTGGCTGTGATCTTGTTTATCACATTCAAAATTTTGAACTTCAATTTTCAGCTCCATTGGGCTAGATTGAGGATATCTATGAAGATCAATGTTCCCCTTTTTCGCACGCCTTACAACTTCCCCATCATTGAAATGAGTTTCCTCCTCTCTAAATTTGGCTTTGCACTGCATGTTTCTTAATTTCTGCCTTGACAGTTCTTCAAAACCAGGGGGGATATTTGCTTCACCTGTAACATTAGATAACAGTTATCTGTTAATCTTCTCAGAAACTTCTGAAAACAAAGAAAACAGTTCTCGTTGAGCTTGGTTGGTTTCTATACGCAGCTGTTGAATAGTGGAGTCCATACTCTTAAAAGCATTCAAAATCTTGCTGTTTGACACGTTCACATCAGCATCAACTCTCCCCAAAGGCCGTCCACCAACCATGTCAATTTCCATATCAACAGTCTCACTGCTTTCTATGCTGGCATAATCTTGCTCCAGAGCAATTTTGTCTTGTCCATTGCGAAAAACTCCCCATAAGAACTGTCCAGTATTTAGCATTTCAGTAACATCTGCAAACACAATAATTCATATTATCTCCATGAAGGAACTGAGAAAACCATGTGAAAGTTACATGCATATTAACTACACATATGATATGCACAGATTACTACATAATGCTAGAGATTGTTTCTCTCTCTTAGAGGTCAGCCCTTCTTTTGCTGGGTGACCAACCTAATGGTTACTTACAAAATAGTTTGTTCTATAACTACTAGCTTTCTCTGTGAAATTTATTTACTTGCTTTCTATGCCTGCTCACTTCCTCTTTCCCCTTCCTCACAGGACTGTTAGAGAAGGAGGATTCTCAGCACTAGCCAATTACAATCAGATCACAAAAAAATGGAAAGTGCCAACATAGCAACGGTTGACTAAACATTATCAAAGAAGGAAAAAATTGAATTATGATGTAAACGGGGAAAAATTGCGAAATGACAATAAAAAATAACCTTGAAATGCTTACCTATTGAAAAGCCGAGTGAAATTTTCATAAAGAAACAGAAAAATCACAACTCACCTTGCAAATCTGAATGGAGCTGTTTTGATGTGAATATTAGCAACTCCATGCCACTGATGTAACTTCTCATTACAGAATTTTCAATTTCCAAAAGCTTGAACAGACTGTCATAGTTCCCTTTGGATCTAGAAGAAGAATTTTACTGTCTTAAACTACAATTTTCCAAAAAATACGAAGAGTTTTACCCAGAAAAAGAAAAAGGAAAGAAAGAAAGAAAGGTACCTCTCAATAGTAGGAGAAGGGAGAAAATATAGTGCAATGTCACGAAAATCTGGATAATCATTCTGGAATATATCTGACCGAATATGGTTTAGTGGAAGCAGGTTAACCCCAAGGATTGTAGGCATTGTTCGTGAAAACTCATAGGCCTTACGATTTACTCTACATGGAGGCTGAGCATTGAACCCACCATAAAATTTACCAGGTGTGGTGGTATCAAAGAAGGTGAATCCTCCCCTTGAGAAAAATGAAAATAAAAAGAAAGAATCAATGGAAAATATTCCAGATGAATAATTAAATATCAGCTGCTTCTATCAATTATGTCTTTAAGTAGCAAAAGATAACACTATAAGGTCAAGGACATAAAACGGATATACATTTTAAGAGAAAAATAAATAGTATAGATGATAATTAGGAACTCAATCGAAAAGGCTGAAGATTGCTTAGTTTTGATCACTGAGATGAATGGGTTCATTACATATTTACATATGAATTCTCTTTTTCTCTTTTCTATTAATAAATTGTAGAAAAAGTATTTCGTGTGACTTTATAAAGCGATTGGTTACCTACTTCCAAGTGGTGCACAAAGCAGGGAAACAATGACGATACAGGCTAAGTTTAGTCCGAATAATTGTTGATTCTCTTACTTCAACACCAGACTTCTCAGGTTCAGCAACAGGACAAGAGTCAATGCCTGTAAATATGAAACATAGGAAAACAAAATACATTGTCAACAATTTGTAAAAGAAATTAAACCATTAAGTATAATGTATCACAAAATTTTGATACCTATAATAGGTGGAGCATTTGCTGATGTTGAAGATGTGCCTAATGACTTGTTCTTCGCTTCCTCCGCATTTATATTGCAAGCTATGGCTTCCTTAGCAATCACATTGTTGTAGCATTTTTTTACAGGTTTGACAATTACATTGGCATTGCAAGCTTCAACTTCTTCGGCAGGCTTGGTAGAAGTTGTTTTCTGGTCCTTGAAACCACTTTCCTTCACAGTACTGAAGGCAACCTTGCAACTGCCCTCCTTCACAGAATTGACGGTAGCCTTTTGTTCTGGGACACCAGAAACAACAGCAATAATAGCAACCATATAATACAAGTTAATAAAAATCCTTGTATATCCTCAAGCAAATAAATGAACCAGGTGATTATTCTTGCCCTCTCAGAATTTTAGCTAACTAGTGTGGTTTCAATTCTTGCAACAAAAAACATTAAAAACTTCATAATGCCTCTTTTCCTTTCACCAAGTTCTTTTAGTGTGGAAAATTTGAATACTCACTCATCATGCAATATAACCAAAAAGCCAAGTCAAACAACGTGAATTGAGAAGTAGGACAATGTGTGTGAGTGTATGACATAAAATCTATCAAGCATAACATTGAATCAATTTATTTGAATAATCAAATAGGTGCTACCTCCACTTGGTCCATTTTCTAAGTTATTTCTTTTGCCATGTGCTAGAGCAACAAATATACTATTGCAAGGGACAAAAAAAAAAAAAAAAAAAAAAAAAAAAAAAAATGCTGACTAGAACGTTAGTTTACAGATTCGTTTACACATGTAACTCTGAGTTTTCGGTTTCCTCCTCTCCCCCCCCCCCCCCCCCCCCCCCCCCCCCCCCCCCCCCAAAAAAAAAAGGTCCAACTTCTCAAGGTAGAAAGTTAATACAAAAGGTAACTTTAAAACAATTACCATCATTTGATGTTCTGGATGCATGTTGGCTAGTTATTGAACTGATTTGGATTCTACCATGTCCAGGAGGCTTCATAAGACCTGAAGAGATTGTGTTCGGATTCACTCTCACTGGGCAGAGCTTTGGAGTGACAGATGAAATGCCAGGCCTGTATCCCAAATTAGTCTTTGAAAGAGATCCCATTTTTGCAGCACCTGATGATAATTTAATTACTTCTTCAGTAGAAAGAAATTTTACTTTTCCAGTTTCCACAGGCTTTTGTCTTTTAGCATGACTATGTTGTCCAGAATCATCACAAATTTTAGTGGGGCCTCCATGCATCACCACATCATGGTGGACTGTATTAGAGCGATTCTGCAAATTTTCCTTCTCATCACTTAAGCTTTTGTCTGGTATACAGTCTTCACAAACCCATACTTCTAGGATCTCCTCCTCATAGATCCTCCTCATGCAATAACTGAAAAAAGAAAAGGATAGGCTGGCATATTTAGAGCAGAAACAACAATTCACATAATTGGTATGAAGAGTAAATTTAAGTGGCCATATGATTTGGGCACAAACAAAAGATTGAACCATGCATTTTTAAGGGCTCTGTAAAAAAAGAAAAATGAAGCATACATGTCAAAAATGAGCCTAGCATCTAGCAAAGCAACATTCCAAATTTTGATGTGAACAACAGCATGCTCAGGCATCCATTTGATAAAGAAATAGGAAGACTAAGACTATGTTTGGTTCATCTTGTAGTCAGATTACAAGTGTAAATGATTGTCCAAATTTTATTCAAAGTTTAATTATGAAATAACTAAAAGAATTTAATAGTAAACCCTAAAATTATATTAAAAAGTATATGACATTTCAACAAAAATTTAAGTTTTTCAAACATAATATCATATAAAAAAATTTTGAATTCTTCAGGAACCAAATTAAAAAGAAAAGAAAATCATATTCTAAAAGTTGCTTTCTATTCCCATTTCTAGAGCCAAACAAACATGACATAACACCATGGAGCAAGTGAACCAGCTCTACTTTGCTTATATATAAACATACACACACACAAAATAGATGCTACTCTTCACCATTTATTGTTGAATAATGAAACACATGCAGGCATAGAAGCAAAACAGAAAATCATAAACTAAGAGGCATTGAGAAAGTAAGCCATCTTACACATGTTCGCGAGTTATTAGACATTTATTGCAAGTAATAATTAATTCTTCAAAACCAACATCACCACATGTGTGACAAAATTTCTCCTGCAATATAAGAAAAGTCACGAGAAAAAATTAATCAATTCACATTTCACAACAAACACATATCTTACCAAAGAGAAATTAAGTAATACAAAAACATATTTAGAACCCAAGACCCACAAAGGAAAAAAAAACTTCCCATATAAAAAAAACAAAAGCAGTGAAAGCTACTGCAAAGTGAAATAAAAAATGGAGACTAGGAGATTAACAGTGAATAAAAACAGTGAATGCTTTTGTGAGGACAAGTGCAAAGGACAACAACACAGACAAAAAGGACATGGAAGTTTATTTTTTCAAGAAGTTAGGGTTTTTTAATGGGGTTTTTTAGTATTTACCAGGTGGGTCTCCATCTCAGAGTATTTTTTAGTATTTTCCATTGTTTTTCTTCTTCCACTCTTCTTGGAGGGTGAGAAAACAGGAGACTAAGGAGATAAAAGTACGCTAACTGACCAGAGAAAGATAATAGAAAGAGAAGATGAGTTGAATCTTTGAGGAATTTGGCTCGCCTTTCAGCGAGAGAAATGTTGCTTACAGAGGGTGGCTAGTATACCATTAGTCATGAATTTCTTGATTGCATGTTGCTGGTACTATGTTTATTCTTGTGAGAGCTTGCTTGGTAACTGTACACGTGTAGATAAGAAAAAGGCTGGCGGTCTGCATTCTTGATTTATAGGTTCGGTCAGAATATTTCTTTTTCATTTAACTCATTATTAATTATGATTTATTAATTACTATAATTGGTAATTGTCTTTATGACATATTATTTGGCTTTAAAATTTATTATTGGTGCATTAATCTAACTCATAAATGTTGTCAACTTTAGTTAATTAATTTTATTACGTTACTTTTTATCAATTTTTTAATTTAAATTATGTGTTTAAGAAAAAATAATGTGGAAAATATAAATTAGTATAATAATGTCTATCAAAAATGATTTAGGATGAATGGAATACTATATTCATTTCCTTGTGTAAATAGAAAAACAATTAATGAAAGAAGAAGTTATTTTCAGAAGTTTTCAACCTTTGGAGGTAAGAGCTTCATAAACCCCTTCTATTTGATATTTTTATGTCTATTTAATAAATTTAAGTTGAAAAATGAGGTTTTTTTTTATTATTTGTATTTATATTATATTAATTTTTTTTAAAAATTAATGATTTTCTATGTGATCATTTTAGCATAATAAAACCATTAAATATTACTATTAAAAATTTTAATTAATCTTTTTATTTATTTAAAATCTTAAAAATAATATAAATATACATACACACACACAAAATATATAATACATAATATATAAAAATAATTCTTTTCTTAATAGTCATTTTATTTTTGAACAGTTATCAATTATTTAATATTTAATATTTAATATTTATATAATTTCTTTAATAGTTGTTTTATATTTTAATATCATGATCAATAATTTATAAAATTTTACAAAACAAACATTTGATGATATATAAAATTGATATATGGATATTTTACTATGCATTTGGTCATATAGAATTCCAGCTTGAGCAGGCAATTTTCATGCTTTGAACGAGTATTAGTTAACCAAACAGAACACGATACACTTGGTCACAGAGAATTACGGATTGGATAGACAAGCTTCACGCATTAATGGACAATCTTCATTTCATGCTTTCAAAGTGGTCCTTGTTACAATCATATTTAGTGCCTCCTCGCCATGTTTGACCAGCCAAACTACCTTCCAAATTTATCCTTTTTCTCTCCAAAAAAAGGGAGCCATTATCATTTGATTTTGAAGGTTTTGGTTAATACGGTCTTTCCAGAGTATATTTTGGTAATGTCAAACTAAATATAAAATTGAATTAACAATAATATTTTAGTTGTTTGAATAGATAAATAAATGGTTAAATAAAAAAAATTATCTGGTCGTTAATTAGCTCCACAACACATCAGCTCACATTCATGTGGTAATTCTTTAGTTGTTCATCTTTATATTTAGAATGTATAAGTTGAAAAATTGTGTTATTGAGACGATCTCCTTTTTATCACAGTGTTTTATAATTAACGGACTTAAAAGCATTTAGTACAGTTTTAATGGGCTCGCACCGTCAGCAACCCCAAAGTCCGCCAAATATAAGTTTCTTTGCTCTTGAAGTTTCTTTGCTCTTGAGTTGTATCACTTGATTACAGCTAATCAGACTCTGAATGAAAGTCATAATTGACAATAAAAAATAAGGACATGGTATCGATCGACAAAATTAAAAATTTTAGCTAAATTTGAAAAAAAAAAACATTTAGACTTTTGTTTAGAGATTAAGCCTAAATAAGTTGCATCAAATTACATTAATAAAGCGGAGGGAAGCTAAAGTTTAAAGTTAGCGAGACGTAAGACAAATTTTACAGGGTAAGTGATTATAAATGGGAAAGAGTCACAATTTTTTTTTTTTTAATTAGTACACAATTAAAGAAAATAATAAAAAAAAGTTTCATACTGAAGCAGAATCTCTCTTTTACGTTACAGGTGCATTCACTATTTCTTTGCTTTGAATCTGTTTTCCCAATTGACAAATTTAGTGCAACTAAAATCTTTCTCAAATTCAACATTATTCTTGAAATTAATTTTAAAAAATGCATATTATTTTGATAAATAATTCGGAAAACAATAATTTGTATGATATTTGATAAAGAAAACCCCTCCACATGTTCCACCAACAAATTCAAGAATTTAGGTTTATGGTTTAGGGTTTACGGATTTCGATTAGAGTTGAGATTTTATAGCCTCAGTGTTTAGGGTTTATGCTTTAGGTTTACGGTTTCTGGGTTTTAAGGTTTTATTAGGGCTTAAATTTTAAGATTAAGAGTATAAGATTTAGTGTAATTTTATTATTTTTAAGGACTCGAGTTATATGTATATATATGTACCGTAATTAGAAATATTGAAGTTTATATAGTTCTTGATTAAAAATTTAAATAAAAATTAATAATTATTTCAAATAATTGGCTAAATCTTTAGGCACAAAAGTGACACAAGGTAGTATGATCGAAAAAGAAACAGGTACCTTAAATACTACTTCCCAAACTTCTTTAAAAACATGTTGGACCTCAAAATGTCTGCTACAACCATAAGCAAGCAAGCAACTTCTTAGCATGTGAACATGTCATAGAAGAACAAGCTTCTGATCTTCTCTAAGAGATTTTATATTTTTTCACAATTATAGTTCATTAATTACAAATACAGTCTCCACTATAATGAAGAATATTCAAGTCCCACAGATTAGCTAACCAAACCAATCTCCACCAATGGAGAACATAAGACTAAACAAAATCATTAGGCCTTTCTTAGTTAGGACACGCAATATGTGAAAATGCTGATTGGCCAAAAAAAATTCAACAGCTATGGCTGATAAATTGGAATATTGGAAAATTGAAGTCCAATGAAAATGAAGTGCAAATAAATTGGAATTACTAAAATGGCAAGAAGAAAAAAAAACTAAAACTCAAAGTGACTCGGAAGGTGGCGGGGTGGGATGATAATAGGGCTAGAAAGGTTGTTTCAGCATTGCGCGAATCTCATTTTGGCCATGCTCGAGAGCTGCAAAGCGCCCATCAAAGCTAGCATATTGAACCTCCAATCTATCCAATCGCTCTGAGATCTGTGCCAAATGAGGTTGAGGGGATGATGTAGAAGGACTAGCAAGTATGGGTCCTTGTTCATCGCCTCTGTCCTCTTCTCCTTCGTCTTCATCTTATCGCTCTCCCATGCTTTGCACAGGTTCCCCTTGTTCTGGAATATCTATCCTTTGGTTGTCCTTGTTCACCAAATAGTACTCTTCGCCTTGCTACTTAACCATCAACATACCCTTGAAAGTGTCCATATTAAGCATGGTCTTACCTTCAATCTGCTTAAAGGGGCTATCCTCCACCTTGAAGACTCCTAACTCAACAGCTATGGCTATGATTAACCCTCCAATGGCTATATCTCCCTTCTTACTTTTCGCTACAGAAAGCATGTGGTCACATAACCAGATTCCTACATTGACTGGCTTTAGGAGTTGAAAAGCATACAAGAAAAGAAGCTCCTGTTTGGTTACATTCCCCATACTACCCCCCCTAGCAAAGATGGTGTGAGATAATAAACGGTGCAAAATTCTAAGGGTATACGGTTGATGGATGTGGATTTTGCTCTGCTATTTGCAAATTTTTCTGCACGATAGGTACTGGCACTTCACTCACTGTATGCATTGAAATCAGGGGATGTGTCCCTCATTGAGCCCTCTATGTCCGGAAAACCAAAAATATCGTTAATCCTATTGACAGTTAGGGTGTAACCTTTCCAAACAACTAAAACGACCCTGCCTGTTGATTTGACAATAAAATGAACTCAGAAACTCGAGGGTCAGCTTAGCATAGGTTGGGTATGTCATTTTCATAAACTTATCCCATCCCATACTTTTCAATAGGTCTTCCATGAGATTGGCAAGTTTTATCTTTCCTAGATCTTCAAAATCTAGGTATCTAGAGGGAACTATTGCTCTTACAATAAGGTTATTGTACCTGGCCTCTTGTTTTTTGCTTCCGAAATCGATTCCATTGCTTCCTGGGGATGGAGGAGGAGAAGGTAAAGGATCCGGTGCTCCTTGAGGTTTTTTTTTTTGCATCGTCGGACGAGTTGTTCAGAGGAGCCCCGGGGTCTGAGATGAGGATCATGTCGTTATGGCGCTAGGTTTTTGGTTGTAGCATTGAGGGGAGTTTTGGAAGAGGAAGAAGGTCCCTGCGATGGAGGGTTGTGTTAAGGGTCATCATCTATAATATTTGAGAAATTCTGAAAATTTTTCTTCCCATCGGATCTGCTTTTTTCTGGTATATAGTCGTCACAAGTCCATACTTCTGGGATTTCTATCTCATACACCCTCATGCAATAACTGTTATCGACAGTAAGTAGAAGAATCAGTAAATTTAAGTAGCCATATAACGAAGAATTTTTAAGGGTTCTGTATTGACATATATAAGAGATGCTTTTCATTCCCATTTCTTGTTGAATACACATGCATGCAGGCATAAAAATAAAACAGAAAATAATAAATTAACAGGATCTTACACATGTTGACAAGCAATTCCACATATGTTGCAACTGATAATGAATTCTCCAAAACCAACACCACCACATATTTCACAAGCTTTCTCCTGTGAAATAAAAAATAAATAAAAAAAGAAGAAGAAGACTTTCCATATTAAAAAACAAAAGCAACGAAAATCAGTAAAAGTGGAATAGAAAATGGAGATCCATGAATGACTTTGTGAGGACAAGGTGGGAGGTCTTTTTTTTAATGGGGTCTTCACTTTTCAGTTTTTACCAGGTGGGTCTCCATTTCTGCGTATTTTGTAGTATTGTCCATTGTTTTGTTCTTTCACTTTTCACTTTCTTGGAGAGTGAGAAAAGTGGATATCAAGAAGATAAATCGATAAACTTACACGCGAAGGAGAAGAGATATATATATATATATATATATAGAGATTATATATATAATACTTATAATATATATATAATATATATAGAGAGAGATGAGAGAGAGAGAGAGAGAGAGAGACGAGAGAGAGACAGAGAGAGAGAACAAGAGTTGAATCTTTGAGGCTTTCTTATAGAGAGAGAGAGAGAGAGAGAGAGGACAAGAGTTGAATCTTTGAGGACTTTCTATTGAGTTTTCAGTGAGAGATCTTAAGGAGGGTGGCTAGTGAAAGCCGAAAGGTCATCATTTCTTGATTCGGTGTTGCGGATCCTATTTTTCTTCTTCTGAGAGTTTACTTGGTAAACGTACAAGTGTAAAGCAGAGAATGGCGTGTGGTCTTGATTTCTTTTCTTTTTAATAGGTGGCATAAACCCAAGAGAAACATTAAACTAGCTAAGTCTAAGAAAGAAACGTTAATTTTATATTGTCACTGAAGAAAGATGATCCAGCATTCTTTATTTTTTTATTTTTCTTTGAATTGGTTCTTTAAAAAATTATGATTAGTTCATTATAATTTATACCTCACCCGTAAATGTCTTCCTAACTTATTATTTATTTAACTTTAAAATGAATTATTGTGGCATGAATCTAACTCATAAAGAAGAGTAAATAACTATTTTGTCCTTGGATTTGATTATAATTAAAACATTTATCCATTTTGTTATCCCTTTAATTATTTAATAAATACATTAATTAGTCATTTAAATTTAACTTCGCTAAATTATTTAATTCTCCATTCAAAAAAGTATCATCTTTTCTATTAAGTGAAGGATAAAATAATAATGTAATAGTAAATATAAGAGATTCAATAGTATCACTATATTAAATATAAGTAATTAAATAGTAAAATATTACAGAATATTTAATTTTTTATAATGATTACAGAAATTGTTTTTCTTGCATATCTCCTCTCCTCCCACCAACAGCACCATCAGCGGTTCTTGAAGAAAACCCAGGAGGAACAGCTGAAATGTTGGGTTGTTCCACTTTTACTTCACCTCTAAGTGGTTTGAACTCGCAATGGAAATCAAAGCTTTCTGCAAGATCACTTCTTACCGGGCAGCATATTCCCCATAGGAATGGTTCTAATTGAAGGTCATACACCAGATGTAAATACTTGTTCTGCATTTTTTTGTTAGCAGTTAAAAATTACAGGTAGCCAACGCTGTAAATTGAGAAGTTGCTTGTTGAAATCATTGGTGTATGAGTGCGTGCACGCGGTCACATTTGTTCAAAGAATGTGCACTGTGGCATAATAAAAAATTGTAGAGCTCACCCTGGAAATCCATGTGCAGACTTTTAGAAGGGAAAACTAACAATTCCACACCACCTACTGAACTCCTCAGAACCAGATCTTTCATTTCTACAATACCCAAGAGGCGCTCGTACTGCTATCTAGACCTACAATAGGAAAAGCTTCTCCAAGATAGCATTATGTAATGAATTATCGATCTATGACAAAGATTGAATTAAAAATATACCTCTTAAAGTTGCCAGGGAAAAAATATAGGGCAATAGTATCCGCATTTGAGTATTCATTCTGAAAAACTTCCAAACTCAGAAGAAAGCATTGTACACTGTAGCACTCCAGGCATCTGGTTCGAAAATTCAAAGGCTTTACGCTGAACTCCACCGGGAAAATGAGCCCGAAAAACATCAAAGAATTCGGCTAGAAGAAACTGAATATGGAATTTCCAAACTTCCGCTAGAAACAGAAAAGTAACTGCAGTCGAGAGAAGTAAATTCTTGGATAAAAATTCAAAAAACTGTACATTACATAAAACAAAAATCCCAAGAATAGCCTACTAGACACAAAACAAATTTCCAGAAATTTAAGAATTAGAATTAGTTTACAGAGGAAAAAAATTGTTCCTTTGAGGCGCTACACAGAATCTCCAAGGGAAAACAAGAGCTCCAGGGTCTAGTAATAATTCAAATCAAAGAGGAAATACTGAATCCCATTTTGGGAACTCCAACTAATAACTCCTGTAGCTTGGCTTCAAGGCTGTGAAAAGAAAATCGGTAACCTCTCATTTAGACTTGCAATAAAGAACAGTACATAAATGTCCAGTTTAAAGGAATGAGGAGGTTTTTTTGAGTTGGATCAGAGATATCGCTCTAGATGGAATGAAAGGTCTACAATCTATGTAGTCAGATGAATAAGGGCTTCAGTTGAGATGAATGTTCAGGCTAAATTATTTATGGATAATAAATAGTAAAAAACAATTGTCTTTGAACAATAAATGTCTGGTCTCATTTCCTCAAGAATATGTAAAAGGTAAATGAAGCAATCACTTAAATTAAGTCACATAAGAAAAATGAGAATGGAAGGAAGAAATCTGATTTTATTCTCAGATGACAAGATGTTCCGAGCAAAAGTCAGTCGTAGCATGTCTCCCCCACACCAAAAGAAAAAAAAAATCAAAAAAGAAGGAAAGAAAAAATGTCATCATACATGTAGGCCTACCTTACCTATACCTTTTTCTTTCCCCGATACTTAGAAAGATTGGATTGTTGCATTCCACAGATGAAACCCTATATTTCCTTGGTAGCCAGTATGAAATTCCAACTTAACACAATTATTGGTGACCTTTACCGAATTACCATGTACTTGCTGCTTGAACCTTTCACTTTGTTCCACATATTATTCCATTTGCAAGTGAGTGGAAAAATACATAAGATCATGAAATGCTAGGGCTACTCACCACCAAGTCGCTTTTGAAGAAGGATAATGTGGAAAATATTTCGTAACTTTGGGCAAGGTGATTGGTATATCACACATTTGAAGTCCCAAACTCTTGCAATTAATATCAGCATCAAAGCTGTCTCCTAAACTAACACCTTTCTTTAGCAATCAGAACCAGATAACTTCAGAATGATATTTCTACTGAATGCAAAAACAAGTGAAATTCAGACTAAGCCAGAGAGACTTCCTTGCCTGAATGAATAACGGGTTCAGCGTCTGTTGATGGTGAAGGGGTAAACTTGATTGCCTTCTTTATTGATGAAGATGGACTTCAGCTTTCAACGCTTTTAGCAGGCAGTAGAATCTCTACTGGCTCTTCCTTGAAGACACACTTATCCTGGTATGCCAGAGGAGTCTTTTTATCTGAAATACAAATTACAGATGCAAACACAATGTAGATAAGTGTTGGAAAAATTTACTGTACTGAAGCATAAAGGTATATATTCCTATGAGTAAATTAATTGATCCAATCTTGAGCTTGACGGCCCTTTTCTAATCAAATTAACTACAATCGACATTTGCTGCTAAATTGAAAGCCATTTAGTTTTTGGAACCTGAACTAAAGCCCTTTCATTAATTTAATTCCTTTTTTTTTTTTTCCTATTCTGTTCTTCCAAGCCTTGAAAAGAGAAGTTCCATTTAATAAAACTCAGTTTTCTCACCTTCCATTTGATATGCATGTTGCTGAGTCATTGAACTGCACTCTGCACTACAACGTCCAAGGGGCATTAATTGTTTTTTCAGTCCAATATTAGTACTTGTTTCTATCACCTGCTGAGAATGCTCGAGAGGAGGAGGTTTAAACCCAATGGCAGTCCTTGTAGAAATTATTCTGGAAATTGATTGACCAGAACTTGGACCCTGCGTGCTAGGCGAGGAATTTTCCACTTTTTGGGTTCCCGATGAAAGCTTAATTGCTTCTTCACTTGAAGAAGATGTTAGTTCCCCTTTCCCAGGAGCAGTTTCCTTTTGAAGATGTACCAAAATCCTTGAGTAATCACGAAGATTGCCAGCAGCCATAGATTGCATAGTATCATTGTGAACTATCTCGGAGTTATTTGGCGTAAGAGCCAAAGGAAAGTGTTCCTCCATGAAAGATTGTTGGGACTCTTTGTCTTTACTAGATTGGCATATTTCACATATCCAAATTTCTGGGGTACTTAAGAGAAGGACTGGCATGCAATAGCTGAATGTGAAGAGGACCAACAAAAATTTTAAGAAAGTTAGTGATCCATGCATTACAGGTACTGATTATTTAATGTATGGTTGACTACATAAAGAAAGTTACACATACACATGTTCCCGAGTTATTTTGCATTGAAAGCAAGTTACAATCATCTCCAAAAAGCCCACATCTCCACATATGTGACAAGTTTTGACCTACAAAATAGTATAACAATAATAATAAGGATTGATGATAATAATAAATGTGAAACAATTAGGTTAAATTTCCACTTCTCGGAGATATTTCTATCTTGAGAAAAAATCAATTCATTTGGCATTAACTAATGCTTATTAGTATTACAGCAGGCTGAGTAGAAAATTCTTCGTAAGCAACAGTTCCAATGGTTAAGTAGCATATATTCAAGAGTGCAAACAAAACCACAAACAGATTGAAAGATCAACAATAACATGCTATAACATTCCAAGCCGGCTGCTAAAAGCAATGATTGATAAACTGGAAATCTAGTAATAAACATCATGTGAGTAGGAAAGAAAAAAAAAAAAAAAAAAAAAAAAAAAAAAAAAAAAAAAAAAGCAACTTAAAATATTTTAATGGTGCAAAGATTTAAGAGAACACCACATTCAATGTAGTTATTTATCAAATATTCAAATCAAAACATTCATTACATGTCACAGAACAAAAAATTAGAACTTATGCATGCCTCTCTCCTTGGCATCCTGTATGTATTTAATGGTTCAACCCATTTAGCTCCGAGTTTAAGGAAATCTTTCTTTGTCATGTATGGAATTCTTCAATGAGTATTTTTTGGGGATAAACCTTATACCAACAAAAAGCAACAGTATTTTCTTTCCATACTTCTATCAGATATACTACTGTGCATTACATTAAAATTGCAAGATGTGGTCCCTGTTTACTATAAGTGATGAAAGTAAATTGTAACTGAGGAATGCTGAATAAAATCATATACATTTGAGCAATTTCATTCACTGTCTTTCTAATAATCAAGTAGGGTGAACGACCATAATCACTAATCATTTACAAGGTCACTCAAACCATGTATTTCAGTTAATTGCTGAAACATAGCAAGATTCAGTGATAAGGTAACAACCATATCCATACACATTTTTGATTAGGCTATTATAGCATAAAGAGCACTTATAAGGATAACCTGAAACCAAACCCTCCATTGTTAGATCACTCGATGCACATAATAATAAACTATCATCTGTAAATCCTAGGTTTTTAAGAAATTAAGTCAAGATTAAAACTCGACTAATAACTAATCAAAGTTAATGACCACAAAACCACTATTTTTTTCAATACAGTAGGTAATAAAATTAAAACAAAGAATGGGGAAGAAAAGAACCAATTAAAGCTAGAGGAAAAAATAAGCACTAAAGGCTAAAAGAATAGTTAATGCTCATAATTGAAACAAAAGGGTTCCTATCAGGATCTGGGTTTTACCAGGTGGGTATTTCTTGAATCTTCCATTGTCTGTTTGTTTTATGAATATATATAACAGTGGCATGAAAAAGACAACAGAAACAATCTTTTTTCTTGCTTTCGTGGTGGGTTTCTAATGGCGGTCTAACACTTGCCAAATTGAAATGGGTCGCAAAAGAGAAAAGACTCGCAAAGACAGAGAGGGAGATACGCTTTGCATGCCTTCTTATTTTCTTTCTTAATTGGAGAAGGAATTATCTACATTCATTCGGTGTATGATCCGCACCAAATTAATTGAACCTTATATTGAATCAAATTGTGATTATTACAATATTAAACTAAACTGAATTGAGATATTTAAATTTGATTTAATTAATTTGGTGTAATTCAGGCCAATTTGTTTATATATATATTGGAGCGCATTAAATCTAATTAAAAAATTATGGAAGGCTAAATTGCTCTAATCACATCAGCATAAAAAACAACTGTCATACAAAAAAATAACTGTGGCCGACACCTCCCACTTAGTCCTCTCTATGACTCACTCTGTTGTTGATAGAATTCGAATTCGAGATTTCTCACTTGATCGATTTAGATTTTATTTAGGTTATCAAAATACACTGCCATACAAATTTTACACAATATAAATATAAATTTAAATATTAACAAATCATATAAAAAGACTTTAAAAACAAAATACAATGAAATCTATCAAACGCAAGTAAATAATAGTCTTAAAAATAAAATTAAATACTCCAACAAATCCAATTTGAAAATTATTACTTTAAACAATAGTCTATATCCAGTGCATTAAAGAATATAGGAGAAAAAATATCAAAAAAATTAAAATTACTTAATCATCAAAATGTCATCTATTTCTTGTTAAAATGATAATAGTTATAAATTAATTCAAATCCAAAAAAATAAAAAATTATTATTTAGAATAAAACTCTTCTCAGAACACAACATATAACATGAAAACAAAAATTATCAATTTTAATTTCAAAAACAACCCCTTTTTCAATCGAAAATCTCATAATTTAATGAAATTTGATGTAGATGGACAAAAAAAAAAAAGATTAAAATAAGTCGATAAATGAAAAATACAAAACAATCGTATTAGGATCTCACTATTGATCGGTTAAACAGTTTATCCATTATTATAAGTTACAATTTAAAATAAATAAGTTAAATAATTTCAGTAAAAAAGATTAAAAAAAAAAACATTACATCATCTTCAAATAAACTCTGAATTTTCTCTATAACCATGCAAAAAAATATATATATTCTATTCGAAAATTATTTTTTTTAATCATATATTTATCAAATCATAAAAAAAGAACATTAAAAAAAATACATAATTTTATCTCTCCTAAAAATATTTTAAATTAAAAAATACATAATTTTTATCTCTCCTAAAATATTTTAATTAAAATAAAATAATTCAAATATTTTAAAAATAAAAACATTAAAAATTATCATTGGTCTCATTTCATTCATATATATATTATTTTATATATATATATATATTATATATTATATTAAAAAATAAAACTTTATTAAAAAAATAAAACATAGAATTTTGAAATTCTTAATAATGTTTTTATTAATTTTTCTAAGATTTCACTTTTCTTAATAATTTTCTCTCTTTTTATTATTCAATGATGATTTGCTGTTATATTTTATGAAATTTAACATTCAATTATAAAATTTAAAGAAAAATATGTCATGACTTGATCTTCAATCCCTTCACTCAACTGCAGGTCAGTATTTATATAACCACTAATAAATAATAATAATAATAAATTACTTTTCATTGCTAGGTAAGAGAAATGAAAAGAAAAAATAATCTGAATCAATAATGATATTCACTATGGCTAGTGACACTATTACTTACCCAATGCATTAAAAAAATATATATATGCACACAAATTTTGAAACCCTTAAAAGTGACTTAAAATAAATAAATATATATATATATATATAAATATATTTCTTTTTTTTTTCAATATCATAAACACTATTTTCAATATCATAACTGATAATAATCTGAGTTTATTAAATAACTTTAGTTTTTAATAATTGATAAATTATAATTTTTTATATTTTTATTAATTCATTAAAAAATATATTATTATATTATTTTAATATTATTTTACAAGAACCGCGCATACGAAAGGATTTTATATATCTATATATTCTCTACATCTCAACATAAATTAATGAAAGCAAGATACTCTTAAAAAAAAAAAATCAAAAAATGGATATAATTGGAGTTTGTAGATCTCAATACCATTAATCTAAACCGGTATCAAATCCAAAATCAAAATGATCTTTTCTGTTACCGATTGAAATTTATTTATGTGGAAGTTCAGGTATATTTCAGTTCTTTATTATTATTATTTATTTTAGAGTTTTATTTCTTTTATTTGATTTTCATGAATTCAAATCAACATTCAATAACATAGATCATATTATTTAGTTTTTTTAAAAAGAAATCGATGCTATTAACCTTATCATTTTCAAAAAAATTAAAATCTAATCTTATAATTAATAATAATTTATTCATTTTATCGTCTATAATTAATTATTTTATTAAATATGCTTGACTTATCTGTGTTCTTATCATATTTAAAATTAGTTTAAAAAAACTTTTCAATTTTGGTGTATAATATGAATATATTATTAATCATGTCTTAAATTAATACATTATATAAATAGCTATGTAATATAAAAGAAAAATTATAATCATACCTGATACTATATAATAATAAATTAATAAATATAAACGACGAGTAACACCGAATACTGACAACGTACAAAGCATGTTAAAAAATACAATAGTACATCTAAATATGAGATTTAGTGTAAAAGTGAAGGCCATTGTCAAGGTACCTTGCTTATTAAAAACCTCGAAATTATTTTATATACATATATTATTATGTACAAGAGAAACATTAAGCTTTTGCAAGTGTTAATGTAACACTTTCTTAGAAGAGAGACTATAATATTTTAGCTTTTGCTTTTATCTTGCTTGGGAAATTTTTCTCATATTTCACTTTTCTTAACACTTTTCTTAATCAATTTTTTCTCTCTTTTTTATTATTCAATGATGATTTGCTCTTCAATTTTATGAATTTTAATATTCAATTATAAAATTTTAAAAAAATCAACTCATGATTCGATCTTCACCCCCTTCACTCAACTGCAAATCAATATTTATATAACCACTAATAAAAAATAATGATAAATTATTTTTTTTATTGCTAGGTAAAAGAAATGAAATAAAAAAAATAATCTGAATCAATAATGATATTCACTTTGACGAGTGACAGTATTACTTACTCAGTGCATTAAAGAAAAAAACATATGCACTCAAATTCTCGAAACCCCCAAAAGTGACCTAAAACAAAAATATAATTCTCTTTTTTTAATATCATAAATACTATTTTCTTTTAAGTCAAACAGATTTAGAATATAATAGAAAAAAATAAAAAATACTTAATCATCAAAATATCATCTATTTCTTGTTAAATTAATAATAGTCACAAATTAATTCAATAACAAAAAAATATAAAATTATTATTTAGAATAAAACTCTTCTCCGAACTCAACATATAATAAGAAAACAAAAATTATCAACTTTAATTTCAAAAACAACCCCTTTTTCAATGGAAATCCCATAATTTAATGAAATTTGATGTCGATGGACAAAAAAAAAAAAAAAAAATCGATGGACAAAAAAAAAAAA